AAAAAAAAAAAAAAAATCTGATTCAACAAAAAATATTTGTGCGCTTTTCTAGGAAAAGACTTTCAATTGTATAAAATCCTATAAATGTAAAATTTGTTATCTGTAATGCAGAATGATGGTAATTATAGAATTTGTTAAGTAGTTTTCCTCAGGTCAACGAATTTTTCCCTTTTTTTTCTTAGTGGCGATCCTTGACGGATTCCTCACCAAATGAATATGAAAGATTAATTTAATGAATCCTACAGGTGAACAGAAAGCAACGGAAAACTTAAGTACGCAAAAGACAGGCATGAAGGCACGGTTAAGAACATCCCAATATTGGCTGAAGTAAAAAAAGAAATCAGAGCGTAAAGACCTGATTAGGAATACCCTAAAAGTAGAGCTTTTATACTCCTTGGCCTCTGTAGGAAAAATGGGCATATATTAATACGAGACCGTACACTTATTAATGTCCTATGCCTGAATAAAAAATTTGATGCTCTTGAAGGAATACAGTAAAAAGTAGAATTACGTTAGGTATAGTAAAGAAATGTTTGAAAATTGAAAAAATATCTAACTTGATCTTGACTAAAAAAACAGAAAACCTTTGACACAAAAGAATGACAATCAGAAAAGTACTGAGTGATTTTGGTTTAGTTGTATACATCTACATACAATAATTTGTGCATATTAATCAATGTATGACATAAGGTGGTTGCAAGAATTCCAGAAGACTTGAAATATTTTTTTTGTTTAAGACCAATTTGTCAAAAATCTTTAAAATATTTTAAGTTTTTCAAATAAGTTCTAGAAATAAACAAATTAAAAATAATGGCGACAATGGAAAGTATGAGAACAAATGTGATCAACTATGGATAAAGATACTATGCTCCTTAAAACAGAAAAGGAAGAGAAATCTTAAGAATACAAACAGGTAATTTGTGAAGCTTTTTACAATAGTAAGTAGAACATATGTTAGGTATTATTGTGGAAAAAAAATAAGAAAAAAATATTAATTTTGAAACTCCGGTGCTGAAACACATTCAGCTTCTCACTCCTTCATAAACTTTTCTCCAGAATTATGACGAGTTTTGGAGGTTTCCAAGTTTGCAATTATAATGTTTCCTGCTTTTAAGAATACAACAGCCAGTGACACAACATTCGTAGTCCGTTCTGTCACTTTTAATCTAGATGTTCCTTCAGCTAAAAGTCCAGACCTTACTGATGAATGCAGAGAGTGCAAATAAGCTTCTGTTTGTTTTCTCTGGAATTATATTTGATGCATTATCTGGCTTTAGAAAAATTGTGACTTTGCTATTTTGTTAAGGTTTTTTAGAACTCGAACCAAAATATATTCGTGGAATTGGGTAAACGACTGGAAATTTTTTTTCTTTCTCTATGACGATTAAAATTGTTTTTTATAATTACTATTTAATATGTCAGTGCCGAAAAAAGTCTGGGAAACTTGGCAACTTTTCTTCATTCACAGTAAGGTAAGACTTCAAGAAAGTAAAAATGTGGGAAAAACCATCATTCCTGTTTCCCCTCCCTCATTGTCTTTGAGATGCATTGAAATTATACAATTTACGATCAAGCTCAAAAAGTTAATTGATGCCAGAGGTCTTCTTTTTGAAAGGGCCAAACTCTCACCCAAACTTGAGAGGAAATATCCGAGTAGACAAAGCCAATATTAATGAGAGTGAGGCATCTACAACATTGTATTTTCTTTCCAAATTTGTTAAAGTAAAGGACTTGATCTAACCAAACAAATAAGTTCCACAATTCTACCTTAACACCAGATACATAAAAAAAATTTGGCAACATGATTCAAAAGGTACAAAAGTTCAATACCACAACATGAAATTTTTCTTCCGCTAAGCAGAATAAGGTGGAGGAGCACCTTTCACACTTGGCACAATATTTTTACTTTTCATGAAAGAAACAATTTGTTCAGGTATTTCGGCAAGAACCTCTTTTGCCAGATAAGTTTTTGCTAAAAGCGGGTTCTTGACATTTTGAAAATCGGAAAAAGGAACAAATTGCACAATATCCCTGAAAGCTTTAACATTATTATACACTAAAGGAACAGTATCTGCATCCAACTCACTCATGGCGGCAAAATTTGCCTGACCAACGCCGACTATAATTATTGACATGGGAAGTGTTGAGGCGTGAACGATAGCACCTTTTGTGTGCTCCATATCTGTGATGATTCCATCGGTTATAATGAGCAAAATAAAATACTGACTACCATCTTGATATGCTGCAGCAAACTTGGCAACATGGTTGATAACAGGACTAAAATTAGTTGGACCATAAAGTTGCACTTGACGGATGCAGGACCTATATGAGTCAACAACACCTTTCAACCCATCACAGTATGGGTTATTTTGAGAGAGGTTAACATAAAATTCATGCGATATCCGTCCATCTGGAGGGAGCCTTGCTCCAAAACCTAAAACTGGAAACTGTTTCGCACAATCGTAGTCTTGGATGATCTCACCAACTGCACTTAAAGCTTGTTCATACTGATTAGCACCATCACTTATATAATGCAAGGACTGAGGCATTGAGGGGTCCCCATTTGAGGCAGTAAAATCAATAGCAAAAGTACAGTGGATCTGAAGACCACCAATAATATAGTCTAAGAATGAGTAAACTTTTCGAAAATCAAAAAATTCTAGCACCATAAGCCCAGAATTTTTATAGCTTGATTTGCGCGCTTTATCAGGATGAATTAGTGCGAAGCTATGATCTGCAGCAACATTTTTTGCTTTGAGTTGGTTGACTGTGATGTGTGCGTGCCCGATCAAACTATGGTTCCCACTTCTGTTCCAGTCGTAACAGCTAATTTTGATATCGCGGTCATGATCACCTCCACAAAGGTTTCGGATAGGTAGTGTGAATTGTTTCCAGTTCGGATTTAGGTTCCATTTGATAAATTCTGAGCGATAAATAAGTGTATACGTACCATCTTCAACAACTTTGAGAAGCTCGAAGAATGGATCTGATGAGCCAAAAAAGTCTTTTTTGTCCAGGTTGCGGCCACTGAACTTCAATGTGATTTCATCATTACAATTAGAAAGTTCTTCGACTCGAATAAGTAGCTCACCAGAGTTCCGCTGGTTTGTCCCAGACAGAGGGAGACAGGATTTTCCTGATGAAACAACCTGTTGATACCAAATGACTTTAAAATTGATTCACTGGCGAAAGAGAAATCAATTAGGAGTTTAAATTTGGGAGAAACAGATTTATATACACACCAATTATTTATTTTAATTGTTTTAAAAGAGGTAAGTACCGTTGAATACAGATGAAACTATTAAAATTTCAAAATTAAATGAAGCCTTTTTTCTTGTCAAAAACTTGGTAGTATACAGAATTGTTTTACAGACCTAAGGCTAGGTAGTTTAACATGTGCTTTTTTTACAATTTTTCATCAAACCATATCGAAACAAACGATTTCAAATCTTAAAAAATCATAAACATTTTAAAACTCGCCGGCATGTAAGTGCTTACCAATCTAGGTGGCAATAGAGTATGCAGCTTACAAGATGCAGTCTGTACTACAGCTGCAGCTCTCGAAAAGCTCTCTTGCATTTCTGGCAGCTATAGTACAGGCTATGTCCAGTTAATTGCATGCTTTACTGTCACCTACATTCGTGAGTATTTACACACTAGCAAGTTTTTAAGACAGCCATGATTTCCTTACGATTTGCTATATCAGGACTTAAGACCATGAAAGGTTTTCTCTTGAAAATGATTAATCAAAATAAGGTTCAGTATGCTAACCTGCCCTAATGTTGTAAGACAAGAGCCTAGGAAGTCATGGTCATCAAGATTTGAACTGTTGGCATCAATATCATACACCTCAAATTTTAAGTTTTGTTGGACTTCGAACCGATACAGGATGTGGACCTGAAATTAAATTTTAGAAAACAAATTAAACATATTAGTATTCTCTGAACTTGAACGTAAACCAGATTAGAGGTCAGGAATTTTTTGTCTTTGAGAACAGGAACAACAAATAAATGGTGAAATGCTTGAAGGGAAGAATGAGTGATAATATGGGTGCAAGATTGGTGAAGATTTTTTTCAAATTCAAAAATAGGTACATAAATTGTTTTCCTTTTGTCTCTTTTCTTGCTTTCAAAACTTACGGTTTCACATTGATTTGATTTTGTATACATATATTTATATTCCTTTAAATCTTCTAAGTTTGTGGTCAGTAAAATAATAAATTATATGAGTAAGTAAACCTCTTTGATGTGGAAATTTCTGCAGCAAATTTGTTTTAATCAATGTTTTTATTGTAAATGAAAAATTCTGAGATGCTCACTTTCTTCACGAAGTCAGGATTCAGAGTATTCCTGACAGTTTCTGTGCGACAAATTTCTTGCCAATGAGACATTTCTGGAGTCTTCAAGTAAACAACGCACATTGGATCAGATTTAGAGAACACATCGCAGTCCAATAGATTTCTGCAACATGAGAGTTTATATGAAACTGAGAACATGAAAATATGATAAGATATCATGATTTTTGGTACAACAGTGCATGAATCATCAAGTTGATCGGAAAAAAAATTTGACTGGCCGATGACTAGCTGATCGAGAGAAGATTCAACAGAGTTTCATGATCAGCTCAAATTCAACAGGTTTTTTTTCTTATTTTTTTTCAAACAGCCCACAAGGTCCCATTCCATCTATCATCACGGCGTCAAGCTCCTGTTCCTAATAATCATTATGATTCCTAAAAAAAAAGTGGGGGGGGAGGGTGGTGGTGGAAATATTCAGTCCCTAATAGGTACTGAAACGTTGTGCAGTTTGGATGTAATAGCTAGTGATTTGAAATAGATGAAAGGCAATAAAAACAAAAGTTGATAAAGGCAAAGTGTGCCAATAAATTCTTTTGAAACTGACAAGCATTCCTGTGTTAAATTAAAAGCATGAAAATACTTGACACTGACAAAATGCCTGCCAACACTTAATTACCAACATACAGATTTTCTTTGTATACCAAACCAGCATTGAATTCATCTTATCAAAACTTTAGTGATTTTTTCCCCATAATTAGTATAATGATGAATATAGAAAAAAAGATGCACAAAAGTACTCCAACTAAAAATAAAAAGGACGCAGATGATATTACTCAAAGTGATGAAAGGCGACAAATATTTCTCTCTGTCTAGTTTTTTCTAGAATTTAATGAAATAAAATTATGTCAGATGACTGATGATACAAGATTCTAAGCAGGTCAGACAGATAAAAGTATGTAATCGGCCCGACACTAAATTTGCGGCCTTGAACTTACCTGCATGAGAGGGTTAGTTCAACCTCAGATGTAGGCTCCGATGCTGATCCAGGAACAAAATATGCCATGATTAGAAACGAATGAAGCTTTTGGAGAGCTCAGAGAGAAAAAATATTCAATCGGGTCATCAAATTAGGAGAATGAAATGCTTAAGTGTACGGCTCGAGCTCGGTTACATCATGGTGAATCCACAAGTAGGTAACTACTCGAACAGACATAAATGTACGGAGGAAAAATGATACAGTCATCGTTGAATTGAGGGGGGCTGTCAAATGCGGGAAGAATTGCTGTGTGTTACAATTAAAAAAAGGAGAAATTGTATTATAACGCAAGTTTCCCAGTTCACCACAACACCACTACTTTTACTGATAAGCTTTTTGTTTATTTTGAATGTTAGAGGTTATGAATGACGAAACGACGGAATTGCAACATTACGAGCAATATTGGCACGCCTCATCTTCATAGCTGCGGGAGGATAACAAACCAGTGACCAGTAGTTCATTTTCCAAGGATTTAAAGGTCAGCTAACCGGAAATAAAAGTAATATGCATGATTGCTATTCATCTGCGTTTGATTGACTTTGGAAATTACTCGGTCATTGACATTTCTTTCGAGACTGCGCATTGGCATTGGAAATTTTGCGTTGCTGAACATGGATTTCTGTAACATGCGAAATCGGCCTTATTTTGAAAAGTTACGCGGGAAAAACTGCCTTACAACGAACGACAGCAAGCTAGTATTCAGAAAAGAGATAATAATTCATGACTAATCAATTGAGGCCTGATAACAAAACTAGCAATCTTTATTTACGCGTCCGTAAATCTATAAGTCTTGACAGATACTGCTGATGTAATTACAGTGATCTATAAAATTCAAGATGATGATGATGATGATGATCGGCATGAATTTTTCAGCAAATCGTTCCTCTCATATAGAGAGAAAATTCATGAAATTTGGGGAAGATGAACATACCTACTAGCTAGCCTCCTTTGTATTGGAGGAAATTATAGCCATATTTTTGAGAGACGAAATTGAAATTGAAGGTTGCGCGATGGCTTCGTAGATGACCATTTAGACAATGCTGATATAAGGGGGGGGGGGGGGGGGGTCTACGTTTGCAATCAGGCCTATCCTTGAGGGAATCCTTAATCCTTTGATTAGAGCGTAGTCGGTGGAAAGGCAGCTTTATATTTCCCAGGTTATTTAACCTAAGAATGGATTATAAAATTTGACGAACGCCTCAATGACTACTTGCAAATCAACAGTTCCCTTCAAATTTGGGAATTTTCTTCCCTAATACAAGACTTATCGCAAAAAAAAAAATTCGAGCAAATACTTTGGATAGTTTCCTCTCATAAAAATAAAATAAGGGCAGATATTTTAAAAGCGCTACAATAGAGATACACATTCCTTTACTTCAGTCATCGAATTCTAAGGTACACAATATTATCAGTTGTATATGGTCATTAATATTTCTCACTTAATGTTCCTATGACAATTATCTAACACGTAGCGATATCAAGTTTTGCTTTTCTTAAAAAGTTCAGACTAAAAAGCAAACAGCAACCCCTTCGTTTGGGTGGCAGTAGTAAGTAAACAATCATGTGCATGAAGTGATACAGTCACTAAGATGGTTTGAACCCAACTCTCATTAAATTAAATTTCAATTAACCCTGTATATAAGAGATTATAATAAGGGGGGGGGGGGTTAGGTCAGGTTGCTGTTTCAAGTCTGCATGCGAACATTTCATTTTTTCATGAGAGCATCGTCTCCCAATTTCGTCCAAAAATTTTGGTGTCTTTTCTTACAAGGGTAAAGTGAAATCACTGGTAATCTCACGAGCAAATTCATGTGACGATTCTCCTATAAAAAAATAAAATGTTACTAAGCAATACTAACAGCAAGGCTGTGAGGCAAATAGGAAAAATGTCCGATCACGAAAAAAGATCAGCATTTTGAAAAACACAATTTTTGAACACAAAAACATGCAAACATGATTGAATTTATACACCTCCAATTTCCACTAAGAGGAAAATTCTAAGAAATTTCATATAAAATAGAGTAACTCTTCTGATTCAAACGAACTATTGGAATAGCAGAGACATTCTGAATATTTCAATGCCCAATGTACAGATTTTAAATATTATGACACTATTCACTCCTAAACGATTTGCAACGCCAATAATGAAAAGAGAAAAAAGCAGAAGATGAAGAACGATTCAATTTTCTTTAATAAAAATAATATAACTTGAGGTTCACAATGTTTGCACAAATATCACAGATTGGTAAATTCTTCAAACAACGTATAATTGATTATTGTAGCACTTTTTGCCCTTGGCTCTTGAAGAGGTGGAAAACAACTTTTACTAGGTGCAGTTTTCACCTGGAAAGAAAACGAGAGAAAATAAAGGTAAACTATTGAAAAATAAAGTTACTTTTCAAAATTTTGAATTTAGGAAGAATATAGGGCTATGTAATGCTCAAAAAATGAATCCAAGATGAGTTAAGTATGCACAACTCGTAGATTGTAAGGTAAGCAACATAGCAAGCAAAAGCTTCATCTTATGACTTTAAACAAGGATTGCAGTACCTCCCATTAAATCCACATGATTCAGACATTGGGAGCAGAAAGGGCGCTTCTTGGTTGAACTGTTTCAGAATATTCACCGCTAATTTATATTTTAGAGTGGAAACCATAGGATGAATTTTCTACAATTTTTAGAGCATTCTAAATTTATAGGGGAAGTTCAGTAAAAAGGTCAAGTAAAATTGGACAAAATGAGGGATTTACCACTTAAATACTCATAAGAATATGGATGTATAAAATTCGGAGTAAACTGACAACATACTACCTTGGATTGGCCGAGGTGTTTTCCGAGAAGTTTTTTCAACTCTTTGTTTTCTTTTTCTAGAATATGAATTTCTGATCTCACCTTCTGTCTATCTGAAAAGAGGAAAAGATAAAAAAGTATTACCAGACGAGACCTTTCTTTTGAATATTCTGCTTTGATAAGGCAAAACTTCAAAATTTTGCTTTCAGATTTCCATTCTTTGTGTCGATTTCCTATAAGTATCAAATAATCCACGATGATTATTTGTTTAAATGGATTTACTCAATAAAAGTAACTACAGATACCAGGAGACACACTCATCATAAGTGTCATCTAAGAAATTACAATGAATTGACGGTTTCAAAGGAGACAGTATTTACAACAATATTCGTAATGAATATAAACTTTGTGAAAAATGTGAAATTATTGGAAAGCTAGTTTAAGACGGCAAAGCGGAAGATTAAATTCCAGTAGATCCAAATCAATACCTTTCAATATCTTGAAGTATTTACTGAGTCCTACGGTCAAGGCATTCCAAAGTTGTTCCCGGTCTTTGGCGAAAATGCTTTGTACTTGTTCCCAATATTTTTTGACATCATCTGGAGGCAAAGAAGTCATCTTAAAGCTGGATTGATCATAAAAGAAGGCATCATCCTCAAAGTAGTTTGTAGATCTGAACAACATGAGAAGAAGCATACGTAAGTTCACGTAAAACCAAGATGTGATGATTGTGATACATTAACTTAGGAGACTATCATATCAGCAAAGCCATTTTTCTTTTTTTATTTATAAAGGAATTGGGACCTCCCACGAACAGCCTCAAAAGGAAGGAGAAATAACTTTATAAGAGTTAAAAACTTACGTTGTTTTATTTGCATGGAAATGTTGAATAAAGTCAGTCAATCCTTTTAAAACATTCGCAGGTTCTAAATCAAAAGAATGCAGCTCATCGAAACAACTAGATTTTGGTTTCTCTTTGGCCGGATCCAAGAGTCTAACTTTTTTATCTGTAACAGAGAAAAGTAAAAATATTAGAGGACACAATTCAGTTATCAGAGAAACGAGGGATACATTAGAAAAGTCAAAGTTCATACGCCTCCATAAAACCACACACAGTAGATTTTCTCAGCACAACCATGCAAAAAATGTTCACACCTATTGAGTAACTTCAAGAATACTTTAAATATATTCATTCAGATTTTTTTTTTCTTTATGAAATAAATCTTGGGATAGCAAAATAGGGCAACTCTCCAAAGATGAATTACACGAAACTTTATGAAAAGTCTGAATGACAGTCATAACGGTCAAGTTGCTCAACTTCAGCGTGTCAGCAAGACATGATGCTTCTCAAATAGAGGCCTGCGTTTCAAAGGAGTTATACGGATAATAATTAATAAAGAAATCACTAGGAACAATTATATCTTGAATTGGCTAGAAAATTAAGTGATGCGCACCTTCGGAAGACCAACAATTCAGATTACTGTCGGAGACAGCCTTTCTCTCCGAGGGATGGAGCAGCTTCCATTTCTCATCATCGGTAAGAGCACAAAGATTTGGCAATGAGGATGTTTGAAACCTGCAATCGAATACGTTGAAAAACATTATTTGACCACTAGTTTTATGAATCTAGTGTGCTCATTACCACAGATCTGTTTGGTTTGATTACAGGAATTTTAGATTCCCCGCTCACAGGAAAAACATTAATCTACTTGAATCAAGTAGATCAAGTAGCACTAGAATGGTTTTGGAAGGCCTCATGATCCGGCAATGTTCCTTTCTTGCCTTATGTTGTTTAAAGTGCTCCTAACATACAATAGCAGAGCTGAAGCACCAGTATTAAGGTTGCCATATTTTCAAACTGCGAAGATAATTATGGTAACGATTAGTGTGCGTTTTAACTCAAATAGATTATTGTTTTTTGTATGAGCGGTAAGTTCGGGAATTTATCCATCGAAAAACGTTAATATCTTTGTTAGAAGTTGATTTTAGTAAATTTTTTCATGCAAATCGTAATCTGCATGGATAAGAGAACATGTATGAAAATGATTAAATTGGCACCTTGTCTGGTGGTCCATTTTTTTTATCTTCAAAATAGTAAAATGATGTACTTGAACTCACTTTTTCTTATCTACTAGTGCTTTCCTATTGACTGCTTCAAATTGCATTTGCCGCTGGGAGCAATCAGTACATACTGCATACGGCAAGAAATATCTTTTGAGCGCTATTATGTCTTCTTCTGAGTTGATTCCAAGCATCTATGAGAAAAAGAGGAAAGACCAGGCAAGAATTGGTCAATTATAAGCCAAGAAATAAATACAAAAGGCTAAAGTAACGGTCGAGCAGTAATGTAAAGTTTGAAGGTACTTGAAGAAGCGCATAAAGTTCCGAGTTAATTCAATTTCAAGTCTCTTTGAACTTAGGTCCGTTTTCCTGTCGACAGTCACATACTTATTATACTCACATACTATATTATATTATAATATACACTCACATACTTATATTATCTACTTTTACATATCTTTGAAAGAATCCTCTTCAGAACTCGGTGTAATGGAAACTTACCTTGAAAATGGTCTCAAGTTTAACAAGAATTCTTTTCTCTGGTGGATAAGTGGCCAGTAAGTTTTCAATGTTTTTGTCTAATAGAAATCCAGTTTCATCACACAATTTTTCTAAAATCAACTTTGCCATCTTTTTTTGATGTGCATTGAATCCATTGGCAGCAGATGAGTAGATATCACAGTCATCAGATCCTGATCAACAAAAGGGTTAATACCTTGAGAGAAAAAACTGTAGGATCAGCAAGGTAGTGACAGAGCAGTTCTTGTGAATAGTTCCTGGTTTATGGGACGGCTAAAAACAGAGATAATGGATACTAGAACAAGTAAAAGGAAAGAAAGGGAGCAAGAAGGAGAAAACTAAACATAATCTGAAATCCAGGGGTGGATTTGACTTTTAATGATGCACTTGTACAGGATTTTAGCTTGTCAAACTTTCTAATTTTGGCACCTGAAATTAAGTTTCTTTGGAAGAAAAAGGAGGGGTGGGAAAGACGAACATCTCAAAATAAACACACTAAATTAGGAGGTTGGAAGAAAAAGTCATATTAAATATTTCGGAAGAAGATTAAATTCAGGGAGAGAAAACAACAAGCAAGATTTGAAAATGTGAGGAAGTACATACATATGCACTTAATAATTGGATGGCATTTTGCAAAAAGGAACCAAGAGCATTCCAATGTCGCCAAGATTGTGCAAATTCTTTTACCTTGCAAAAATCAACTGATCACCTAAACAAGTTTCATCTTTACTCCCAATAATCTATAAATTCAAGACGAAATTTATCATGGTAAATTTAATTTTGCTCATGGTCTCAGAAATTTTTTTTCAAAGAATGTAGGTTGCACAATCTTAGCTACATTGGAATGCTCTAAATTCCTTTTTGCAAAATGCAATCCAATTGAAGTTAGACACTGAAAAAATTCTAAAAAAACAATATATTCAACACTCGCTCACTGATAACTAGCGATTAATGTAAAAAAGCTTGATCAAACTCATAAGCACAAAATCCCAATCCCTGTGCCCGCTTATAATCAAAAGTTCATTGTAATTCAAAGCTGATAATAAAATGCACTTACGTGCATCTTGAGATCCACATATTTTCTTCGCAAGCACATCGAATTCATCAGACAAAGGACTGGAGTCAGGGGGGACCCATGGACAATTCAGTTGTTGCTCATGAATTGATCTGTCTATTGACAAAATCTGCACAAGAAAAGAGGTATGAATTTTGATAAAATAAATGTACAAAATGACAAGAAAAATACTTGAGGTGCAAATAGGGGTCTTGATGCTGCATAAACTGAGTTGTTCAAACGATTTGATATTAAATTAGCTGACAGAATATGGAAATCCAAAGGTTATGCTTTACGAAAAAAAGAATGCATTAATAAACAAAGATAGCATTTTTTTCTTAAAGACAAAAAACAAAAACAAACAAACAAAATAAAAAAAGTAATTAATAAAATACTCGGGAAAATCCTAGAAAATTCTAAAAGAGTATTTTTTCTATATTTTCAAAGGAACACATTCAAGTTCACTTGCCTCACTCATAAGTTGTTTGGCTTCCATGACGTTAAATTTCCACAAGTCTGTATACTTTTTGTTATTCATATAAAGGAAATGATTCATTTTCTTTATTGCATTTTCAATATTTGATTGTAAAGAGCTTGATTCTCCATTGACTTTGAGTATTTCTTCTTCAGATAAATATGTTAAGTCTTTCAAAGTTTGGTAGAGATTTGTTATTTCCTCCTGAAGTCTAAAAATGTAACGTTTCGTTAATGATGGGGAAAAAAACGATAAATTACAGAATTTAAAACTACACATAACTTATTTTGAAATATCGACACTTCTGATTTTTCTTGATGTCTGTATCTAGCAAAACTTCTGACAGTGTTCATATAAATTTTCAATTCTCTCGGTGGGTTATATTTTCATTTCTTATAAGCACCTAATAAAATGATACATTTCTTTGCACCAAAGATTTTAGGAGGAAGGATAGTGGAGGAATGATTTCTTAAAAAAGTGAACTTTAAACATGCATTATTTTTTCTTAGACCATTTCCCCTTCATCAGTAAAAAAATTATGAATAGATGAAAAATGCTTACTTGTTAATTTTGCGCTTTTGCTGTGCTTTGATGGAAATATTTTCTTCATCACGTTTTCGTAAAATATGGTAATCATAGTTCAGTTTTTCACTATTCAATAAACATTTGGTTTTTAATTCTTCTAATTTCTGCTGCATTACCTGAAAATTGAATTGAATAGGTATTTCAAATAAAAGTCTTAACTTTTCTACCTCATCAGTTTCTTTTTCCTATCAACTTCGATCTATGATTTATTTGAGTACAAATGGATTTGGGATTCCATTATTTCTGACTTCAAATTCAACGATAAAGTTCCATGAACTTGAAGTCAATGTAAAAATGACTCACCTGAATATCACTTTCAAGACTCATTTTTAACTGACGGCATTTTTCTTCGTATTCAATTGTCGTTATGATCATGCTAGTTTCATGTTCTTCAATTTTTTCCAGTCTGGTTTCAATGTAGCTGACTTCTCCCTTTTCATTTTCTTTATTTAATAACTCCCATTGCTTCCGATTTCTTTCCATTGATTCAAACCGTTCTGTATCTATTGCACTCTGGAAGAAAGAAAAGAAATAGGAGATTAAACCTTTCTTTGATCATTAAATGGATATAAAAAAATAAAAAGCGCCCATGGAAGTCAACAATGGTAATGTAGAAACTCTTGCACAAGCTTAGTGTAAAATGTTCTACCATATAGATATTTTTACTTGGAGTATTTTAATTATTTATGCATAATACTTCATGATGATGTCTAAATTTCGTTATCACGTATCTCCTTTGGAGACATTCCAGATTCCTGCCGTACTTTACTTTTTCTTTGAAAAACTAGTCAATGTAATTTCTTGAAAACTTTTTTGATTTTCCTCCTCTATAGGCAGAATATTTGGTAAACATTTTAAGCTATAAAGTTGGCTTAATTTTCTTCGAAAAAATAAAATAGGAGCGGAAATTTGAGATAGATTGTTTTGCACTCATAGCCCATTCATTTACATGGTTCATTACACATTCATTTTGGAGAGTTTAAAATTTGAAAAAAAGAAAAAAAAATTGACTTCTATGAATTATCATTTGTCTTCATATGCACACTTGTATCATCCAAGTAAATTTGAAGTTCAGTTAACGGTAAAATAATTAGTATTTACCGATTTTTGTTTCGTAAAATAAATTGATTTTTCAGTCAGAAAATTGTAACTAAATGTTCGATGACTAAGTTATGTTTAAAAAGGATTCAACTTTGAAGATTCAATTTTTACCTCAATTAGTATGAGCTGATTTTTGTAAGCGCGACGCATGATATTGATTTGGTTATCAATTCTTTCCACCAAAATGGAAACGTCATTCAGTTGAACCTCTTGGTCAGCAGTAAATCTGAAATCTTCATATTCTAGTTCTTTTTTCAACATGGCAATGATTGTGTTTTTTTGGTTGATGAGCTCCTCACATTTTTCTGAGACAAAAAAAAAGGATTTTAACGAGAAAATTTAAGCCGAAAAATACCTTCGTTTTTAGTCACACAAAAAATCAAAAAAAATTATCACGCTCTGTTTTATTCTTCAGTTTTTCCCCGATTTTAATCGTAATCGCGATTAATTTCGTTAATTGTAATCAAATTGAAAAATCCATAATCGCACAGGTCTAGTTTTTACAAAAGAGATTGAGTATTCACCTCTTTGGACTTGCGAGGCATTGTTGATGTCTAATGGATCATTGAAAGATTCGATTATACGCCATTTGGAGTTGATTTCTTGAAACTTTTCCTCGGCAAGTCTTGCCTCTTCTTCCAGCGCTTGCATGCGCCTGCTATGAGCTTCCGAATGTTCATTGTTCCTTCTTTGTTCTCTAACATTGTTGCCAACACTGACATTATTTATCTGGTGAAATTCAAGAGAAAATGTGTTAAAATAGAGCGACTAAGGGAGTTTGGTTAAAATGTTGATGTAGGTGCACTTTCATGGTTACAATACAAAAATCATTACATTTTGCAGCTGTGTAATATTGTGGTTCACCTCTGTACCACAAAGAAAGTTTGCAAAAACCAAAAAAAAAACCAAGGAGGAACTAAAATTTAACTTTGGATTCTGTTTGCATTTCAGAAATACTATGACTCAAGATCAGCACTCAACTTTTAAAATCGGTAAATAAAATAATTAATCGGTTATAAATTTGAGAAGTAGAACAAGTTCGAAATTTACCTTAAAAAAAAATGAAGTTTAAAATAACAACGCCCACTGCAATTATTGTGCTCATTGTATATATGAGTTGCAGAATGATCACAATTTCTGATTAAAATCTGTTATTCATTCAAATTCAACTCAGGACAAATAATGAAATTTTCAGGTATTTAAACCCATTTTTTTCGATGATAAAATAAACAGATACAGCAAACAATTATTAAGAAACATATCCATGGTAGTATGGCTTACAAGTTCTTTGCCATCTTCGATAAGCAGATTTAGAATCGAGGAGCTCCCGTCCAGCTGTCTTTCCAACAAACTTTTTTCTTTTTCATCATTGCTATCAGAGCCACCAGCATCTCTCCTCCTAGAAAAATAATAAGAAATGGTCATTAAAAACTTGTAATTCTGAAAATCGACGGCGTAAGCCGTCAGTCACATATCTCGTTCGCGGTGTCTGACAATCTCCGCCTCTATGCTATTCTTTAAAAGGAGAACAAATCGACAATGTCAGTAACTTTAAGAAGTTTATGCAGAATTTTTTTCGCAGAGAAGAAAAATCACGGCAGTTTTAAAGAATTGCCGTTGGGTAGTTTTCTGTTTAAAAAATAAAGTATGACATGAAGTTTGCGACGTCGCAAACCGAGTAATGTGATTGCCGACTTACACCGTTGAAATGTCCTGCATGTATTGAGTTCCTTCACTACATATCAGACATCTACCATAGGTAAAATTAAGCACTCTCAGGGAGAAATGTAGAATCTGTACGTGAGCTGTTTTATTGGGGAAAAATAGAGGGTGAGAGGGGTGGAGAGAGAGAGAAATAGACACAAGTTGGCGTTTTTGTGAAGAAAAATAGCAGGTTTCTCTATATCCGTCGCAGAGGAAGAGGAAATAAATGATGCAAGAAAAACGTCATTAAGATAGTACGACGTAACAGTGAACTGGCCCGTATGACTGGCGTACGCGTAAGTGATGGCGGGACACGGCGTGTACCGCTTGTTGCATTCCGCCCTATTTGAAGGCGCGTTTTATATCGTTATCAGCTGGTCGTGGAATCATGGGCACTGCGAGGCGAGAGGCAGCCAAGCCAAAGTCAACATCGCGGAGAGGAATTTGAAGAAAGAGAGGGAGTGAAGAGTGTATTTAGAGAACTCCTTAGTAGCAGTGGCTGTTGAGAAAAGTTGTAAAAAAACTCGTAAATTTTAAGAGAACTTAAAATTTTCTTCAAAACCACTTGAAAATTACGAAAAAGAACTCTTGAAGTATACGTACCAGGAAACCCTTTTTGGGTTTTTTTTGTAAAATTGAAGACAAATTTTAAGTAAATTTTTTTACGTAAATTTTAAANNCCGATCGGCCTGAAACTTGGCATGCTTTCTCTTGACACTTATACGTAACGACTCACAGCAAAAAAAGTCCCGGATTAGGTGGGGCCGGAAATGGCCCAAATCGCCACCCCTCCTTATAAGTAAATTTTAAGTAAAATTTACGTATTTTTTTATAAACTTGGGCAAAACAAGGAGGGAAACAGTGGCGAAGAGAAAAGTATATAAAGTTGCAGCCCATAAAAATTGAGGATAAAGTTCGTTGTTTTTCACGTAAATTTTACGTTTTCCTCTAATTAAAATAACACTATTTTTTTATTTAAAACAATTCCCCAAAAGGGTTTCCTAAAACGAGTATTTAAAGAGTTTTCTTACTTAAAATTTACGAACTCTTAAGATTCAAAAGTTTTTTACATTTTTTAACTTTTTCTAGAATTTTTTTTTAAGAGCCATTGCGACTTACTAGGGTTTGCTCCTTGCGTCGCCGGTAAAATTACTAACCTCTTTCCGATGAGAGCTCGTTTTTCGATCCTGAGTCTCCGCGCGAGGGTTCTGGCGGTGGCCCCCGATTTGCGTCTCTGGATGTCAGTCACTACATCCTGGACGCTGGTGACGCTGGGGGAGCCCGCGGCGCTCTCGTCCGCCCTGGAATTCGCGATAACTGACGCCACTGATAAGCGTTGCATCTCCAACTCGGCTTAGCCGCACTTATCTGCGACGGCGGCCTCTGAAATCAAAATTCGCGGGGAGAATCGCCCGACTCAAGATACGTTCACCGGACGGACAGGGAACGAGAACTAATAAGGAGTTGACAAAAAACCTATTGATTAAACAATCATAACGACCGAGCACCTCCCGTTGCCAATGCAACAAGTTAGGTGAGCATCAATGGAGGATTCTACTGAAATGGGGGTNAGAAAATCGACGGGATAAAAACGTCGCTGTACCCACTGACGTCATCAAAGCTATAGATAATCTATGAAAAATTCCAAGATGCCCGAAATGCAAACACCTCCTTTTTTTTCTCTGTGGCATTGTTTGACCTTTGACAACTTATTACGGGGGCTGAGGGGCAGGCTTTTCTATGGTATTTCTCCTTTCATCATCGTAGTCGTACCAACGTTCTGTCGTGCTGAGGAAAAACGCCGTGTGAACTTTCGAGGGTTGCCAAATTTCCTTGGGTAAAATGTTTATTTCGAGGAAAGGTATGAATATTTTTCCATTTAATTTCCAGAATCTTTAGGTGAAATTGCGAACAAAATTATCTGGAAAATTGTGAGGGAAATATTCATAAGTTTAACAGGAGATTCGCTTTTTATCGAAGGAAATTTGGCAACTCTCGAATGTTCATACGGCGTTTTTCCTTGGCACGGTAGCGTTAGTGTAAAAACGACAGAGTAAAAGGCAAACTAGGATAGTTTTCTTCTACCGAAAATAAAAACAATGTTAAGAATAACTCCAATTTCCTGACTCTGACAAATCGTTGATACTCTGGCGTGACGGGCAAATCTCGATTTCCGCATGAGCTCCAGAAAATACAGATTTTTATGTAAACAGCCTGTGTCACACTATCAAAGCTAGTTATCAAAATATCAAGGTCAGGTGTTGTGATTGGCTTATTCGTTGATTTGGACCAATCACAGCACTTGACCTTGACATTTCGATGGAGTATTTTGATACGGTGACACAGGCTAAAGGGGCAATGAAAAGCTAATTCTGAGTTACTAGTGAAATGGGACACAACTTTAAAATCCACATTCGTACGTTCTAGCTCATCAAGCTCTAAGAAAGGGAACACTCTTTCATATTTTGTTTTAAAAAAAAGCAAAGGAAACTAATTTGAGCTGAAGATCTAAGATTGGAGCACTTATTCATTTTAACAAGCATAAGGACGGAATGAAATCTGTCAGACATAAGTAACAGACAGTCCTCCTCTTAAAACCACGTTCCTGAGTTGCAACTTTGTGTTTGGCCTTAATTTCATTAAAATCTGGAGAAAACAGATTTAAAACCTTGATTCTAAATTTATACATCTTGGTATAACATGTTGTTCCCAATTTGCAAGGCATGTACTCAGTGGTTTCTCTCATGTTTTCGCATATGCTTGGTGTTTCTCTCATATTTTCCAACAACTGGAATTACTTTCAAAAATTCATGCAAAGTGTACGAGAGTATCACATTTTTGCGATCAAGAATTTCTATCCATTTGCTGTTGAAGAAAAGCAACTTGTGCGCTTTTGAAGAATTGGGTTTTCCTGGATACATGATTTGGTAGTTTCACCTTTGGTGTCCAATGCAAAAGTGTCCAACCCGTTTCAATGCAGATTCAATGCCATTACAATGGTGGGAATTTCACATTGACATCATGGTATATTGAAAACAAGTATTAAATGTCTTTAGATATGAAAACTTATCATCAATGACAGGCTAAGTGCCAAATAGTTAATTTGGAGCAATTCACATTTTTATTTTTGAAAACTGCCGTAGAGAGCACCATTTCCGCTATCTTTTGGACATTGCACAAGCTATCCTATGGTTGGTGGCACTTAACCTGTTATTCATGATAAGTCTTCGTATGAATTTCAATCAGAATCGATATCACTGTGTCAGCCAAAATGTCTACATAGGTCTGTTGCAAGCAAGAGACACAGCCAAGTAAGTAGGCTTTCAACGGGTACAAATGCACAAAAATCATGTTGAGAACATAAAAAAGTCTGAAATAAATTCCTTAATGCACAATTACACAGTTTTTAAAATGCTTCTTCTGATTTACCCCGTCTGGGGACAGTTACGTTTGTCCAGAAAGACTCGAAAAAACCTACCCTAAATGAGCAGACAGACAATCTCGCAAACTGTTAAGAACTTTCTCTAAATAAGATTTCAATTGACTTGAAGCTTTGTTTATGCAAAACAAAGATAAAGAAAGAAAATGAATGCAGATTGCCCTCTAAAGAAGGAATTTTGACTTTTTCTGTGCCCAATGTAACTTGTGTGCAACTTTACCGATAGAAAGGCTGTTAACTTGGTTGGGTCTTTTGCCTGCAACAGCCTCATTTTCTAAGATCAGGGTGTAAGATCAGTGTATGAGTATACATATTTCCTAAAATCTGCACATGAGATAGGTTTATTTTTCAAAGTTCATTTAAAGCTGTGCTAACAAAGGTATCACACAGTTTTGTATCATACAATCCCGATGTTTTCTACAGTTACTATTAAAAATACTAAAGATGAAATAAAAAACTAGATACCTCACATTAAATTGAGATATTCTAGAAAAACACAAAATAAAAAGGAACAGATTGCAGCAGTATACTTCGGCTTTGATAAAAGACTTAAATATCGCTGGAAAAAGTGCAAAACCACGTACCTCTGTTTGCGATGTTACAGAATTTCTGTCATACTTTATTTTTTCTTTAGAAAACTAGTCAATAGAATTTTTTGAGAACTTCCTTACTTTTTCTCTCTATCGGCAAAATATTTTGTATAAATTTCAAACAAAAAAGTTAGTTTGTTCCTTTTCGAAAAAATAAGATGAGAGAGGGAATTTTGAAACAACGCGATGGAGGTGCATGGTTTTGTACTTCAGCCATTGATACACTAGAAGCAACTACTTAAAAGAAAATTGTCGAATTTCTTTTATTTGTTCTTTTAATAATTTTACAGAAAATTTGGAGGGATAATACTGGAATCGGCCTTACTACATCAATTTTTGCCTAACTTTCATTCATGATTTATTTTTCTAGCAGATAAGTGAGCAACATTCCATCTTGAAATTTTGAGAATATATTCTGTGAAATCTAAAAGAGATTCACAGAAAGGCTTGAGGGAACATGCTGATGAGTTTCCTGTTACAAAAATAAAATGTGAGAGGAAATTAGGCAACATCAAATGTAGTTACGCTGATTCCAGGTAAACCCGCCATTTTTCCTTAACTAAAACAGCTGGTCAGAACTAAGGTACGATGAAAGTAGAGTTGGGCCAGGTATCCGGCGACCACTGCACATCAGATTCGTCTGGCCCACCACACCATGAAGCCAATGAAAGCCATGCTGCTTATCTGCCAGGACTTTTTTTTTAGTATTCATTAGTTAGCATGTCGACTCATAGCGAATCATTGAAAAATATGGAGGTTGCCAGTGCGAAGGCACATACATCCTGGATGACGGTCTTGATGGTGTAATACACAGTGTGCCTCTTGTCCCTAGCACGAAATCCGGAAATTTTTTTCACGCGAAAAAGCACTATCCGGATCCAATATAATCTGGTTACGGCCGGATACCTTGGCAAATTATCCAGTATCCGGCTCCGGCCGAATACAAAAAATCGATATTTGTATCCATATCCGTTGACGCGGAAAATTCATTTTGGCCCAACTCTACTTGAAAGGCTTCGTATATCCTGTAGGTGAATAAACTTGAAATTCTTGAAGATATCGAAATTGTATAATTAAGTGCATTACACTTAGTCATTAGATTTAAAAAAATTAAGGAGGAGGGGGAGAATGTCTGTAATTTTAATTCTATTGCTATAATATAGCTATGTAAGGAATATAGCTATAAAGGAAAATATTTTCAGTCCTTGTACTTAATTAAAGAAAAAAAAAGAAAAATGACTGACATTTTATAAACCATGTCTGAGACCAGATAAATCCAACGATATAAAAACTGTAGATTGGAAGATCCTATGCTCCGCGATGAGTGAGTTTTGTACCCCGCCAAGAGCAAAAGTTACGTTACTATGGAGATACATAGTTGCTTTCTTTTGTTTCTTACGGGACTCTTGTTTTCAAACTTTTTCAAGACTTTCATCAAATAAAACACTGAGTCCAGACTTTTATCCAATTCAGGACAAAGTGATAGAAAATCTGTGTCCAGTTTTCAGACTTAGGTATCCTCCAAGTGAGTTTACGGCAAAAAGTTGAAACGGCAAATCTTTAATAGTGAAAACTCTAGTAAGAAAGAAGCCATGTTATTTTCAGGTATGGAGATTAGAACAAGAATAGACCCCCCTCCTCCTCATTGAAAAACTGCTCCCCGCTGGGTGCTTTTCTTCACACCAATCTATGGTCTTTATATCGGTGGATAGATCTCTTTTTCCCTTCTGTTTCATTAATTCAAAATTTTTCTTCACATTTCATACCTTCTGTCATTAATTTCTGTGTATAAATTTTGCATAAATAATATTTTAATTGCCATTTTCAGTTGCCTGAGGTGTATACAGAGTATATCCTTTATTGATTCATTTCCATTACAGTACATCACATTTTTTTAAACATAAATTCATGTCCACCTTAACAATTAAAATTCTCAAACCATTTATGGGTCAATTAGAATTCTGAAGATTGACATGACTGTGAAAGACTTGAGCCCAATTAATAAAACACTTGTAATATTATTGGATGTATTGAGCGGAAACTGGAAGTTTCTTCTATGAATAATGAACTGTAATAAATGTTAGTATTAGCTTAAAAATCCCATATGTTCGAACAACAGGATATGAAATGAAATGAATGAAAAAGAATATGATAGAAGAATATATGTAGAAAAGAGTACTTTCTTTATGATCTATTCAGAAGTGAAAATAGATCAAAAATACTTTAACTGCTGACTGTCTAACAAATTTTTCAGTACATAGCAGTTACTAAAAACATTTTTTTTTCTCAAAGAAAGAACCTTCATATTTTTACAAATTAACTAACATAAAACGAAAAAATTCCCAAATATAAAAAAGAGGCGATAGTTACAATGGTGCTTCATCATTTGTCAGGTAGATTTAAAAACCAAATTAAGCTGAGGACTCAGTGGGTTTAATTCTCAAAACAACAGGTACGCTCGTACATGGAAGGATGGCAAGCTCGGTGACTACAGCTGTTACTAAATCTGGAGGTGTCACGTCATAAACTAAGCTCAGGGGCACTAAAAAGTTGTTCGACTCCCAGCCGTTCAGTGGACTCGCAGTGCTCACTAGCTCATTTGGATCACCTGCAAAACAAGGAAAAAACCATATTGAAAACGATAAAACATGAAAGCATAGCCCATAGATACAAATACAATGGCATAAAATAGTAAAAAATAGGTAAAACAAGGCTAAAAATATTACAACACTAAAAAGACAGAACATTTTGAGCCACCCATGATCGCATTAAAGCGATTGGGGTCACTTCGCCACTGAATATTTTATTAACTTTCACTGTTTTGTGCAGCTGAAAATGAGCCTTTAACGGCTCGAATCATACTGCCATTTTAGTCTTTTCAGATTTTTAGCCTTGTTTTACCCATCATATACTTTTTTCCCTATTGTATACTTTGAAAACTAGGCACTACATTGGGGCTATCTCGGTCAAATTTACACAAACGTAGAAATCAGATGACATTTAGCACTATTTTCAGAGTGCACTCATTGCAAAATACAGAGGCATCTTTAAGATAGTTGTTGCTTTCATGGGTTTTCAGGGTTTTCATGGGTTACCATTTTGCCCCTTTATTCTAACAGTGACAACCTGTGAACACTTGGAAAGCAAAAAAAGAAGTCTACCGCCCCCAAAAATTTGCTGCCATAGGAAGCAGCCCTTGTAGCTGCCCTCTTTAAATAGAGCCATGTAGACTTTTTGATCAAGGGAGATCTGTAGGGCCTCCCTTAAAGAATATTGCAAAATGGCTTGAGAATTTGGCTGCTGAAAAAAATGTATTGAAACCAAAAAAATTCAAGGAAGGAGGATTTTTAAAAAAATCATGTCCAAAGAGGGAAGGGTAAATAGTTTCTATTCTATTTTAGGGATGGCTGTAACACAAAAATCAATTAAAATTCCATCCTGAATGCGTACTTAGCTTGATTCCTTACCTAATTCATTGTAGACAAACGCATCCGTTTGGACTCGCTCTGAGAACTTATGGGTTTCACAACAGACTAGGACAGGGACGTTTGCTGTGTTGGCAAGCAGCGCAACCATTGCAGTCCCAGATCTTGACATTACACACCCATTTGCAAGGAGAGCGTGGGCACCAAGTAAGACTTTGCTTGCCTGAAATAAATAAAAATCAATTTATTAAAATACAAAAAAAAAAAAAAAAAAAAAAAAAAAAAAAAAATCAAGTCCTGGGATGTATAACCTTCTTCAGTATTGACAAACTAGAATTTTGATGAGTTCTTTAATTTTCCTGCATTTTGAATATTTTAACTGAGAACCAGAGCAGGCAGCCAGGCCGAAGGTTTTACCGTGGTTGATACTTTTCAAAAATAAGTGATGTGTGTAAAAAAAAAAAAAAAAAAAACTTAAAAAATCAATTAGGTATCCTAAATTTTAAACATCACTCGTTAGATTATTTTCTTGGATATAAACAAACGACAAAGATTCTGAACCACTATGTCTGAGAAGAGCCCTTTTTTGCACCCACCACTCAAGTGCTGTAATAGAAACCTGACTCGAGCAATCAATGCCCAACGGCAAACACTAAAGCATAAAATCAGCTATTCTCCTGCAGAACAGGGTTATAATGGAAATTTCTGGTTATTAAATCATTTGATCATGATTCTGAATCAGAAAAAAATCTTGATCAGAAAAACTCCTAATCACTAATCAGTAATAGTAGCAGGGAGGAGAAAAATTACCTGCTTCATTATGAAACTAGCTGCTGAAATGAGTACATATGTGCATGGAATTTTAGCCTTGACAAGTCTCCGAAGCATCTCTTTTCCTTCAAACCATGGAGCACTATCAATAATGACGACACTAAAATCAACGCCAGCTTCATGGGCTTCTTTTAAAATCCGTTCAACTAATGATGAGCTAGGAAGAGCAAAAAAAAAGACCATGAAGAAACTTTTATTAGCATACACATTATAGAAAAAACAAGTAAAAATATAAATAGATGATTCGTTCAGAATTTTATCAGCCAGAAAATTTTCATGAAAACGAAAAACAAAATAGGGAAACATGGCTAAAGAGTTGCTATGAATATTCCATTTTAACTTTGCTTCCCAATTTTACTGTCTGTTTTTAAATAAGTATAAAAAGACATGCTTTCAAATATAAATTTATAAGAAGAACAGTACATTATAAGAATAATATGGCAGCAACAATGCAATAACTTGGGATCATACAGGACAATAGAGTCGCTATTGTATTGGGGCGCCGCTAAAGTCAATTCTTGAACGGTGCATTCCTAGCCTCCTGTCTTAATCGGCGCTCCAGTGCTTGGCGACTCTATTGTACTCTCTGCTTGGGGTTGGTCAACTTCACTGAGAATAAATATTTTGACCGATTTGAGCGATGTTTAATTCTTACTGTACTCACTTTGAGGAGAAAAAAACCATAAAACAAAAACGGATATAGTTTCAAAAATACTGCCCAAAAAATTAATGAAATTGAAATCAGTTTTTTTTCTGAAAGTATTGATTTTTCTAATTAGAATAAAAATGCAAAAAATTTGCATGCCTGTATAGGATCAATACTCTGACTGTCATAATGAGACTTAGAATTCTTCTCTATACAGAGACAGGATTGTTTTTTACACAATAAATTTATCTGCATACTTTCATAAAATTATCTGCACTATCAACGATGAGAAGTGAATAAAATCTTACCATCCAAAAGTTAAAATAACATCTCCATTGGCAATTTTCTTGCGGACAAATAGCGAGATTGCTTCACCAGCTACTTCAATTTGTTCTTTGATGTAAGTTGTGATTACATGACTCATCTTAAGGCGGGCCTGTAACGAGAAGATGAAAATTTCCAATTGAGATAGAGTGGGCTTAACAGATTTTTAGTTGACGAAGAATGCTTAGAAGTCTTAATTTTATAAATGAGTACAGATGAATTTAAGAACTACACGTTAGTCTTTTAAGATATCACACAAAAAATGATTTGCCTAAATATAAGTTCAGAAATGAGCCATTGAGCAAGATACAAACAAATAATACTTTGATATAATGGCCCTCCATTTGTGGACTTTTCTGTACTCGGCTGGTATGCTCCGTTTTTTTTCAACATCTTTATTCCTGTTTTTCTTTTAGACACAATCATTATTTTATCAATAATTATCAATGTAATAAAAATGATAGTTTATTTTAGGGATATCCAAAAAAAAATCATACACAGTTGGAAGAAAGGAATAAAAAAGCAAGCAAAATAATGACAGAAACTGTTAAAAATTACATCAAAAATTGAACAGCAGACCCCTTGGTCGGAGGGCGACCCTTTAAGCTGCTACACTACTTCAGTGGAGAAACGCGATGAGGGTTATTTTGCCGTTTCCACAAGCAACCCTCACTACCAGTTTCTTGACATTTTTTTGGGCCTATTAGCCAATATATATTAGCTGGAACAGCCACATAGGGGCCCAATAGTTTTGTTTAAAGAACTTTTGGCCATACTCCTATAAAAATTTAGGAAGGGCGATATACGACCTCCCCCTCCCCTTGTAAGAGTAAATAAAAGAATTACCTCAGCATCAGTTATATTATTAGGCAATTGAGTGAGATGCCACTTTATGTGCTTCAATGCATTAGTCATGGACACAGAGACTGGACGACATTGGTTCAGATAATTTACTGCTGGTTCTAATTTAGCTTCGAAACCACGGGAAAACTCCTTCTCTGCGGGTGTTTTGTAATCGCTCAGCATCTGCAAATTCAACGACAAAGATTACTTAGTTGAAATAAATTAAGAGTAAAAAAAAAATTGAACATTCCTACCAAAAAAATCAGTTAAAAGGGAGCTAAAACTTGTACTTTACTCTACAGGGTTTTTTTTCTGAGATCTTGGTAAATTATTTTCATGTCTTTATGAATTGAAAAAAAGAAATATTTCTCCTCGATTTTTGGAAGACGAAGCTCCTAATGCTTAGCTATCGAAACTAGAAACAAGAGGCTTGTTTTGAAAACTGCTCAACATTATTGGGACGTTCTGCTGATTTTTCTTTACAGGGTAATTATTAAATATTTTTGATATTTTAAAGAATATGAGTTGATATGTTCGATAAAAACTTTTAACAAGTTAATATTTCATTCTTAAAGGGGAATATTGATCAATCATGAGGGATATGCTATGGAAGAAGGCCTTCAGCTACTGGAATATCAATATTGATATTTGCACCACCGTGTAGTGGAAATACTACTTGGCAGCTTGTAGCTAAAAGGGTGAAAAAAATAAAATAAATAGTGAATATTTCAAAAATTGCTTGAACGAGAATGTTCAAAATTAAAACATCAAAAATAATACTTTCCTGTCAAATCGATGTTAGGTTACAAAAAACTATTAAATGAAAAAACTAAAAATGAAACTAAAATGAAAACTATTACATTTTCATACAAAAAAGATGGCCTAAAAATTAGTGCTGAGTTTGGTTACATTCATTGATGAAAAATTGAAACTTGTAAAAAACTTTAAAAGTTAATGCATTAATACTTGGGAAACTAGTTCATATTGAAAAATACACACAGCAAAAGCATCATTATAAAAAGCAGTTTGTGGATAGGATTAAATTGTATTTTACCTGCTTCAAAACATAAAGCAACGCTACACATCTTGCATTTGATCCGACGATGACTCGATTAGAATACTGGACGCCCAGACCAACAACTGCTGGATGTAAGTCAATACTATTCAATCTAAAAACAAACAAATAGAAATTGAAAATACATTAAGGCTTTATGAAATATAAATCTAAGCTTTGATAGAAGTTTAATTAAAGCATTACTTACTAAGAATCCAGATAGGTAGGTTTGAGGAAACAGTAAGATCATTTTAATAGTATAAGCTGTTGGACATTTTATATTTATTGATCCCTTATTCTATGGAATACCTGAGGCCTTTTCCCACTGAGGCTATTAGCGTTAAACGTTCATTAGTATCTCAAAATATTAAACATTCAAATCCACCTTTGTTTGCAAGAGTTTATCACTTTTATAAAAGTTAGGAGTCAACTTTGAAACAGGTTCGTCTTAAAACTCACTTTTCACCTTTGTCCCCTTCTTCCAAAAAAGTATTCAATTACGTCTTCGATCGAGAAAAACTTTGTTGGATAAAAATAGACTGAGAAACAATGATTCATGAATTTTATTTTACACTGCAGTAATGCTTCAATTCATTTAATTTATCTCTTTCTAATGAAATTAAAAAATTATATCTATGGGTTAAGAAATGGTGGTCTCCGTCCGGGCCAATGGAAGGGAGAAGAGGCAGCCGGCTGCAACAAAGCTCTCTAGAAGAATGGTTTTAAATGTGATTGATAACAGAGTGTCTAGTTTTTTTTTTTCATTTTGGGAGATCCTGATTATTCCTGATTTTTGACTACTAAATCCTGATTTCATAATTTTTCCAAATCCTCATCAAATCCTGCTTTATTGCGGAGAAAAATTAAAATTTCTGCATAAGATTCTGTTGCTATTTGGGTAGAGGGAATGGAAGATTTTTAGCAATAGTATACTATTACTAATTCTTGCTACCTTAAACGTTCAACATATAGCGGCCCTAGGAAAGGGCATCAGAGGTCCAAGGATATTTGCTAAAAGATAAATCCAGTACGTCACTGACAAAGGTACTGCAAAAGGAAGATGCCTCAACCGTGAGAGCTGCCGCAGCAGGAGAATGTGATTAGTTGGATGAGAGTGCAGCTTGCCGCCATGTTTCAATAATTGCATTGAGCATGCAAACAAGTCTGATGTTTCCATGTTGGTAGTGGCCATCTGCTGCTTTAAATTCCTTTGTGCTCTTCCATATGCAGAACCCGGTTTTACTGATCCTTGTGATTAGTTCTCTTTGGGGAAGAATGGACCTTCAATAAATTCTGGGAGATATGATCCGCTCATGCACGGCATGAGCCAATGCAGCTTGATAGAGTGGGAGGGGTAGGGTTCAATGCCTGTAAGGAAGCCATGTTCAATAAAGATGTAGCCTTTGAAAGAGGATTTTTTTATAATCTTATTCGGTATTTGAATTTTTATTTTTTAAAAGAGGGTTAAACATGCCAATCCATTTTAGTCCTCAGAATTCAGCAGGGGTGCCGAAAATGCTCCACTTGCAACGCGCAAAATCGCCACAAGCGAGCTCAGAGCTCGCAGGTGGCTTGCAGCTAACTCAGCCGGCTGATAATGGGGCCATCTTGACCCCAAAACACGTCCCATAAAATTATTAAACAGCGCAAGTGAGTTCGCGAAATTTAATCTCTTTTTTACAATATTATGTTGTGACTGTCCCCTACAAAAGTTCCTATGCGAGGAAATTTTCCCTCTTTTTATGGAAAATGAGAAATGAACGTAAAAGCCTAACAATTGTTTATATTTTTGCTCGACAAATACTTCTTAAATTTTGGAGAAGTTAAAAAATTTTCTGAAAATGAGATAATTTTGAGGCTGAGGTAGTGACTGGTTCTTCCTTCAAAGGGCTTTCTGCATCCCTGGTTTTCATGAAAGAATGGTTTGAAATTTCAACAGAAGCACATTTGTCATAGGAGACTATAATCAATTCCTCATGAAATCTTGAGATATTCTTAATTAAATATCCTTGTCCAGACCTCTTGACTGATGTTTGAGAAGTATCACATTAATGTGCAAGCAAACCTGGTGCTATTGCGTTAGCTATGACTGGAAATTACCCTGCATGTATTCTTCACACAATGCGAACCCAGACTAGGCGAAAAACGTGAAGTTAAAATATCAACTTTTACGACAACTGAACAGAAAAAAATCATGATTTACAGATCATGATAGTACGCTCAGCTTTGTATATCTGCATGCCAAAAAGAGCATTGAAACTCTGTTGTTGGCACAAGGCTAATCATGGCCCCAAAGAATGATCCTTGCACCATCTAACGCTGCTGGTGAACAGCAACATGGGGAGAGCTGCTACCAGTTAATGCAGGATAAAATACAGAAAAATAAAGAAATAGCAGAAAAATTTACTTCATTTTTTTCTCTGTCTTTACTTCAATTTTAATATCATAATCCCAACAAAAGATGCTGTGAGTGCTGCCAATAGCTCTAGTAAAGTATGGATAAGATTCAGATTTTTTGTCAAAGTTTCTAATTCTAAGAAAATTTAGATTCTGTAGAGACGAAAACAAAAAAAACCCAATTAATTTGATGGTGACCAAAGTAAACTTACATTGATTTGTAGTTGATACTTTTTTCTCTGTACAAATGACTGAACAGTTTAATTTTGTTCTGGGATGCTTGTTTCGTCGATGAACCAGCGAACGTTACTGATTTAGATTTCGCTTCAGAGTCTGACTTGGCTGTGGGCTAAATTTAAAACAGAGACAAAATTACAGTTTATCAATCAAAATTAAGTCATACGATTTAAAGCATGCTAAACAAAATTATTTTACAAGACTTAGATAACTTGATAATGACAAAAAATTCTTGATTTATTTTCTCAAGGGTCAACGAGTCTTTGATTTTGCTTTTACATAAAGCAACCTGTATTTTATCACGGTGAATTAATATCAGTAAATGTTACCTTCTCTGTGCTAAAGCTGGAATAAACCTCTTTTTTTAAATTATTGAAATGAAGAAAAAATCTTGTTGTGATGATTGATATTAAAATCATCCGTCAAAAGTCACCAATTTCCATTTTGTTCCTGACTCAAAATCACTGGGAACTTAAATTCATCTCATGAGGAAATATGGAAATCTCTCTTCTCATTGTATTGTATATTTTGCACCGAAATGAGCTATGGACGCTGTCTAGTTATAGTATTTGTTGTAAAAAAAGCCGATATTTAAAAGAAAGACAATTTACTTAGGACTCGAGATGATCATTTGGTGACTAAGGAAAATGATTGAAAAAAATTATTTTTCAAACATACTTGAATATGCTAGTGAAAAAGTGAACTGATCTGAACTTACCCTTTTGATGGCTGATTTGGCAGGCTTCATTTCAACTGGTTTTGGCGATGCTTTGGCGGGTGCAGTTTTCACTGGTGCTGCTTTACTGACAGCCTTGGCAGCCCGTTGTGCTTCCTGCATGATAACAAAATAAAATATTAGAAAATAATATACTAGAGCCCGCAATAAAGGTCAGGAGAAGAGGTTTGCCTTCAATCAAGAACGGACAAAGTTACAAAATGCCTAATAGAATTGCCATTTTTTACATTTCTGTTTCATGTCTTAATTTCTTAGCAATGATCATTCAACATAATAACAGTATATTTCTAGAGAATATAAAACATAGTGTAAAGACAAAGTTCCAACATTTTTAAACTCATAATAATCTTGACCACTTTCCCCTGAATCAAATGGAATGGCCTCCGAAGTACCGATTAGTGAGACTTACATATATTGGAGAATCAACAAATAACAAGGAGTAGTTTTATAGAACAGAAATTGGTAAAAAGGAAATAATCACAATTTTAATTTAAATTGGCGATTTAGAAATTAGACAAAACCGGCCAGAGGAAAACGTCAGAGGTAGTAAAGGCCTGTTTGTTTGGATGATTTCGCAGTGGCTACTATGTGATTTATTGTTTTTATAATTTAGATTTTTTTAGTTTTTTCTTCTTCTCTCTCTCTCTTTTTTTTTTTTTTTTTTTTTTTTTTTTTTTTTTTTTTTTTTTACAAAATGAGAATTAAAATACATATTTGTTTAAATATTAATTTCATGGTAAATTTCTGTTCATTTTCAAAATTTCGATCAGGTGCAGGTTTAGGATAACCTTTTTGTTGAAGACTAGTCTCAATTTTAGCTTGATTAAAATAAGTTCGTCATCATTTTATGTCAGTGCAGTGAACTTGCATCTTTCATAATAATATCAGCCGCCTTCTTTGGTGTCAAAATTTGATGCTATTTCCTTAGTTTAATTCTAGTTTTGAGAAAACAGCATTTCTATTAGAAAAATGATAATTCTACCTACTGACATAAGATTAACTTTAACCTTGGATACTGCGGTAGAAAAATGAGGACTTGAATTCTATTCCTTTCCAGGATACATCTTCAGTCAAGTTTTACTCAGGATGATTTAACTAAACACAACTGATCTCTTTCATCAATAATACCCTCCAACTGTGAAATAGAACACACTACGGAAAATAAAAGAAACTGCTGAAGAGAACAAAGAAAATGGAGAATTTACCTGCTTGGCTCTTCTTTCAGCTTTTAACTCAGCCTTACTCTTGGTAGGTTCACCACTACTTTCCAAAGGTTTACTGCTCACTGGAGGAGAAACTTGAACTACAGTCTTGGAAGAAGTAATTGCAGGTTTTGGCGCGGTCTCAAGACCTTCAATGTAATGCAATGAAGCTTTTTTCATTTCTGCAAATCAAATCAATAATTAAGTACGGTCAACTGGTATTGAAAAGAAACTTAAAATAATTCAATGAAGCCATTTTGCCTCATTGGATAAGTGTGATGCATCCGATAATATTTTTCATTTTAAAGAAAAAGATTATTTAATGTAGCCTTCATACTTCTACAACTCTAGATAAAAATCTGTCAGTGGATGATTTTTGTTCATTTCCATTTTCTCAGTATAAATTAAATTCTTTCAATAGTTCACTTACAAATCATGACTGCAGAGCTGTTTTGAATAATAAATGACTCATGCATCAGTATAATAAAATTACTCATGTTTAATTTTATGAGAAAAATCACTTTAATAAACTTTTATGAAAAAAATCACTTTAAACATACTCGTTAACAAATAGAGAATTCACTTCGTACATAAATGCGAAAACACACTGAGACAATTCAAGCTTTCAATCACTTTACATCATCCATTGATGTGACTGTGTGTGTCAACTTCTGTGAGGCACACCAGATGCATTGAGTGTGGCTCAGGAGCAACATCCCATATTTGTCAATATGATGCAATGAGACTGATCAATGAGCTAGATAATTCTCTACTGTTTGAGTCTCTGTACTGATTAGTAACTGAACTGAAAGAATGGAAATTAAGAACTGTTACAGAATGCAAACAAGCAGCAAGATGAAGAATAAGAATAGTTCAGTCGGTTTGTTGACTTGTGATGGTCATTAGTAAAATTTCTGCTTTAAAGTTTCCTTGGCAAATGTTTCTTCTCCTATTTTTCTTCTTCTTGCAGATGGAAAATAGAATTAAAAAATAAAAGTAATAATAAAGAAATTAAAAAATAAAGAAGGACGAAATTACCCTTGCTCAGCAAATTGATGTCTTGTTGACACACACCAGAAAAAGCTTGACGTTCTTTGAGTATACATCCGTCGATTTGATCGTTGACTATGGGAGCATCATGTAGAAACTTTACGTTCAAGGGAATCCCAGGGGTAGCACAGTCAGTCACAGCTTTTGGAATTGGATTAGGCTTAGCACTATCTATTTTACTTGATGGAGATTGCTTCTTTAGTACAAAATCAACGGTGGATTTTCTACTTTCACTGCCACTAGTACACTTAGAATTCACGGTTGGAGCAGATGATTCTACAGAGCCATCAGGGGCCGACATCTTCATGATAGAATCTGTTTTAGAAGAATTCTTGACATCATTCACAAGGTCATTCTGAGTTTTAGGTTTCTTCTTGGCCTGCTTTGCCTTCTTTCTAGCTTCACGTTCGGCCATGACTTCTTCTCGCGTTTTTTCTTTTGCCTCCATTTTGTATTTTTGGAATTTAATTTACAAAAATTAGGAAAAAAATTTATATAAAATATAAAGTCAAACTTTTGACTGCAATTTAAAAAAAAAAAAAAAAAAAATCTATGTTGATTCAGTTTATATAATGAAAGTCTCTGGGAAAATAATTTTGCCAACAAAATGAGACAACGACTTCATTTGAAGAGAATGGTGATGATGAGGTTTTGTTAGGCAATCTCCACTGAGGCTTCATTTCCGAACAAGACATCTGGAAAATATAGTATAGAAATATTTAGGGATACATCAACAATAAAATGACAATGGAAAGATAATCTGAAGCTTTAATTAAATCACTTCAAATGAGAACAATGGATATTCTCCTCTTCTATCCTCCTTAACTCAACAAGCAACTCCTTACGCAACAGTTGAACTGCACAAGCACGAAACTCAGTTCAGATTTCCTGTGAAAATTAATTTTCACAATGGACTCAGCGTCATTTCTTGAAAACTTCCTTAATTTTTTCTCTGTGAGTGAAGAAGATTCTGTAAATACCTATCTCAAGCGATAGTACTGTTTGAGCACTGCAAACAAGATGCTCATTTTTGCACTTTTGCCATCAAGACATTCATTTTAAGATGCCCTTGAAGCAAAATTTTACCTGCAAAATTGATGATCAGATTTACCTTAAAGCAAAAAGATTCAATGGCAAAGCAATCAAAAACAAGTCATACCTTTTAAATGGTGAAAATAATTACGTGGTTGTGGCATTCAACCAAATAGATGAGGTGGGTAATTCGGTTTTATAAATGATATAGGAGTTATTGGAAGTAATAATGGATTACTTGATTTAGCTGTACAAAAAGAAACAGTTTTCTCTAAGTCGAGCTCAGAGTTTTGCTTCTTTTCATTGATTTCTCCGTTCAAGTTAGCAGAGAATGAGAAAGCATGACAGTATTGATTATGCAGATAATGCTCCGATACATGCCAGCCATCCCAATTTTGTGACACGATCTTGGGTCCATCCCATTTCCGCATGCCACTAAGCCAGTTTCATGGTCAAGGAGCTTCGGCACCCCCGAAATTTCCCATGAACAAAACCGACTATTCTGATGCAACAGTATTCGGTAAAGAACAGATCCAAAATAGTGGTTGAAAGGTAAATATTTCAGTGTCCTAGGGTCTACCTACATTTGCTCAAAAAGATTGCATCATCGCTAAGCAGAAATGTACAGTGACTCAAAAAACCATGCAATAATTTGTTTGAGATCCATTTGAAAAACAAATTGCAAAGCTTATTCGTTGAGCACAGGGCTTACTCAAATTATTGAATTTCAATCGTGACTTGACTTGAGAGAGGACAGGCACATCAACTGACGAGAACTTAGCAGAGCATATGGCTCTGGTAAGTAGAACTGTCCGTTGTTTTAAAATGAGTAGAAACAGGGGTTAATTCAAGACCCAACTCAGTATCATGTTAGAATCAACGGGAATAGAATTTCCTCAGTTGTCTCTTTTTTCCCAAATTGAGCAAAAAGTTGAGGTAGATAACAAATCTGATTACTGGACAAAAATGACCCTAGGATAACCACAAGACAAAAGGATTCTCTGATAGGGAAGAACTACTTACAAAAACCGTGATGAACAGGATGAGAGAGGTAGAGCACTTCAACTATTTATTTCGCCTTAGCTACATAAATGACTTTCTATATTCTTCGATTGAGTTCACGAGGTGGAATTGCCAATACTTTACATCAGATAATTTCAGATAAATTTTCAATTCAACAAATGAACATAACCTAAGTGGATGAAAAAGGGTGACTAAAATTCAGGATCAGGTGGTGCAATATTTAAGTTGGCAGCCACGTGCTGACGTCATTCTGATCAAGCACTGCGTATAATTACGTCATGACAATCCTGAGCAATCGGAAAACAATGAACTTGTTATCTTGTCTTAATCAGAATTAAAAGACTAACTTCGTTGGTTTTTTTTTTTTTTTTTTTTTTTTTTTTTTAATATATATATATATATAATGGAGTGATTCGCAATTCACTTGATAAGTGTTTAGCACAATTTATGGTGGCAGAATAAATTTAAAAATATTTGAACACTGCTAAAGTCAAGATTATTCTGTCTCTCCCTGAAGTGGTACGCTGAGAGAAAATCAGTGTTTTGTTTCAAAAAGATAAAAAAATGGTTTAAAAAGAGAACGCACCAAAAAAGCTTGAAGGTGTTATGGCAACATTGAAGTCCTAAACCACATCTCCATCTCCAGGAAAGAGCATTTCTTCCAAAATTCTTCCTTTCTTTTTCCAACAAATTTATTTCTGATTGTAAGAACAGTAAGTAGGTAGTTTAAGTGGAGAAGAAACAACAGTCGTAGTTTTCTCGGACCAAGACCAACACCTCAAATTTCAATCCCAGTAGGACGCGGTGCAAAAGAATATTTCAAAATGTTACTTCAATTTTCGAAATGAAAAAAAGCTTGGACAGCATTACAAAATGATAACAAGGGCCATTCATGAAATGCGTAAAGGGCTGGGGAGAGGGAACATTGAGTTATTTTGTTCTCTCGTGTTAAAAGATAGGGACCTGCATAGGAAAGCATCATGAGGGAGGGGGGTCAAAAAATGCAAAATTTAACTGTAAGAATTTTATGAACGACCCAAGAGAGGAGAATTAGAATTCTAGAAAATCCTGATTTGATATCATATCATTTCAAAAACCATTAATTTTCAAAAGAAAAACTAAGGAAAGGAAGAGTAACAGAAAACTTAGACCAGACCTTGTATATTTTAAAACACAGGTTTATTAATAATAGAGTTCAAAGAGATTTAAAAAATTAAAACATCATTCATAAAAATTACACATATTTACACACGTCTGAAACTTAGAAATGTACAAGCAGCCAACCAAATGGAAAAGATCATCTAAGGAAAACAACCAGGCATTCCACAATCCAAGAATACCGATGACCTTTTATTACAGAGCCTCTAGAATTATCATGATTAGGACAAATGGTTTCATGCTTTAATAGATATAAAAAATTGAGCAAAAATTGCTACTTGAGAAATGTGTATCGATCTTTTTGCAGACAAAAAATGAGGAGCTAGTAACTTTTTACGTTGAGTCTATTATGGACAGATATGTTAGAGACTTTTGAAAGTTACTGATGACAATAAAATGAGAGCTAATAGAAACAAGTCATTGATAAAAATCATCACTAGATCACAGCACACAACTCATAACATGTCTGCGAGGAAACGAACAGTCAAATTTAATTAAAAGAGCTGGAAAATGTACCAAAATTCAAGAGGGCAGACAAATTGCTCCTGGATGGTAAAGCAAAATTCCAAAATGAACGTTCCTCGCTTCTCGCAAGAAGAGGGAAAAAATAGGTTCATTTCAACAATATACATTGTAATGTTAGCATGAACGAAAACCAGATGCTCCAGAACATGACTGGTATTGGCACAAGAAAAAAATTGGCTGAAATTCAGAGGGATCTATGCAAAAAGATAGTAAAGATTCACGCTCCTCTGATCATCTGCCTTGAATTTTGGTCAAATAAACTGAACAATTCTAATTCCAGAAACTGGATTTATCTCTTGTTAAAAGATGCAAGGTCTTACAACAATTGTTTCATGAGTAAATAAATACACTGCTCTTCAGGTAATGAAAAAGAAAAAAAACCTTCTATGACATGGAAAGAAAGAATATTGGAGAGCAAACGATAAAATGAAAGTAAATGCAACAAATAATCCTTGAAGAACATCAGAAATGATATTGAATGTCGATTTTAAAATTAGATAAACGTGCATCTCTGTGGCTGTGATTCTTTTTTTTCCCTCCCTTCAAATTTAAGAAATCTATCGTTATGCGACCAATTTTTCATGGAATTAAAAGAGATAGTCATGCAGATTCTCTCAAAATGAAATCAGTTGGTTTTCCTGCATAAGAATAAAATCTTGCAGGAAATTTGCAACATGGTAAACTGAGATGCATGTTTTCTTGATTTCACAAACAATATAGGATACTAGACAAAGGAGATTTGTAGTTTCAACCAAACGAAACTTGTTTTTTTAGAACTACGACTTTCTCTCATTTGAAAATCAGACTGGGACAAAAGGAAGACTATGAAAACTGTCAAGATGACTAGTTATCATATGCATGTTTGAAACTGACAGCAACCAATTATAGGATAGCAACAACGCTTAGGTCAGAAAATGTAAAAACATTTGTGACATATATTCAGCAAGATTTAGTCAAGATATAAAATTCTTTCATGATAAATTGAGAAACTGTGAAAAAAAGAATTTTAATGATGCTAAGTAAATAAAAAATAAAAAAAAATTGATCTCATTCTGAGTAGAGAAAAGTACAACTCCAAAAAAACCAACGTTGGGTTTACCAGGACAATTACAGGGAACAGTTTCATTACTTTTCAGATGATGAAATACAGTTACTAGATCATATTACGGGGTTACTTAAAAAACCAAAAATAAACCCTCGATCCCGAATACAGTAGCTGTACTTCAGCGGACTTTTTAGAATTGATTTTTCGAAAATCACTGCGTCACTGACTGTTCAGTGAGAGAACATTTAGTTCTGGACATGATTGCAATGAAATTACTTCCAAAATTAAGTTGAACATGGATATAACGCTGCTTTTTCGGTGCAAGTTTAAAAGACACTGAAACCCAACAAGAGCACATACAAAGCTAAGGAAGAGGACTATATGGTGAATTCTAATAATTCTGAAAGTATGTTCCATGTTCAGCTTGGATTTCTCTACTTCATTCATAACACTTGGCCACATCTGTGGAGCAGATGAAAATTTATTTCCATCGAGTGATGGCATATAAAAGTGCGGTAAAGAGAGTGAAAAAACCCCTGGGCAGATCTTTTAAACTATTAAAAGTTGAATGAACTATACTATGAATTATACTCAGAAAGCTTGAGTCATGAAATTATTTTTGGAGTGTCTTTGAACCAGCCATATTTGAGGGCAGTTGGATTATCTATTAACAAAAAGCATTACATCAACAGTATCATACTTTACTCTTGATCATTTCCACCACAGTATTTTTCATCTTGCAGCTATGGAAGTTATCTTGATATACGAACTAACTTTAAGATTACTGAAGGATTTTGTTCATATCAGCTTCAATTTAGATGTTCTCTTCAACAAACTTCTCTGAGATGGACACAAGGAAAAATGTATGATGGAGGTATAAGAATGCTTGCACTGATTGTGGAAAGCTCAAATTACTATTGATAATAAGAGAAAAATGGTGCCTAATATTTCCTCACCAGAGAAAAAAAGTAGAATATGAAAATCAGCCTGGCAGGGGAGAGGCTGGAGCCGCTGCTCAGTATATTTTTTGAAGGGGAAAAAAAGATAGTTGGGTAGCGATTTGTAATTACTCAATTTTTTCTTTTTTTGTAATTCTTTAATTGAAACTAAACGCAAAGTCATAATTATGTAGATGGAAAATATGTCTGGGTAAGAATAAATAAATAAATAAAAAAAATGAAATCAACATTAGGCTACACAAGAATAACATTGACATATTAATAGTAAGTGTATGGATAATGTTATTAATCATGATTTATATACACAACTAATAAACTCGAGGTAAACGAGAGCATTTAACTTCCTAGGGGAAAAATTGCTGCAAAAAAAATGATCAATGATATCAATTGGACTGTTGGCTGCAGAACACATGTCACTTGACGACAATAATTCCATTTGTTGCAAAAATTTTACAGTCTTGGCCCATAAAAATTCATGCTACGACGAATTTAATCCATGGATCATTCAGCGCAGAAATAAAAAATAAGAAAATCCTGTAAAATTCATCTCAACATGGATGGGCTTAGAAAAATCACCAAAGACAAAAGCAAAAAATGGTAATACTGAAACAGAGTAACATCATTTGTGCATCCAGACGCTCAATTGTACGTTCGTAAAATCCTGATTAAATTACTTTTTACATTATTTTACAACTTACACCTAAGTTTTTCATTCATACAAAATAGTTAATAAATTAAAAAGAAATAATTTACTTAAAATATTTACTAGTATTACACAACTAATAATAAAATAGATTTTATTTTTATTTTCCTCTGATTTGTACAGTTAAGAAACATTACAAGTTGAGATCACTTGTGTATTATAATATTCACTCTTATGTACGTTTATTTATTACATACTCTACTTTCTTTTTAATATTAACATTATTTATAAATATAAATATTCATAACTATTTATATAAATTACTTGTATGAGTAATTACTTGATGAGAGCGGAAAATAAAATAAAAAAGCAATATATTACAGCAGCCTATTACAGGTTCATTGTTTAAAAACAGTTTACGCACTCGTCACTGGAGGACAATTTTTAGCGAACATAGTGACTCGATACCTGTTGAACGGTCGATATGGCGCTTTGTCCAAAGGATTATCATTTGCTATACGAGTAAGATTTGGTGCCGTATCAGGAGCACGCCCGAGTAACCATTCGTTAGTTTCATCTATCTGAGACTTGGACACATTTTCACGTATCCAAGATTCATGCCAACTTTGAAATTTACCGGTCAACTTTTTACTAACTGATGGGTGAGACTTTCTAGCTCGCGTCATGGCTTCATTCCTGCATAAAATATTTTCACATTTGACTACAAACACCATTCGGTATCGACTCGTTGTGAAGCGGCACTGAGTATTATCACAAACAGAAAACGGGCGTTGAGACACGCTATCATTGCTGAGGAAATTTTTGCATTCATCTAGGTGCTTTTTCCATAATCTGATGTTCCGTGGCAGAAAAACAGCTTTCCTTTTCCAATTTTCTGACTTCTCCTTTTCATCGCCACTGTTATTTGGTAAAAAAGCATTCGAGTGGTTAACAACATACTGATCAACGTACTCTGACCACTTTGAAACATTACGACTGTCATCGGCATCTTCATGGTCGTTGTCAATATTGTCAACCAACTCAATAGTCAACTTGCAATCCTTCTTGTAGATTACAATCTTGAAACAATTCTCATCCAGGAGAACCATTTCTGCCTTCCGCTGATATGCTTGTTCTGCCATTATCCTGTTGAACGCAGTCGAGCAGGGACCCCCAGTTCCTCCCTTCCGGCTTTCTTTAGTGTGTAACTCCAAACACTCTTGGCAAGTTTCGTCAGTGACGAGATGTTGTAGCTGACGCACAGCATACGAAACAACTTTGTCTAACGTAAATGCAACATAAGCGTGGATACCAAACATTTCCCGTAGCATATCTTCGTAGTTTGTAGGCTCCATGTTGCCATCGAGGACATTTTTCACCATGTCAAGTAATGCAGGGTAGTAGTCCTCCAATTCTATTTCCACTTTTGGTTTCAATCTTAAAGCAATTGCGGTGGATTTCTTACTTTGCGACTTGTATTTCCCCTCTTCTTGGGCGATTATATTTGCCCTTTCGTACATGGTGGTTAATCTATCACAGAGAATTTGATGGAGCCGAAAGAAAAGGTACCAGTTGTTGTTCCCGAAGAACAAGGTATAGCACTCGTCTGGATCCGAGCAGACTGCATGTGGCGGTAGGGGCAGATTGGGTTCATCAATATTATTCGTATTGTTTGTGTTTTCCTTTAATGAGCTAACACTGGATCTTCTCGAAGTGTTCTTTACTTTCTTTGTTTTGCCATTTGAATCTTCGTTGGTATCATCAATTATATTTTCTTTTGATTCTTCTGCATCGGCTTTGTCCCGTTCATCTTCACTCAGATCTTGCCGCGGGTGGTGGAAGAAATCAGGTATGCATTGCTTGATAAGAGATTTAATTCGCTGTTTATCTTCTTTGCATATACTAGTTTGGCGTTTGACATGATGAATAAGAAGATTTGCTGCATCATCGATAATGCTTTTGTCTTTGTATTGTAGCACCAAATGAGGGCCATGATTTGGATGCCCATCTTCTGCTTGCTCGTGTCTTTCATCAAAGCAAGTTTCAATTTCATTAAACAACGATTTTGAGCGCAAGGCTTTCAGATCATTCTGTTTAAAGTTCATGCCTTGGTGGTCTAAAGATTTTAAATAGAATTTTTCATTTTGCTCTCGCCAAATTTTATTAAAACCTTTCTGTGCTTCCCTCCATTCTTCCTCTTTGGCCTTCAGTCTTCTAAGGGCCACAGGTACACAAACACTAGGATTTTTCTTAATGCCATCGATAATATCAGATGCTTTATCACCATACAGTCTTCTGAGCGCTCGCTGGTGTATCGTGGCAGATGTGCCTCCTAGACAATCATCCAGCCTAAACTTGCTAACTTCATCAGGAGAGAGACGGTTTAATTTCTTTTGCACTCCTTCTAAAACTCGTATTGTAGCTGCATTAGTTTCAATTACAACATCTAGTTCAAACCTTTCATCTTCACAACGATAAATATACTCTTCATACTGTGTCTTTCTTGAAGTAACAAATGTGGAGTCTTCTGACCACGTTGGAAAGGAGACCCACGTGTTATTGAGAACCTCTTTACATAATTGTGTCCTTCCACTGCACTTTGGTTGAACATAGTTTTTAGGGAGGGCGCAGTAACTAGCTCCTAGTCTTTTACAAGTAGTGTAATCAATTTCCATGGCTAACTCGCCAGTTGGTCTGTCTGATCTTAATGCATTATTAGGAATTGGATCATTTAATGGAGAGTGTACAGGAGAGACGTTTCTACTCAAAGCACAAGGGACATACATATTGCCTTCAGCTTGACCAATGAATTCTTTAAACCACCTAAACAGCTCTGGGAATTTACCGAGGAAGGGAGTAACTAGTTGAATTAATTCTCCTTTCGAAACTATTTCCTCATTAAATAAAATCAAACAACGCAAGAAATTATTATACACATCATGTTTCCTAAGGGCTTTCCGCACTTTGTCAAAGAAAGCGTAATCGGTGAGACTGCCATACTTCCCAGCTTCTGTTAGAGATATATCTCGCAGGGACACTAATTTAGGTTTCTTTATAGGGGGATGGTGATGGTAAGGGATGTTATGATGAGAACTAGAAAAGGATGGCGATCGCCTTTTCAAGGAACTGGCACTACGTTCTGTAATCACCCCAGTACTAGACGAATGATGAGTAAGGTACTTGGGACAGGATCCAGGGCTTCCACTGCTGCTGTTACTGCTACTATTATTATAACCAGATATTTTTGGATTTAAAGACGGTTTGCGTGGCAAGGAGGAAAATTCACTACTCTTGGCACTCAACATTGCTTGGTGAGAGGTTGCATCTGGTAGAAACTGCCCAAATTCTGCTAGCAAATCTTCTTGATTTTCAAATAGTTTCGCAACCTGAGAGTAAACTTCTGCTTCCGTCAACTGCTTGCCTCCAATGGTCCCGCCAGCAGGGAGCCCTTCCTTGATGGCGTGTTGTTCTTTTTGGTACGTGTGCAAAATTTCTAAAAACCTTTTGTACTTATCTGGCTGTCCTTGAAAGCGGTTTTTGATTTTATTGACATAGTTGATAGCATGATTGAACTCAACTGGCTGATTTTGCGGTGTAGGATGACCAGATTCTACGTGACTTAGAGCTTGAGAAACAGCTTGATGAGCTTGGACTTGCGATGGCGTTAGATGTGTTAATTTCAGAGGAGGGCTACCAGAGAGTGAGCTGGGGTAGTTGTTGTTGATCGCAGGACTGCTAGCAGCAGGACTACCCAAGGGAGACCGGTGGATTACATTACTCTGTACATTGGAGTTACTTAAAGATAAGTGTGCTGACTTAGCGGAAGCTGGCGGAGGGGGATTCGTTGATGGAGGTGGAGTCACAAGTGATGTTCCTGGAATAACGTGCATTGAATGGTGGATGGTTTGAGTGCTTGGAGCCATTGATGTTGTCGAAGAAGTCGGACTCGGTAAACTAACAGAGACTTGGAATGAATAACCTTGATCGTTGGACTGAATTTCTATCTTGTATCCTGGTGGAAGGAATGTATTAAACCCAACTATCAATTCAGGATGACCTTTGAACAGATTGGAGACACGGGCTATAACACCGGGAGTATCTATACTCTGCGACTTGAATTCCTTCATAATATCCAAAAAATCATTGTAAACTTGTGGTTGATTCCCGAACTTATACTTAACTTGGTCCAGGTATGAAAGGGCATCTTCAACTTTGAGCCGCTGGAACTGCTGCTGCTGCGGACCCATGCTGGACGGAGTGGGCGTTGGCGTAGAAGCCCCGCGGTGAATATTATGTCTCATTGCCTGCTGGTGCGCTCCTGGTGTGCTTCCTCCACCACTCTCAATTGGAGGAGCTACTGCTGGCATTGCAGGCACAGAGCCTGATAGCACTGCCTTGACCAATTTATCTTTCTACTCTGAAATTAAAACAACACAAAGGAAATTAATAATTAATTAAATAAGGCTCTTCAGTGTTTGAAAAATTGGGTGCATAGGTACACAGCGAGAATCTTCAAAATCCAGCTGTTAGGCAAGTGAAAAAGGAATGGTACCTTTCAAGTAATGAAAATTATATGCGCTATACACTCGATATAGCAAATACATCAAGGACTTGCGTGTGTAAAGGGCACTTCTTAGTCTTTGTGTTTTAGGATTTTTTATTCTGTATTTTTACTCTTGATTGGAAAAAAAATATTCGTAGCTATTGGAACTTAAACAGAAAATTCCTCATAATTTAAGAATATCTTTAGCACAAATCTCAAGTTTCAGTTACCTGACAGAAAAAGAAATTGTTGATAGTCATTCTGAAACAGTGCAATGGAGAAGTGCCCTGTTCGCACTCAAGTTCTCAATTCAAGAAATGAAAACGGTAATTCGGTATGTAATAAAACGAAAGCATTCTATTACAGTAAAAATAGAAGCAGTTTAATAATTTTCACATTTTTCTTTCAAATTTTTTTTTTTTAAAATCTTAGCAGCAGTGCAATGTGAGTTCCTTTCTGCAAAAAGAAGTCCAATTTAGAGAGAAAATGGGGATCCTTTTTTTCAACAGAAATCATGCCTTTCATTCTCAACCCCCGGGCTAATCTTGCATACTGATTTTTTGAAAACCTAAAAGGAGTGGTGAGACAACAAAAAAATTGAGTAATTCCTTTTCATCACGAAGACAATTGACGACTTATACATAAGAATAGCGGTCGCTGACATCCGCCATTTTTAGGGCAAACACTTTTTACGAATTCTGGCGCACTCAAAAATACATGTGCAGTGTTTCAGACTTCCAGCGCAATTTTTCGTCCAAATATGAACTGAAAACCATGTTATTTGTAAAAACAGCAGATATGAGAATCCACTGTTCTCCCTGGCTGGCGTGGCAAGATACCGTGGAGATTCGAACCCACTTGCGATAACTGCCGGGATAACTATCCGGACCGTCTCGCCAAAATTGTTGATTTTTTAAATAATTTTATGATTTGTTTCTTATTTTTGTTGTAGAAGTTACAAACGGTTTAGTTTTTTGTTCAATTTTATTAAATGACTCAGCATTGATTTACTTTTAGTTCATTTCAATTGTTTCACTAGCCTTACCCTTCCTGAAGACTTTGTTTCATGCATAAAAAACCGTTTTCAGTAAAAACAGCGGATGTCACATTTTTTTCAAATTGCAGTGACTCCTTCAATTTTTTACTTACATAGATCGTAAAACATGTGTTTTCACAGGAAGGGTTGCTCTTTATGAAAATCTTTATAAGAATCCTCTCGGTTTTGCGAGCGGCAAAGTGCAAAGCTCCCAAAACTTCAAACGCGATTTTCTCACGATGTGAAAACTCGACATCCGCTATTGTCACATATAAGTCCCCAATTGCTGCTCCTTGAGTAGAGGTCTGGTTTTCTTTGCAACTATTTTTTTTTCTTATATTTTTTACCTGATATTAAGGTACAGGACTTTGACTGACTATTTTAATGGTGAATATTTCAAGGTTTTCTCCCTCATATTTATTTGATGACAGTTACAGTGTTTCGAATAAGTAAGCACTCTCGCCGTCTCTAAAGCTTACTTTTACTGACAGGACAAACAAGAAAAAGAATTCCCTCTGACCTTAAAATACTTTCGGTAAAACTAGGAGGAATCAGTTGATTCTCAATTTTGTTTGATTGTTGATTGTTATTCAAGCACTAAAGGAATTTTAAGTAAAGGTGGGAGAAAACAGAGAGAAAAAAGATAAAAAGGAAAAAACCAATCGAAACAAATTGATGAGAATAGCTCGCAAACTTTTGAAGAGTCAAATTAAAAAGGGTATGATCAAAGTAAATTTTAATTTCTATCTGATTTATAAAGTTAAATAATGACAGCTTTTGCATGTCACAGTAACTCTGCATAAAATTGAGTTTTGGTTTGGAGCTGACACAATCATGAGCTATAGGGAAATTCTCTGATAACTTTAATATTCCTCTTGGTTGGAAATATTATTTGGTTTATGCCAAAAAAAAAGTGGCATCTGCTTTTATCCTCGAATGAAGCGACCTTTCATCAGAGAGGATCATCTATATTTTTTTTTATTTAGAAACAAATGGTACGGTAAAAGCAGAAAAAATTAGGTAGAAGTTCTATGTCCCTTGTTGCAAATTAAGTTTTTATCTTACGTGAGTAATCACATGTACGCTCATGCAGGCCGGAAAATATAATCAATTTTTTTTTTGACAAGACAAAGGTTCAATTTACATACTAAGTGAGTTTTAACTAAGTGGTGGATCCCATTTAGCTTAAAATGGCAGATTAACTTTGTTGTACACTTTCCGAAACAGGCCTGTCCCTGCATTCCTACCAGCGGTGCAAAATCCTAACTAACGCCATAATTACTCAATTTTTTTTAATTAAAAATGACCTTTCGTAAGGACTGGGAAAACATCAGTGTATATTTCACAGTTTTATTCTTATTCCTGTCCATTTGTTTCAGTCTATCAAGTACTGAGTTATGTTTTATTACAGAGTAAGTATGGTTACATGCATAATTTAGGAAACTCACCTTTTAATTGAAGTGTCTAACATGAAATAAGAGTCCACATAGTAGTAGCACTTCCACATAGCGAAAAAAAACCCTCACATTTTGATACTGAAAAAGAGGAGAAAGAAATACGATTAATTAATCATTCAAAAATAAGAGGTGGGCTATCAAAACATGCTTGCAAGAAGAAAATAGAAATAACTAAGTAAATGAATAAAGCTCGGCAATGATTATTGTATTTAAAGACAGGAAAAAAGAATGAACTTTTAGAAACTTCTATGAGTAGGTAGCATAGAATTTACGGCACAAATTTTAGGCAGCTGAGGATTGCTTAAGGGTATTAACATAATCGACATTAGAAAATTGATATCATTTTTACTAGACATTGTTAAGCTTAAGATACTATACTGCCAACAATTAATGACTTGAAAAACGACATCACTTGAAAACAGGGAGTTAAGAAAATTCTAACATGATTTTGCACAATGTCTCCAAATTCAGCAAGAAAAGATTCTCTGGCTTCACCAAATTGTTCCTGACGAAAATGATGACAATTCCCTGACATTTACATTAGGTAACAATTTGCGCATTTAGAACTGAGAATGAATATTTGTGGGCAATAATTACCAAATGACAAGTGGCCAATTACAGAAACATGTGAACTTCCCCCCTCCGAAGTAATTTATTCAATCCAGTAAAATTTCCTCTATTCACTATCCAGAATGAAATTCAGAGCATTGAACCCTCACCAGGCTAAGACTCGGATGGATTGTGTAGTCAGCTAATGTTTTTTTTTCAGATTTAAAGTTTTAAGATTTTCCGAACTTCCTGCCTTTTTCATCAAATTTCTTGCGTTTGCCCTGATCTATTGACACTTGACTACCTATAAAGGGAGAGTATTGCCATCTTAATCCTTCTACAGAAAAAGTGTGCAATTGGTCACACATTGTGTGATCGGTTGGCAAGTTTTAAGCTTTCATGGTAGCCCCTCATCTCCTAGTTGTGGACAAAAGAAAAACAACAAGATGATGACTGAGTTCTAAGTGGGATGGGAATTTTCTCATTTCCCGCTTCTGAATGGGCTTGTTGCAAACTTTTGCTAGGGCAAAAATAAGAGTTGTTTTTTGGAGATAATGTCTCAAAAATCACAATGAGCGCATCGGCAAAGTCTGAAATGCACCCCTAACTTCAAAATCTGCGTAAGATTTTGGCGGTTTTTTTTAGCTTCCCGCTTCAAAAATGATACTACGGCACAGGTGAACATTTTGTAAGAGGATTCCTTCCATCTAACTCCTGCTCAATAGGATGCTACTCAATATTCAACATGGCCGACGCCAATCCGCCAAAACACGTGAGACGGGACGAGATTCTAACCACCTGTGAACAATCAGTGTGTTTACATTCACATTAACCTCGCGCTAAGGCTATTGAGAGATATTCGCCTTGATTGACCTTGAGCTCCCCTCGACTTTCGCACGGGAGCATCTGCCGTGATAAACACTGGGTAGTGTCCTCTTGAGCAGGAGTTAGATGGAATGACTCCCCTAACAAAATTTTCATTTGTGCTGTAATATCGTTTTTGAGGCGGGAAGTTCAAAAAAGTGCAAATTTCATGCGCAGATTGTGAAATTAGGAATGCATTTCAGACTTCACCGATGCCCTCATTGTGATTTTTAAGAAATTTTCTTTGAATAACAACTCACATTTTTGCTCTACCAAAAGTTTGCAACAGGCCCATTGAGCTCTGAACAAACATTAATGGATATTTACGTTGAAAATTACACTTTTTGTGTTGTCATTCAAATCTCACATAGGAATTATGAATTTCTCGTGATCAGAATTGTTTACATTAGACACATGAAAAGCCTTTAACTGATGAACCTGGCACAGACATGGCAATTCTCTCCCTTTACATATGTTTACTACACATACACTACGGATTGTCCTGGGGGGGATTTCCAGTTATTGTGCTTGATATGAACATTTTGCTGCATGACAGTTACCGAGAAAATAAAAACAATTTGACTGCTTATCTTGATTATGAAAGTTCACATTTGTATTTAATAGCTTGAACTAATCAAAGTTGCATAATTTTTTGGTACTTTCTTCCTCTGCCAAGCCCACTTGCTACTTGTATGAGATAAAGCTTTTATCACTTTTTTTATGAATAAACGTCTCATGATAAATCATGTTTGCTGTCAATGCTTCAGTTGTTTTTGCTGTCTCCTCTCAGTCCACTCCAAAGAACTTTCCAAGAAGAGAGTTGAAAATCACATTAAAATAATTGCAATTTGTGAGCATTACAGGCCACAGAAGTTAATAAAACAGTTCATCAAATGTTATTGTTTATTTCTCTATCATTTCTACTGATCTCATTCCCACTGGAGTATTGTATTATAACTTCAAACCTCTTGAATGAGAGGTAAGTACATCTCATTAGTCATACATATCTATCAAAATTTTCTGTGATAAAATAATTTTAGAATCTTAACTTTTCACTTAAGATACTTCCGATGGAAATTAAATAAAAAATAGAAGAGATAAAATGCACGGTCCAGTTTAAATGGGTTGATAATATGATTTCAACCGGCACACTTTGCAGAAGTGCACTGTCATTTCTAACTCATTCATAGAAGTACGTATCTGTTTAGGGAAATTAATGACACATACAATGTTTCTAAAGAACTAATGAAATGTCACAATTTGAAGATACTTCTTTGTAATACTCAAAACAATTAGTGAGGTAAGTAAACTTCTATCCAAGTTTTTTTCTTTTCTTTGATATCCCTCAGTTGAAGAAAACTAAAGGTATAGTCAGCTAAGAGAAATTCAAAATTGTAAAACTAGGAGACAAACAAAATTTCAATAGAAAAGTATACTTAGTAGGGAGCTCCTCGAAAAGGATTTTTTTCTCTCCACAAAAATGCATAAGTTTTTTAAGAGTTATCAAAGCAATTCACAAGGGGAGAACACTATAACTTCTGGCAAAGACAGATGAAACGAATTTAAGGGTCAAAAAGCATAGATTGGTTTTACAAATCTCTTATTCGGACAAAATAAAGGAACTCAAGGGGATCTAACCTCAGCTGACAAAAAATAAAAATGGAGGGAAAGACGTTGCTACGCATCTTACCTGAGAAATCTTCTTACATCAAGAGAAGGAAGAACATGGACATGTCTTGCTCAAGAATCTGCCAATGTACTGGCTTTGATTTAAAACTTGGCTTCAACAGCTGAAGCTCTTTGCAGTCTCATTGCCTGGACAAATTTTCTGAAACAAAAGAGAGATTGGTTAGAAATCTGTCTCCTGTTGAAGAGTTGCTAGGAATTTAGGAAATAAAATTAGATGCACTAGCACACTGATGTAATCACTCGAAATTAAAGAAGACCTACAGGTTGCCACATTGACGCAAGACATTATCTATGAGGATAAAGATGTGAAATATTACAATTTATATTCATGAAGAGTTCACTCTTTGGGAGGACGCATATCACAGTGCCATCAAAATTATATTTTGTTTCCAATGAAAGACTCTCAATCTTAGATACCTAGAATGAGGATGCACTTGAATACCGAGTCATTTCTCAAGTTTTTAAAAGTGCTCATTATTCCTTTCAATTTCACACACAAGCTAAGAGCAGCAAAAAGTATCCTCAACATTCTAGACTCTGAATTCTAGATTTCATTCTAGATTTTTTATGTTGGAGTCCAGGTAAAGTTGACAAGTACTCACATAGAGGCTACAATGAAGTGAAATTTAAATTTCTCAAAGCTCAACAAAGAGGTGCAAGATACAGCGACCACAATACTATAATACTTTTAATTATACACTTATTGATTTCACACTGTACAGAAAAGTATCAATTTATTGAGTAACTGAAATCACATGGAAAGGTATGTGAAAATATGTACAGCCTGTAAAAATAGTCAAAAAAAACTATAATTTCTGAGATGTGACATCCAGACTGGACTGCGATAAAAATGATCCAACAAGTTTGCTGAGTATTGAGGAGATCAATTTAGAGGTAATGAGCACAGACTTAATAGACGGTCACTAGGTACAAATGAAAGGGTTAAAATTACAACAACAAAAAATATAGTGATAATGTGTTTGTGAATTTTAACGGAGCGAAATGAAACTACTGGCAATAAGGCATACAATACATCTGCTTCGAAAATGCCAAACTGTGAGTGAAATCCAGAATTGTGGACAGCAGCTGATTTCTGCAAAACTTCAGAGTTTAACTGCTGGTAAAAAGGAAGCACCTTGGCTCTAGCTAGTTGAACGTTGAGAAAATCATCTAAGGCCAAGTTAGAAACCATGGTGTTCACCCAAGCACTAGTTAGTACTGGGCGAGCCAATTCACTCAACAAGGATGGGAAATTCAGCAAGGATAGAGAGGAGCCTACGTATAGTGAGCAAGTTCTCACATTTAACAGGAGAAAAACTGAAATTGGAAGAACATAAATACTTAAATCACTCTTTTTACTGACTAGTCAGGAGATAAGAGGCAAAGATAAAACAGCTGATTTCTTTTATCATCCTTCCTTTTACGACACAAACACGATTGATCCAAAAGAAGAAGAAATGGAAGCCATTTAAGCTGTTCTTAGTAGCAGTTAAGTAAGTTTCGACAAAATGATGATTCTGGAGAATTGGTAGGTACAAGATGAAAATCTGACTTCAGATAAAAACGCTTGGACCGATCATAATGATATTTGAATTAACGGTTAGAGAATTATCAGAAGAAATGGAGGGAATTTTCAACGAGAAAAAATGAGGATGAAATAAGCATCATACCTGATGCATGTGCATACACATATTGGAGGCGAGGAAGGACAAAGCCTTCCTTGGTAGTCCCTTACTCAGGAAACCGACAAACTGGATGCTACTCGTGAATTGCACAAGTTTCGATACGAAGTGGCAAAAAAAGGTGGATTCCTCATGAGGCTGAACAGAAATTGATTTAGCAACACTAAAGAGGCATTGAGACTTAGGATGACTGGAGGAAGATGAGGTTAAATGTAGCACTGATTATAACAGGTGATAGCCTCCAGAGGAAGATATACTTGAAACTAGTTTCATTGAAAGCCTAAACAGGACAGAAAAACAACAATATTGGGCCTGGAGAGTTTATCAAAGTAGGGATTTGCTTGCATTAAATTCGAGTGATAATGCAATAAAGGAGAGAGCTGAGATGAGAAAACTGGTAGCCTATATTGGCATGAGAGGAGGGAAGCAACGGCTAGAGAGGGTAATAAGACCGCTGAATAAACGAAAAACTAGGAGGAAATAGAAAGCGAACTGATATATCACGAAAATGAGGCAAAATAAGGGGATTACAACGGTCAGAGTACTTGAAAAACGACGAAATAGGCTCCTCGAATATGCCTTAAGGCCAGAGAAAAGTAGAGCTTTCTGATGTAAACAAAAGTTTTGAGGGTGGTTTTGGCAGGATAAGCAGAAAAATGGGGCATTAAGTAGGACACACGAAATAAAACTTTCATAGAATAGGACAAGCGAATGAAATCAGACAGAAAACGAACACCATCGTTCCAGGATGTTATTTGGCTGAGAATTACCGACGCGTCAACTAGATATTCGAGCTATAAAAATAACAAAATGAGCTACGCAGAGCTTCAACTTACTGCGAATAATAAAACACCACGATTATCACAAAAGTTACGGGAAATTACAGACAGAACGTTAAAATTAAGTGAAAAAGGTAGAGGAAACTCAAAAACACATAGTAAACATCCACCGTTGTCAGAACAATTTTTCACTGCTGACTGCACTACAACAAGCGGAGCTCGCTTTACTCGGGTGACCCCCTCCAGCAATGTTGCCAACTTCTATCGGACCTGTTCGCTGGAAGAGGGGTACGGGGCAAGGTTGAGAAAAGTTGGTGCTAGCTTTATCTTTATTTGGCGTTTTTCATTCTCCCATCTTGTTTTCATGTTCTTCTCTCTCGCTCCTCTTCATTAGCGGTGAGTTTGTCGGGAATTGGCAACAGCGGTACGGCAACAGTGTCATGAATTCCGCACTCTCCTCTCGGCGCTCGCACTCAGAAACCAAGTGGGGGGGATTTCTCATAACTCTTCTTGTGAAACTGAAACTTTTAGCTCTTCTGCGAGACGCCGTTATTCCGTCAGTGATCTGATAAAAGCAGCCTCATCAAGTGTTGAAGTGACCTAACTCAACCCTCAATTTTCAGTCATTCGTTTCATCTGCCCCCTCTGTTTTTGAATGCCCGTGCCGTGATAATGCAACAAATTCTCAAATTGCGTTTCATTGAGTAACCCTCAGCCGTAAGAATTTAGGCACGGCTTATGTTTTACTCTGTGTTAACTCACGAGTGCCATTTTAAGTAAATATATGATAACCAAAGCTTTTTCCTCCTTTATTTAACGACGTGGCGTTCGTTCCCGCGCTCGTGAAATGAATATTCGCCGGATCTGGTCCTGGAACACATCTACTTGTAATCCCTAGTAGAATGTAGATGTGCTCTCATCAGCTGTTCGGTGTTTCTAAGCGAGCGAAGTAACACATGCCGAGCATGTTTTTGGGATTCGCACTACATACTCTAGTTTGATTCCTGTGAGTGACGAACGAAACTTTCCATTGGCAGCTAGAGAAATAATGGGGAGACATGACGCGCTTGCTTGATTTACGTGAATTTAGCGTACGGTTTAGTTATCAGGTCTGTGCTCGCATGTTCAGGTAGCTGCTTTTTAGGCTTCACTCCCGCTCCGTGAGTCCCGTGTCCTTGGACTGGGGCCCGGATGAGAGACCTGGACTTGGGAATGGACTCATTCAGTCGTGACGTCAAAGCCAGCATTGATTCTTTCGACTACGGTCTCGGGTTCCAAACAATTTTTCTGTCCTTGTTGCACTAATGGCGTTTCCCCGTAAGAAACGACTTTCAAATTTTAAAACGAATTTTCGACCTTTTAAACGCCGGGAACCACCAAAATTAGGTACTCCCGAAATCGACTCTTAAGCGTAAAATCAACCCTGTCACTTGCGCGAAAGTCAAGTTTCGTAAACCTATCTCTATTGGACAAGGCCTTCCATTCATAAGAAATGAACGAAAAAATTATGAAAGGACAAACACAAAATTTGGTTAAATGATTTTAACTTCCGCCGCCGCGCCGACCGCACCTAAAGGTACTCTAACCGCACCGTGTTTGGCGCAATGCGTGAAGTATTCACGCAGTCTTGTAGGCGCTATGCTTTTCACGCTGACCGCACTGTGTTTGGCGCAATGCGTGAAGTATTCATGCACTCTTGTAGGCGCTATCCGTCTCCCGCTGACCACAATAACCGCACTGCGTTAGGTGCAATGCGTGAAGTATTCGTGCAGTCTTGTAGGCGCTAATATGCGTTACATGCCGACTGCCGCGCCGAGGGCTTCTCCTATTCATCTCAAGTCTTCGTCATCATTTCTCCCTATAAGTCGCGCCGTTCCAGGCCAAATTGTGTGTTTTGTTTCTCTCTTAACTCGAGTAATCAATGGTGCTGTCTCTCGAATCACTGAAAGACGACGAAATTAGAAATTACTATACTCTCAGGAAATGAGAGATTTTGTACCTAGCCTTTTCTCGTTTGTAATTTTTTTTTTTCTGAATCCGATTTTTTTTATACCTACATTACAAAAAATTGCAAAATTTGCCGCCCCCTAGATTTGCAGCCATGGGCCGCCACCCCCTTAATCCGGCGCTGCTCTAAAAAAGTGAAATTTATCAAAAAAAGTTAGTTTCCGGTATCATTAAACTATTTTTATGCGCTCATGGATCGACAGAGCAGAGTCTTAAATTGGACTGCATTTTGCAATTAGGAACTATAAATTCCGGCCCGGGTTAAAAACAACGTATGTGCCATTAGTTTCCCCATGCACATAAGTGTTTTTACGAATGAGCCAGAAATTATAGTTCCGAATTGCAAAATGTAGTCCAATTGGTGATGTGTACATCTTCATGATGAAGTCTTACCATATTACATACAGCATTTTTTCAATCATCGCTCAGTTAGCCTTAATGCGATGATTGTTGTCAATTTTTTTCCCTCTACTGCACGACCTTTTGCTTTTGAGTGGAAACAGAAAAAGAAAAGTGATGACTTGAGTTTTTCTTGCTCTGAATCTCATGGTTTTTGTATCTCCGTCTCCGAAGTCATTGGGGCTGTCTTGTTCCCCAGCTATGCAGATTTCTTCAGATCGCTCGCTCAGTCTGCCTTCTATGTGAAGTCTAATTATGGTTTAGTTATGACCAGTGAGATCCTCTTTGCTTCAGCATACTTAAAAGTGTATTTTGCAGTTGGAAAATACAGTGTTTTTCTCGCAGCGTCTAAACTACACTTTTCTCATTTGACGGCTAACAAGAGCTCATGATGTGAGCTAACTGCACAGCACAATAGATCAGATCATCCAGGACGTCATCATGCTTTTCCAGAACTCTTGTTGTTTATAAGATTAATGGGCTCCATTAATTAATGTGTAACATTGTTGTGGAAAAGCCTGTCGATAGTCCGTTGGAGCATCCGAAGAGGATTCTCATTCACTTCAAGCTGGCACTCCATCTGCAAGATCCTATGTTCTCCTCGGGACAGTTTCTTTACCAAGTTATTCATTTGCAGAATGTACAGCAAACGCCATCTCCTATGGGAAGTATATTTAAATCAATGCGGAACGTGTGGCAAGATGATTAGATCTTAGGCAGCCAGATCGTTCCAGAGGTCCAGAATTTCATTAAAAAAATTGGGCAGAAAGGACTGGTTATGTATAGAATTTGTTCTTGTTAAAAAAAAAAACTTCATTATATTACCTACCTTTCTGGTTCAAGTGTTTTACTCTCTACTTTTTCGACAATATTTTACAATATGTTTCCTCATGAAGTTGATGTTGTGTGCTGCTATTGTTTATTAGGGATTGATGATGTAATAACTTGTGGAGTAAGCTGAATTATTTGGACTAGTAAAAGTGCCTGAACCAAATGAGGTAGGGTTTTTTCGAAACCTACTTTAACTAGTCCTTTGCCCAATGAAGAGTTTGATTTCAATTTCCAATTTCATATGTGTCCATTACTTAGGTATGGTTTCTTTGGAGCAGGAATCCTGAGTTAATTAATGATGACAGACAAAGCTAAAATCTGAATAATGAGTTAGCTTTAAATGTTAATTAAGTCTTATAAACTTTTGGACGATCGCTTGAGGATACAGGATTAGTACTTTGATTAAAATCAAGTTTATACCCATCTGGCAACTTCCAAAAATTAAGTTATAAGTAAAATCTTTGCCAAAACTTTGCAACTTTAATTTCGGCAGTAGTATTGAGACTACGCTCTTGCAATCACCTTTTGGCGGGCAGGCAGTGATCCATTGAAGTGCTCTGAATAGTTTTAACTCCAAGAGAGAAGAAACCAAATGAAAAAGAGAGGGGCGGTATTTATTGTAAATATTTTTATTATCTACACTTCAGAAATTTATAAAGTATAAAATGACTTATTTCTTATTGTTCACTTTCCTAGGAAGAGGCACACTCCCAGGAGCCGTCATTGGTTTTCCATTAGATCCAATCAGTGGTCTTGAAGCACTTGATGAACTTACATCACTTCTCTGAAACAAAAAATGGAAAAATCAATTGAATTAACATGACAAAGGTAAACGCCAAAAAATGCTTATCTCAGACTGCAGAGGTGTAAGTCTGCACTTGTTTTGTTTTTGTTTGTTTGGATCAAGAGTTAAAGGTTGGTTTTTTATAAAATTTTCTGTGAAATTTCTTGGCTTGTTCAAAAAGTCGAATATCGTTGCAAAAAAAACCATTTTGATTACTTTTCTTCAAAGAACATAAGCATCAAGGTAAATGAACACTGCGATTGAGATATGCATTTTTTGTGTAAGTCATAGAAATAGATGATTGAGCTCAAAGAAAGAGCAGGAAATTTCATGTTTTGAAATTTCGTCCCACTTGATAAATGCTTCCCATGTTTAGAGCTTCCTTTCTACTCTACAGTATAAATTCACTGCGGCATTAGTAAATTCAAATTTTCTACTTGATAACTTAATCCCAACAATCTGACATATTAAACTTGAATTCTGAAAGTCAGTGGTACTGCATATCAACAGTAAAACTGCATAACATAGTACCTCAGTTTGCAATGTTGCAGTGTTTTCTGTCATCCTTTGTTTAAAGAATGGGAAAATGCTCAACATCTTTTCTAGAAAACTCCCTTGATTCGTCAGCTCTGTGTGAAGAATATTCTGTGAAAATTTCAAGCGATAGCATTGGTTTGCTTTCCTTTGATAAAATAAAATACAAGCAGAGATTTTGAAACAGCGCAATCAGGATACACATTCCTGCAGTTTCACCGTCAATGTGTAACCCACACCCAATATTTCATGTACATATGTACATGGTGTCCCAGAACAGGCATTTTTCTCAATTTCCCTGGGCAAATACTGTCTACTTTCACGAATGGACCATGAATAAAGGTTTGCAACACTTAGTCATTTGATGAGACATACATACTTACCGCGGGAGAAGGAGAAGTTCTAGTGAGAGGTCTCATAGCTGAGTCTGACATAACACTGCTGCCACTTGGAGGTAAACCCATTGTTCGTTCCATGCTGTCAACAAAAAAAAAATTTTAATAAAGCAAAATTTGATCCTATCCGGGATTGAAATGATTCTAAATTTTTTCTAAAGGAGCAAAAAAGTAAAACAGACAACACTGTAGCCCATTAAAACCATCAACTTTTCTCTTTGGGACTTGTGAAGGACTAACTTTGCAGCAATCACAGTTTTCACACATTTCTTGGTTCTCTGTCCAGGTCTGAAATAATTATTTCAGGAGGTGGGAAAAAACAGAGCAAATTGCTATGACTTGAAATCATAAGATAGTAACTGAGGGGCTGGATAATTTTGTCTGATCCATTCTAAAATTTATGGAATCAATGCCTACTGTACCTGAACTACCTGAATTGAGCAGTCACAAGGAATTTTTGCAAGTTGAGGTGCTGACTCTTGAACGCAAAATTTGGTGATAAAATCAAAAAGTCCAAAAATGCATTTCTAAGGAAAGAAAAAGCTATCCAAACCAAAATCCGACCAATTAAAGCCAACAGTCGAATTGACGCAGCAAGGCAATGCCTCCAGCTGAGTTCAGACAATCAACAAACGCTGTTTGCCCCACCTGGCTACATCATCAGAGCTTGTCAAAAAAATTGTTCGGACCAGGCCTCATTTTCAGCAGTTCCATGACAGAGTTTTTTGGCCATTTAGGGTTGAAAAAATCAGAAAATATTCCTGGTAACTTATAGTTCACTCCATAATTTCAGAAAATGGATGTCACTGACCCACTGGCCATTTCGTAAATTCACTTATCTCAGGACTTCTCTTTCGGTGTTTTGAGAATGTAAAAGGTGGAACAGTGTTCCATGTTTGTTCATAATCAATTCTCTGCTAAAACCAAAGGAAATATTACAAACCTGTTTCCTCGTGAGGTAGAGCCGGATTTTTTAAACATATCAGAAATTCGACTCTTGAAATTCCTTTTGTTTTGATGGGATTCTAACTCAGGGTTACCATGAGATGCTAGACTGGTGTCAGAGCCTGGATTAACCTGAATGCCCAAAATGAAAAACCGTAATAAAAGCACATTGTTAAAGAGATCATACATGCATCAAAAGCCGATAACTTATTTGTTTCCTTTGTAATAGTCACCATTTAATATAAAGTAAGAGAGAGAAATTTGGGAAAAGAGCCTTGGGTACCTTAAATACGCCATTTCCAACCTCAGCCTGATCCTCAAAATACTTTCAGGTTTGATAGACAGTCACTTTTGGAGTTCAATAAAACACACAAATATTTTTAAATCAAATTACAGAGAGGGAAGGGGGTTGAAATTAAAACTATAAAACGGCATGCACAAATCTCTGGTGCAAAATAACGTAGCCAAATGAATTCGTCTTAAAATTTGAGATGGATCATTAATATTAATCAGTATGAACTTATATTTGTTTAAAAGTTAGACAGTATAAAGTTACTAGGGGGCTATGCCGCTCAACCCCCAGAGGACGCTTCGCGTTCTCTTAAGCCCGCGTTGACAAAAGAGCGACCAAAAAAATCAAAAGATTTTCATAATTGACTCTCATTTATCCAATATTTCTCTGGCCGGGAGAAATTTGACCAATAAGAATCAAATGAAAAAATCGGCATTCATTTCAAATTTCATGCCAAGACTGAAACGAAACGGAACGGAGAGTTTCGTCGCTAATAGCGTGTAGCAAAGAGGCATACCTTTGATTCACTTACCCTACTAACAGACCAAGATTCAAAATTTTCCGCTTACTTCAATTTTCCGCTAAATTTGAAATTCCGCCATTGTTTATTGGCGGGAATTTCAAATTTTGCCCCCCTTTCTAAGGTTTCTAGTCTTCTCTAATATAAAAAAATTTGGGACCTATTTTCAAATTCTGATTACAGCGGGCTCATCTAGGGACTACCACCTGTCGATAACCGCAAAAATCATGAAAATTGGCCCAGTGGAACGCTGGAACTAAGCGTTACCAGATACGCAAATTTAGGAGGTCTCTGAGCTTATATATATGATTAAAATATGTTTGTCTTCTTTTTTGTGCGATCCCACAAACACAACTGCAAAAATGTAAAAAATTGAGCTACGGCAATCTGGCAACAAGGAGTTAAAATTCAAATCAGGAAACTTTTACTAGTATCAACTGAAAGCCAATAATCACTCCTAAATTTTGACTGAGATGTTGACCCCCTCACCATGTTTATCCTATTTAAACAAATTTGATATTTGGGGCTTGAGAAGTGATTCTCCATCAACCCAAGGATATTTCAATGATCCAATGAGCTGACATTGGAAATGACCGATTTTGGGTAAGTTCTTTGATTGCATGCTTCTTCAAAGATAAGAGAAGGCACCAATTTAATTTTGCCGCAAGCAATCCATACCTGTTCACAAGATTAGTAATTAATTTTAGGATTTAAAATGAGAAGATCCCTAACATAATGTTGGTTGGAAAGTAACAAGCAGACATTGCTGACTCAGAGTTTTACCTGACTTCGAGACGTGTACTCGTATTCAGGTTCATGATCTACACTGGAGGATTTTGTTAGTTTTCTTAATTTTCCAAGGATTCCTTTCTTTTTCTTCTTCTCGCCAGCTCCTACCCTTTCACTCTGTGTTGAATCACCAGACAATCGACTGCAAACGAATAAAAAAAAATCAAATAGAAATAGAAAGATATTAATAGATTACAAAAACCAGCAATGCTGCCCTAGCATCTATTCACTACAGAAATTGCGGGCACACTTTGGAAAACTCATTACCTTTGAGCAAACAAAATCAAACTTAGACCAGGTGGGTTCATGAGTTACACTATTTTTTTAAATAACTCAGGCCTTAGAGACTCTTACAAAAAACATTCTGAGTATGTTAACTTATGTTATTATTGATCAGAAAAATCAAATAATACCTGTCAAGACTGGAATCAATTTGTTGGTACATGTTGAATTTTGGCTCCGGTGCCTCATCCAGAGACTGAAAGCTGGAATAGCTGCCATTGTCATCTTCCATCTTCCAAATTTTCTGTGAATAATATTTTTCAGCACACTTTAAAATTTAGATTTATGGTGAGCAGTAAGAAATTAATTCAAATTTTCTGAAAGTTTAAGATTGAAACCTCATGACAGAGCTAGAGTGAGGTCTCAATTGCAAGTCACAAAACTGTATTCGCCATTGGCGCATTAGAGCTATTGGTGAGATTGATTGAAGTTTTTGAAGTGAAGAACTTTTCATGAGAAGGACCCATACCTAAATAAAAAACTACCAAACCATGTATATCGTCTGCGGTGTTTAAAATTCTCCGTTCCCATTTTATTTTTGTTTTAAAGGACAGATCAATATCATTCCTTGAGGTTTTCACAGAGTTTTCTAGACACAGGAAAGAAAAGTTGCAGATGGTTTCAAAAATAGACGCTGAGTAGGTTTTCATATAAAAAATAAGGTATGACAGGAAGTATGTAACGTCGCAAACCAAAAAACCTATGGTAGTTTCACTGTCGATATGACAGTCGGTGCATATTTTTCCAAAGTCTTGATCAGAGTTCTTCGTGCCTTTGCCAGCCCAGAGCATTAACCCTCTAAAGTCTATAGGAATGCGAAATTTGTGAATGTGAAAATTGAGCGAGATGGAGGCAGAACATAGATGTTTAGAGTAAAAACCTGAATTACTCGCATGTGAAATATTGTCAATAGAATCGAAGAGATAATTTTGATGACTCTTACTTCATTTGCTGCCATTACAGACTGAGATGTCTGTTCCAGAGAGAGACTTTTGCGGTAGAGACTGCCTCGTCTCTGGACTCCCTTACGATAGGACGGTGGCTCTGCAGGATTTTCTGACTCAGTTGATGCAGACCTAAAAATTGACAGATAAAAAAGGAACGTTAGTACGAGGTCAGGCAAATGACACATTGGACCACTAGACAAGGCACGAATTTAAGCAATCTGATACATGCTCAGTAACCAGAATTTCACGTAAAACACGATTCGCACAACGAAACTTACTGAAACCAACTCCTAACGAAGATATTAACGTTTTTATTTCACATTTGTTACGAGGAATTTAAACTGCCCGCTCACAAGAAACTCAAAGCTCTACGTGAGTCAAATCGCGCACTACAACGGTTTCAACATGCTTCTCAATCGAGTAATGTTCATTTCCCACCATGTGTTGTTCAAACCATAAGCAATTTGCTACAGCTGAGCCAAAGCGTCAAGATTGAGGTTGCCAGATTTTTATATCGCAGAGACTACCTATCATGATTCATGATAACGTTTAGCGCGATGTGAATCACGTAGAGCATTGAGTTTTCATGAGCGGGTGGTTTGAACTTACGCATCAAGAATCATTCAATATCTTTGGAAGGAGTTGATTTCGGTAATTTTTGTTGTGCGCATCATGTTTTACGTGAAATTTTGATTAAGAAACATGTATCAGAATGCTGAAATTCGTACCTTGTCTAGTGGTCCATTACATCACTCACAAAAAATAGTTCAGAATTTTCAAAACAGAAACTTCATCAACTGATACACATAAAAGGAAAAAAACTCCAGTGGGTGCTAAGCAAAAATAAATTAAAGAGGCCATGAGTTCACTGACATGTATAAATTTTAAATTAGATTCATTTAAGGGGAAAAAATAGAGTTTCCCAGAAAAGTTGCCTTCAGATCCTTCTGAATAAAAAACAGAAAGGTCAAAAAAGAGCATAAAAAAAGATAGTGAAAGTAAATTTCTCTGACAAGTTCTCGTAAGACTTCCGAAGACACAAAAATTTCGAGAAAATAAAGAAATGCATACTCCTTGTTTCTTTCTACGCATTCCTTCATGCTGCAAGCACTGAAGCTACATTATAATGTTAATACAACTAAGGTGGCATTGATCTTAATTTTATTAATTCCTGCTTTTGACAAAAATAAAATTCTTTTTCAATAAAAATCTTGACAACTCAAAATTGAGCAGAGAAAATTAACTGGTAAGATATGAGAATTACGAAACATTCTGGATGAGAAAGTTACGTTAGGCATACTTTTTCCATCACAGTTTTACACAAATCAACTGTTACCTTCGACTGAAAAGTGCTCTTTTGTCGTCTTCACTCATTCGTTGAGATCTTCGTAGATCATGAGTAATTTCCGATAGTTGTTGCATTATAACTTGCATCCGTGAAACCCTTGGATCATCGCGAGCCATGGATGATTCTAAAAAATAGAAAGTGTCCATTTCAGAGATTATAGGAACATTACTAATGCAATGGTGCAGGATTTTGGTGAGCAACAAATTACCTTTCCACTTTCTTCCTAAAATCTGCTCTATGACAAAAATTTGATTTTCATGGCAGCATACATTGAGCAAGCTCTCATAATAGCCTTATTAATATATATTTTGACTCTTCTCTTTAAGTTCTTGAAATTCAGGAAACTAACATCTAAATCCATGTTATGGTAATTAAGATAAATAAAATAAAATAAAATACAATAACATAAAAGTAAACAAAAAACTGGAACAAATTAGAAACCCCACTAAAGTATCACTTCGGTCCTTGCAGATATTGAATAATAGATTCATTGATTTCGACTCCAAAAATTTGAAGATGATCCCTAGGCTGTCTTGAGTGAAAAATATTTGATGGGAGAGTCACTAAAGAAAAAAACAACTGACATCATAAGAACAGCCGGCTGATTATTGAAAGTTTAAGGCTGCACAATAAGACACCTTGTCATATTAACATAGATTCAATAATCGGACCGAAGCTCAATAAAGTTTGTAATCATACCTCGACTGCTGACTGCTTTTTCAAGAGAAGGCGAAGATTCACGTGATTTTGGACCCTGGAAAAAATGAAAAACAATTATAATCAATTAAGGAAGAATCTAGTAGGATTTACGAGGGTCATCCAGAAAGTTATGTCTCCTACTGCGGGCCGATTATTGAAATTTAAACCAGCCCGATAAGACATCGAATTGCGATATATTGCATGGTTAAGATAGGGCTTTGTCTTGTCGTGTCGGGCTGACATAGTTTCAATAATCGGGCCGCAGGTTGCTTCCAAAGCTGTCAACGCTAAAAAAAAAAAAAAAAAAAAAAAAAAAAAAAAACTTATGCCGTTGGATTTTTTAAACTCTCGGCTTTAAACTTTAAGTCTTTATTTGAAAAAGATTCACAGGCATGCTCAGGAGAGCCACATTACCACTTTCATTCTCTTGGTCGAATTTGAGTACCTACAGAAAATTTTGAAACATGTTTTGAGAAATGTAGATGAACAGTAAAGGGGTAATTTTTGTTGAATTTTTCCCGGAAAAATATCTAAGTAACATCGAAAGCTTTCAATGTTAAGGGGTGTGTGTAGTTCATGCAGGACCGCTTCTTAAATTGTGTTCGAAGGCCTATCCACCAGCTGTACAACTGTGCGTTACGACTCATGCGTCAGGAATGATGATGAAGTCTGATGGCTCAGCAGCAAAAACCAAGCCATGAGATAGCATCGAATAACAAAACTAACCGTGACAGAAAAAAAGGACTAAGTTAGCAGCTACAAACTTTTATAGAAAGGTTTTTCTTTAAATCAATGAAATGCTCATCTTCCACGGTAAAAAAATAAAATGGAAGGAAAAAAATTCTTTATTTATGTTTGTGAATGAGTTCGTACCTTCCTCCTGACCGGCGGTGTGACAAGGCCAATTGTAGTATTTGGTTTTCCAGTGAGTTCTGGTATCATGGCTGTTAGCTCATTGCACTGGAAAAATTGAGTTATGAAAACATTAAAAGAGGAAACTTAATGCGGGGAAGAACTGACCGTTAAGATTAGATTTTCTCAATATACTCTCCAAAAACGTACTAATTTCTTGATATTTGATCGCAGATCTCCTCCAGTGCCTAGAGCAGCTTTCTATGATCTATCCATCCTAGTTTGTTGGAAATTCATGAAAGATAATTTTCCATGCCTAATTTTGAAATGATTTCTATGGCTCACCCAGAAAATGAGAAAATAAGTCAGCTTTGGGCTGAAATAAATGTGTTCATCGAAATAATATTCACTCTCACCAGAAATTTCCTACATGTTCAATCAGTAAACACCTAAGTAAGGAAATTGTCCTGCATTAGGAAAGAGAAAGAGACCACAAAACTTACCAAGTCAAGGATTCTGGACAGTTTGGGATCCTCTAATAATGATGACTTGATTTTGCGTAAGGTTTCTTTCTCTTGATCAAATCTTTCTTTTTCACGCCTTAACTTTTCATTGGTTGTCCTTAATTTAGCATGAGCATCTCGCAATTCTAGCAAATCGCACTGCAACTGTAAAAAAATATTGACAAAACTTATAAAATCTTTTAAGTTAAAATATTAATTCAATGAGAAGAGTTGAGAGATTAGGGAGGGGAAAATGATGAAAATTAAAAAAAGGAAAATAATCCTCCAATAGTATTGTGAAAGGAAGCAATGACCTTTCATTAAAAAGGTTGCAAAAAGAAAGGATCAAATAAAGGAGTTGGAGAAGTTATTTTAACTACGTGAATAAAATATAACCACATACCTCTGTAATTTTTCTTTTATTCTCCTCTTGTTCTTCTTCCATTGTCTTTCGAAGGAGTTCATTCTTGCGTTTTGCTTCCAGACGATCTTTATCTCTCTCCCTTTCCATCTAAAAAAGAAAAATGAATACATCAATTCAAACATATGAGAAAAAAAAAAAAACTGAAAAACTAGTTTAAGCATTAGGAAGGACTATGCACACTTAACCCGAGTGTTGACATACTATGAACATGGTCAAATGCACCGACCAACAGACATTCCCTTCTCGCTGCCTTGCTCACACCTCAAGCATCACCCCAAGTTATTATAAAAGCTGAGCGATTTAAAATTCTAAGAAAAAAAAGCTCCGATAAGTTTCAGTCTTCACAGCGCAACAATGTTGGAGTAACATAAATTGATTCTAGACTGTTGCCCCTCTATTCAGACGATTTACAATTTGGATCAGGTGTCCTCGATCCTTCTGTGAGATATATACTTGGTTTGGATGACTAGAAGAACAAAAAATCGATTCAAATGCCTATGCATAGAATCTTTCAATACTCGAGATTGAAGAAAATAAAGAAATTCGATATAGGGAAAAAAAAAATGCTGCGTGTCAGCGTACGGAAGTGATAATAAAAGAATTTGTAGGAATACAAGCCAATAATGCACAATAATTTAAAAAACTTGCTTAAAAAGAACTATCCAAACTATGATTTTTCAGTCACAATAGAATTGCATTAATCATAGAAAACGTGAAGAATAACCCCCAGAGTTAAAAAATAGGAACTTTATATTATACTTCAAAACTTTGTAAAGAATTACTATAAGGGTTTGAAATTGGCACAGGTACTTTCCCCTCCTGGAAGTACCCTTTCTAATGAAGAAGAAGTGCATAGTCAAATAATAATGACTACCCCTCGAATATTTCCAGCAGTAAATGGAGGTACTTTACACTGTTACTTCACTTTTGCAACAAATTGATTAAAAAGAATGCTTTAAAAATAATTCACGATAAAAGATTACTTACTTCAAATAGCGTTTGCCTCAGATCACGAGCTAGGGTTGACGTCTCTTGGAGAATCCTTTGTTGTTCCTCTCTTTCTTTGGACCACGCTAATTCTAATTTTGTCTTGAGCCCAGGAATTTTGGCTCGACCACTTGATAAAAGCCGTTCTTCCTCTAACTGTAAAGTAAATTAAATGTGAAAAGAAAAAAAAACATTGCCGCATTTTAATAGCAGACTGCTCGAGGAGAGCAACATTTTCGGAGTAAAATTATGGTTCTTTTGAGATGAGATGTACAATAATGAGGAGTGATAGGCAACATAACTGATCCTTCGCTTCCTGGTGCTTGATTCAGGGGTACGGTACATGGCCCGCTAACATGTACCTTGGTAGCCATAGAGTATGATAATCTGCCACAGGATATCAAAAAGCGGCAAAAAACTTTTCTTTCGAAAAATGGACACATTTTTATTAAACATAATATGATTTTACACATTGAATGAGTTTTGAAGAGCCAACCTGACTTGAATAATTTATACATGAAACTATATATAATTTTATAAAAAAAACAAAAGCTTGTCAACGATATCCTATTGTAAAGTTTGAATGAGTGTGACGTTTAACACAGCTGCCTAGATAGATTCATTTATTCATTAAATGAATTTTAATTGATGCCTTGCAATCCTCTTAAATGATGAAGAATTGCTGCAGACTTGTCAAATATATTGATGAATTCATTAGGGGCCCCTTCTACCTCATCATTATTAGGGAAGGTCTGTATAGCCAGTGAACATGACAAATATCACAAGTATTGATCACTAAGATTAGTCAGGTTTGATAGTGCGATTCTTTTCAGCGAATTTTAATGCAAAAATACTACACAACGTATTAAGTGTTAAATTATTGGAACCACAGTAATAACAAAGGTGCAGAAAGTTCTTCAGAGGAAAAATTAGTCGCAATCTTGTCCTTAAAATTTCTTCATTGTTGCGAAATTTCCTCAGTCATTAAAGAAGTATGATGTACGTGCCGAAACAAAAGCTTTGAAAAATTAGTAGGCTTTCCTGTTTTCTTCTCATTTTTTGCTGTAATAAGGAAAGAAAAATTATTCTTTTTAACAAAAAATTTCCATCAGCGCTGATGGATTTCTTCAAGGCATTCCGTTTAAGACTCAAGCATTTTCTGCACCCCTGGGTAATAAAGCAGAATAGTAAAGTGTAATCGGTCGGATTATTGTTACGCACATAAGTAATTGAGTTCTAAGCAAAACAAATGAAGCTTAGCCCTTGAGCGGTGAGTTTGAATTTAGAGACTGACAAAAGTGAACTGGAGCGCATATGGTCAAGGAGGATATTCCTAAAATCTTCCTTTCTAAAGCTCATCCACATAAACACAGCTAAAAACAGCCGATCAGGAGAACTTGACTGCTATTTGCCATGACTGATTCCAGAGACATGTTACAGTTACTTGAAATTTTCACCCAATAATTGCACCAATCATAATGCAATTGAGGCATACGCTGGAATAACCACCTACACGCGTATAGGTGGTTTTTCTGGAGATTGTTCCGTTCAATCTACTCCTTGGGTATCACTGGTAGTGATGGCAAGTCGATTCCTTGATTACTCAGCTCAAGAATCCAATTTTAGTGAATCAAAGTCAGACCGGTTGGCACGTCTATGGAATAATCACCTATACGTGTTTTTCCAAGTGAAAAAGGAAGGGTGAAAATAAAAATAAAATAGTGCGCTCGGAAGCATTTCATTGATCAAAATTGAGTTGCACATGGTTTTTGGTAGTTGAAGGTAAGGTCTATTAGAATACCGAGCGATTTTGTCTGGAAGTCATTTGACGAGTGTGAAAACAGCAAATGAGATAAGTGCATTTATTGTTTAAAGGGGTTGCAAGTTTAGTGCAACCTACCATCACTGTAAGCCCACTGCTGGCCTCAATTTGGCTCAAAATTTTTCAGAAAATTTCAGAAGACGTTCATGAAGGTGTGAGACAAACATTTGTAAATTTTGAAGGTATTCGGAGCACTTTGTAGGTACCAGTAAAATTCAGAACTTTAAACTCGTTTTTTTTTTCGAAATAATAAAATCTGCACTTATGCGCCTTGTCTTCCAAGCCCCTCAATTTTGATGGTTGATATTAATAATCACCAATTAGTAAAAAGAAAAAAAAGAATTGCAAACTCAAGTTTCTACGAACTGTACTGGCAGATATCACTCCTTGGAATGATGCCAATCTTATGTGGGTGCTTTTTAATCTTGGTTGGCCAGCGATGCATGTGGAGCAATCTGTATAATTTTATGCATCACCAATTGCCGGGCCTTTTTATAATATCCGGAAATATTTCACAGGACCTAATTATCTGCGATTCGAAAATACTTCATAATTTAACAACGTACAACTAGTGATGGCAATTCTTGGATCCACCTTTTCAACGATAAATTATCCATTCATAGATGGAGCTACAATTCCATCAAATCTGATTGCCACATTTTAAAAATTGCAAGAAAGAATGAATAGGCCGTTTGTCTTTGAACATGTTCATTCATGGAGCTTGATCTTAACGTAAAACCACCTCTCCCTGACCAATCCTAGAATTGCCATTACTAGATGCAGCATCAGGAATTCTTTTGATAGATTTTCATGGTAATCTTCACAGCTGTTTACCTCATTGATACGGGAGGCCATTTCTGAAACCTTCACTTCAAATGCTGATTTATTAGAGATCAGTTCGGTCTTAAGTCGGGAACCTTCTAATCTTGCTTCAGACAACTCATCCTCCAGAAGGCTGAGTTGCTGCTCCAATGCTGTCACCTGCTCTTCAATATCTTCGCCCTAAAAAAATGTATTTGTAAGCAAACAGCAAAGCACGTTATTTGAAGCCTACTTTTATCAAAGTGGTAAGGTAAGTTGATGTGCCGATGAGTACTGACAACAAAACATAAATAACGTATAAAAATTATAAATTAAGATTAGGCATTAGCTAACAATTGGACGAACACAGTCTGAGAATTATTATTTTGACAAATACTGTTAAAATGAGGCAAATATTGAGCATAAGTAGATAACCAAAATATGATAACCATAAACAGATGAGATAGAACTACCTCAGGACTATATTCAGCAATATAGAACCACAAACATGTAAAGGCTCCTTTTGGTTTTAAGCAGTTCAATCAATATTCAATGATAGAAAGAGGGAGATCAGCAGAATGAATTCTAAATCTTAAACAAATAAATGGTTCACAGTGTGCAATCATGAAATTATGAGGTTCAAACAAATTCATTTGTTCTGGTAGTACTGGGTCAAGGATTGAACATCCAAATTCCAATTTGAGCATATTAAATTTAGCAAAAGGAAAAAGTAAGGAATAAGACATGGCTTTAATGAGCCACAATTTACACTGATCCAGAGCGCCATTATGAGTCACCTATTAGAAAGCCTTACTTGAGAGTGACAAAAGCTTGAAGCTAGCGATGAATGCTTTTTTGAGAAGGCTTACCTGCTCGGAAGATCTGGTAGAACCTCTGGCGCCACCTTTCAGGTCAGCAATGGTTTTTTGCGCACTTTCAAACATATGCCTGTAGTTATCACTCTCTCGCTTAAATCTTGATACTTGACCTTGCGCATTTTTAAGTTCTTCCATGATGATTTGGATTCGACTGTCATACCGTAATTTCAAAGCTGACAGATCACTTTTACGGGCTCTCTCTTCCATATACAACCTGAAAAAATTTGTCTATGAAATCAGCAAGACAAATTTGTAAAACTGCTGATGCTAAGAACTATAAAAAGTAAGCTGATAAAAATTTAAGGTCATCTGAGCTTATTTACATGGTAAAAATTTAAATGCGTTGTAGCAGTCTTCAGAAAAATTACGAGATTGGTGAACCAAAAAAAATAATGACTTCATGGCAAAGACTTTTTTCTTCATTTACCAACATTTTGTAGAAAATGTCTCATTGTTATAAAATTAACCACTCAATCCAGACTTTTGTTTCTCTTGTTACTTTCTGGATCGAAAATTAAATGTATCTCTAAGAGACCATGAGAAAAACAAAAATGAATCGGATCGTTACCATAAATTATCCATTCATGGAATTAAATGGTCAATCACAAACTGACCTCTATTTAGAAGATTATGGGAGCACTCACTAACTGTTAAATGGTAGGAAATAAAACAATACCTATTTTTCACTTCTCGAAGTTCTCGATCAAGAGCTGAGGAATCTGCAGACATGCTCCTTTGCACTTTGGAAACTTTGACGTAATCCTCTAACTTTTTCTTAAGTTCTTCATTCTAAAGGCAAGAAAAACAAGATGCTTACTTGAGAAAAACATTTAAAGAGCACAAAAAAGAGGTTGAATAAAATTAATTCAAATTTGAGAGAGAAAAGAGGCAAATAGTTAGCTGGTGAGTTGCAATACATTTCATTTGACTACATGAGGCTTTTTTTTATTTTTTATCCCATATGACAATTTTAAATTGGTTTTCCCGAAAAGTTCACTTTATCAACATTAATTCTAGCCAGTCAGGTTGGCCTGGTGGTCAGCGCATCAGACTCAAGGTTGATAGGTTTTAGGTTTGAATCCTGGCAAAGCCGACCAGTTTTTACGGAACTGACAGCCCCCTGATGTCTACAGACACTAAAGCAGCATTTATAGATGGCTGTAAGTTCGACGGAATTGAAGCCAAGTGATTAGCAGGAAAAAAAGAGAAAAAAACATTAATTATGTTAATAAATCTGCTCAACTTCGAAGTCATACATTCTTTCATTTTTGGCGTGAAATTTTCTGAAAAGAAAACTTTCAACGTGATCTTATATCAAATACTAGTGAGAAAGAACAACTTAAAAATAGATAAAGTAAGTTGAGACAACTACAGACATTTTTAAATATCAAGACATATTATAAGAGGAAATCATCCATGTATGTCAGCAAAGTTATCATTAATCATGCTGATGAGGAAAACAGTAAGTTTAAGTAATTTACTTCTTTCTTGACATTTTCTAACTGGTTTAGTTTCATGCTGTTCTCTCTTTGTAGCTGATCAATTTCAGACAATTTTTCATTTAAGGTTGCGTTTAGTGTGTTCAACTGAATTTGTAAGATATCACTGTCAGTTGCTTTTTCTTGATTCCTTTCCAGTGCTTTTACTCTCTCCTGAAACCATAAAACAAGAATGAAAAATCATTTAAAAATAATGGTAGAGATCTTAAAGTTGATTTGGGTTATATTTAAAACAGTAACATTGGCATTTGATAAGTAACCATCGAATTAGAAGTAGAATGAATCGTATAACTTTTTGACCATTCAAAGAAATGAATGATAAGGCAGAAAAACTTAGAGAACAAAGTCAAATGCCGTCTAAGGTAAGAGAATATCTCAAATACTTGGATACATGTATTTTTCTTTTGTTTCGTTAAGTTACATCATCTTTGAAAGATGAAATATATCCATGGCTAAATGTGAAATACTCGTGTGTGTAACTTTATGGCAACATTTAAAAACCTCCAATTATGTTTTATTTTCTTGGAGAAAAATTCATCAAAATGTTTCCCTGCAATTCTGGGTAACTTTTATAGAATAAGTGAAGAAAATTCACAGATTATTTCGATAGAAATTGTTAGTTAGTTTTCTTTTAGAAAAATAAAACTTGAGCAGAGTCCTACGTCGTCACAATTTGTGAGACACATTTCTTTACTTTAGCCTTTGATATGCTATTTATCACGCATTAAAAAATCAATGTAGTGATAAATAATTACAAATTAAATACAGTTTTTACAATTGATTAGAATACCCAAAGATGAATAACTTATAATATATGACTCCCCCAAAAAAGTAAAAATAAAGTAGGTAGTAAAAACTAAAGTGTCAAAATAAGGTGAAAACTGTCAAACTGGGTGGTATAGATGATACTTTTTTTCCAGTATTGAATCTGTTGACATACCTGAATTTCAAGTTTTTCTTTGATCCACTCATCTTGTTTCTTGTTGTAAGTTTCCCTTAAAGCTCTGAGCTCAGATTCTAGGCTTCTAGCTTCTTGCTCATTCACAGCCAGCCGACTGTGTGAAAAGGAGAAAAAAAGTTACATTCTAGGCTCAAGTAAAACTATAATCAAGGAGAAATTTGAAAGGATAAATTAGGTTTTTCCCCCACTTAAATTGATAAAACTTTTTTGATTCACTTATCCAGGATTAGGAGGACACAGATCCCTCTTTGCTGCTATACGACTGAACCCCTGGCAGGTGCCCCGCATTTTTACAGGGCTACTTCACAGCAATTAAAACCTGGGTTAATGTCTGGAAATTTGCAGATATCAGATGCATCCAGAATTAGATCGCAATTTTTGCAAAAAGGAACCAAGAGCATTCCAATTTTGCTAGGATTGTGCAACTTACATTCTTTGCGATAAAATCACATCAATGGACACAATCATGGACAAAATTAAATTCACAAAGGTAATTTTCGGCTTGAATTATAGTTTATTGATTGTAAAGATAAAACTTATTTAAGTGATCAGTTAACATTTGCAACGTGAAAAAAGTTGCACAATCTTAGCTCCATTGGAATGCTCGTGGTTCCATTTTGCAAAATGCGATCCAATTATTATTAGTTGAAAGTCGAAAATCATAGAAATTGTCCGAGTAGATATCTGAATATAAGTATGAAAAAAAAAAAAATAATAATTCAGGGAATCAGACAGCTTAATGTGATGGGGAGCAACTATGCTGGAGTAGGGATGGAATATTTTTTAACGGGTGAAACCAATTTTCAGGTGGACTGTATTAATTTTCAAAAAAGATGGGAATAAGCCGCTGTTTAGGGTCACTGATAAAGAACAAACCTGCTCAATGTGACTAGGGCCTATTTAACAGTGAAAATTCAAACGGCTTCACATATTCTTGGAAGATACAAATTAAAATTTGCCTGGTTGTTTACAGTCACTGGCGAGAGGAAGAAAGAGAGAGCGAAGAATTTTTAGGTTCTGTAAGAATTAATTTTTGGATGAAAAACAATACTGGAACTGAAAATACCTCAACAATGTTTCTTTTTCCATCACAAATTGAGATTTGGTAGCCACATGTTCTTGCTCTAGTTGCTCATACTTGGCAGTTAGTTCTTCATAGTTTTTGCGTTCTTCTGTCAAACTTTGTTCAACTTCTGAAAGCAAAAAAGAGAAAATGAATTTGAGATAAATAAACAAAAAACAAGTAAAAAATTACAGAGCGAAGGAGCAGGCATTAAAAATTGCACGGACAACTTAAAATTTGCGTTTTTCAAAAATAGGTTGAATTTTCTTTTTGGATATTATAAGAATATTTATGAGGGACAAATGCAGGAAAGCCATGTAAAAGGTTTTTCTGCTTCCCCATTTAATGATGGATAATATCTGTCATGGTAATAGGTATAGTGGTCTGAGTGAATAAGATGAATCTCATGATATACGTTTACACATACTATTCTCCGAGGCGAAGATACAAGAAAAGCTCTCCGACGCTGGGGAAGGGGGGGAAGCGACCCACGATTGCCCGTAGGTGGCTACGCTCCACGAGAATCCCGTTTAGCAAGGGAAATCGCCCCACGTTTGTACGTAGGGAGAAATGGGGAACCAGCTGACCAATCGAGCTAGGAATTGAATCAGTTGGCTGGGCACTCTCTCGATACAGTACGCTGTTGAGCTTTTATACTCCGGAGAGAAGGTCGAGCATTCGAGATCAGAGGCCAAGCCGCGTAGATGCTGCTGTAGTCAATGAAACTCGAAAGCTCTGACGTCAATCTCCAAACGTACACAAGCCCAACAACGCACCGCTCTTTCTTCCCATCACATATCCATCAATCTGGTATGAAAGCAAATTCTTGGCTCACTTATTTCACCCTGTTGACACTTTTAAAATGTTTGAAAACTTTCCAAACCAAGCTCCATGATAAATTTTGAGCTCCTGTCACTATAATTTCCATAATTACTTGCTGCAAATCAATCACATTCTGAGGAATATTCAAGGAAGAGTATTAGAATATGTCACGTACTTGGATTTCTTCTCAATGACGCATTTTGAATACATATTTGGGGAACTGATCAAAAACAGGTTTGCATATTTAGAGCTAAAAACTGTAAAAACTTACTCTCTAACTGTTTATCATATTCCAGCCTGACTTCACTTAGACGCCTATTGAGACCTTGTTGTGACATTTTATTATGTAAGTTTGAAATTTCCGCCTCTTTGCACTTATTTTCTTGCTCATATGAAATTTTCATACGGTCTTTCATTTTTCTCTCCGACTGAAAAGTAATCATGCAATTAGGGATGATTAAAGCAACAGCATATGATAGAAAAATTGTTGACTATGAATACAAAAATTATAAAAGGATTCATAAATAGACCCACCAAAAAAAGTGAAGTAAAAAAAGGAAATTTTTAAACAAGATAACTGAGAATGAAATAAAGAATTCCTGGTTTTATCACAATAAGACAAGCAAGTCATATAACGTTGGTTTATGTTTTAATCAAATTTTACACTTACAAGATAATTCAAAAGATGGTGATAATTTTTCTGACTGTATCTAATTATACCCTATTTTATGAGCTCTTTTCCAAAGAAGTTCTTTAATGATTTTAAATTGTTCCCGACTACAAAGTGTTAGGTCCACTTTTTCCAAGTAGAGGACTGGATCTACTATTTCTTTTCATAAAATTTGGACTACTATAAAATTACTGCATTATCTTGCGATATGAAAATGAAATATTTAATTAAAATATACAAAGATGTGTTGACTGTAGAGTAGAGGTAAAAATAATCAACTAACAGACTTGGAACATGAGACCGTTGAGACTAGTAGAGGGGAAATAGAGGTGACACTGGTATACAGCCAAAAAAGGCAAGACATATGAGAAGGAACTATTTGGAAAAAGTGACTTCATGAAAAATTGGTAGGCGATTGAGAGAAATTAAGGGTAATTTTGAAAATTGGCAGGGAATATTTTAACAAACTAGCAACATCAGTTATTCAAAGAATAGGTTTTTTCTTTTCTCTCTCTCTCTCCTTCTCCCCCCTTTCCCCCTCCCTCTCTTCATGGGAAAAAAACAGATAAGATTTAAATTGGGTAAAAAGGCTGATTTGGTCATTTGACCATGGGAACTTCATACTCCATAATCAAAAAGAGCAGGAAAAATTCCTAAGCCCGCCTGAGACATACTTCATATACTTTTGGCTGCTGAACCAAAAATCGCAATGGTTTTTTCCTGTAAAGCACAAATTTTTGAAAAAATCTATTTGAATAGGAAAACTTAAACCATCTGGAAACTCCTAGTGTGATGAGGGGGGAGGGGACAATTATACTAAAAGTCTAAGTGGATAACCATCTGAGATATGTCTTTGCTTCTTTTAAGAACCAAATTTTTGTGAACTTGTGCGATCTTACCTATTTCTAGGGACGAAAAAACGATGATGAATATGCAAGGGGGAAAATAAGGTTGTCACGCAGGATTACAGAGCCAGGGAGATGTAAATTTGCATGCTTAATTTGTTTCTACAAAGAAAAAGTAAATACCAAAGCTTTGCCCAGGCTAGGTTTCTTAGGGAATCTGAATCTTAGGAAGTTTTGATGCAGTAATTGGCCGCGAATGATTAAAGAAAACCAGAACCTCTGAAATCATCTAAAAACAGTTATTTTCCACCCAAAAAATATTGGAGCAATGCAAGCAGCATGTAATTTCTAGTTTTAAAGTACCTATGAAATGCACCCCATGAAGGTGCAGTTTTTTTTACATTCAGAAGCACTTTCTGAAACACTCAGAAAAGTAAAAAAACGCTGCCTCTCAGTCCAAGAAGCGCAGCAGCTCTTTGAGACCCCACTCAAACGATTTTTTGTCAAAGAATAGGTGAAAAATGCGTGCTTAGTGCATTTTTTCATTCAGATAAAAATCGTCAAAGATTTATTAACACCACTTGTTTTAGCCCCAAAAACAAAAAAATTGATTTTTTTTTCAAAGATCTCAATAGAGTATATTTATTTTTATAATAAATTAAAGTGTTTACATTCCTCTTAAAGGTCTGATGAATTATTTGCTTGGGCAAAGCTTTATTTAACTTTCATTCGGATAAACCATGTTGGTTTGATTAAAAATTTTGGATTCTAAAAACTAAAGTGCTAGACACTAAATTTTTTTGAGACTTCTTTGAAGGATGGGGCACTTGTAGCGCTGCTTTAAAATTTTATTCCTTTTCTCTTATGTTAATGAAACTGTGGCAATTTTCAGGAGTCTACGCAAAAAATGTGAAAACTACAAATAGGAGTTGACATGCTACACAAAATTTTCAGACAGATCTATTAAAAAATCGGTACGGGGCACATAACATAGGACAAAGGGACCGACATTACATTATACCTGAAGATCGAGCTCTAACTCGGAGGCTTTCAACTCCCACTGATGTATTTCTTTTCTCATCTCTTTGTCTTTTAATTTCAGGTTTTCTTCTGCAGTCCTCCTGATATTTTCTGCCTGATGGCAAGTAATCAACGTTTAGAAATAATTTTAAGGATTAGCTGTTCCTAATAACAACTTCTAGATATGTAACATTTTGTCTCCTAGTTTGGAGGAAGATCACCATTTATGTTCCCCCATTCAAATTTTCCTAACTAGGGGTTGATAAAATGCTTAATTTACTTCATTTTCAAAATTAGTCAATGATTTTCAATGCTTTGGATATTTTCCACTCCTTTCATCATGTATTGACAAATTACAACATTTTCCCTTATCAGTTATTTGTAGCTTCCTCAAATTTAAAGTAATCAAAGGGAGGAAAAAAATGTTGGCGATCAGATCAAACTGGCCATTCCGCTAAGAGCGCAAAATTGCTGAGATTAATGAATTATTTTACAGCAATCTCAAGAAAACTTTTTCAAGAGATGGCTTATCGATCCCTAATTTCTCATTACTAGTGGATATCTTCAGAGACTTTTGTTGCTCTTCCCAAAACCATTATGAAATTACCAGTGATAAACGCACATTAAAATGTATCCATTAAATTTGAAAATAAGATGCTTAAGAAAAAAAAATCATAAGTAACTTAAAATATTCACGCCGCAAAGATGTTTAGTTTTTTCCGTCTTCTTTTTTTCCAATTTTTATAAGTTTTGTTAAGAATGGTGATAAAAAATACCTGGACTCAATATTCTATTTTGATCATGAAAATAGTAAAAAAATAATAGGTCGATGGCATGGCTTTTTAAAATGAATACTATGATCCTCCTGTCAGAGAATGGTCAGAAAATAGTGATGAAGTTATATTGCTGGTATAACTAACAGGGAATTCTCATTTCACCTTAACTACAATTAAAAGAGCTTGATGCAAATACGGTTTCCNCCCCCCAAATTTTCAGACCCCCAAAAAATTTGAATTTCAGATAGCAACAGCAAAAGATCATATTTCAAAACTAGATAATATAAACATTTGTAGATATGAAAACAGACTCAACTGACAGGAGACTCAAATTCTTGAAAAACAAATGCGAAGAAAATTAATGATAATAATAGATAGGTAGAAAAAGAAAAATATTGAGACATACTTCTGCTAATTTTGTGTGAAGATCAATGTTTTGCTTCTTCAACAAGGTCAGCTCTTCTCTCGTTCTCTTCAATTCTGCACTCACTGTTGCATCTGCTTTACTGCTTAAATTGATGAATTTCTCTTTTTCTTCTTTCAGTTGCTTTTCCTGTAAGTGATGGTAAAAAACTAAAGTGATTATTTAAAAAATTAAGTCAATGCGTCTAATGAACAACTATTTTCAGGCCAATGAAACTACCAGCAACTAAGCATTTCAGTACCCAAACATGAGTGACCATAAACAGGAAAAGGGACCTTCATTCACCAAAAGGTAAAATTCAAATCGGTACTAAAGCATAAATATGTGTTTAAGGAACACATTGGTTGGGACAAAAATACCTCAAAATGCGAAAGTAAACAGGAGTTATAGCTACTTGCAGTTTCCAATTTGAAGAAAGTAGCTTCAAGAAAAATGTGTTTAACATCCTGAACTGCCAAATTCAAATCATGAAATAACCGGTCTGAAATACAACTTTAGGCCTTCTACTAGTATGGAAATAAAATTGACTGCTCCCAGGTTATATTTTCTTCGAAAATCTGATTTTTCCACAAATCTAAAAAAAATTGCTTAACTAATAACATTGTATCTGCCCCTTATCCCATGGAAAAACACCATAATATTAGATAAAATAAAAGATAATGAAGCTTCCTCAAACATATTGCTAACAGTCACATGGGACCTCGCAGCCTGAGAAAAAATTGAACCGGGCTTAAAAGTTGAATTTTTAGCTTTAACCTAGATGATGTTCAATGCAATGACTTAGAGAAACTTAATACGCGGTCCATAAAATCATGGTGTTAAACTCACCGATTTCATTATTAATAAAGGTTAAAATACTGAGGGTTGTGTTTCCCCCCTCTTGAAAAAAGGCAAGTTGCCCATTTTNTAATGAACAACTATTTTCAGGCCAATGAAACTACCAGCAACTAAGCATTTCAGTACCCAAACATGAGTGACCATAAACAGGAAAAGGGACCTTCATTCACAAAAAGGTAAAATTCAAATCGGTACTAAAGCATAAATATGTGTTTAAGGAACACATTGGTTGGGACAAAAATACCTCAAAATACGAAAGTAAACAGGAGTTATAGCTACTTGCAGTTTCCAATTTGAAGAAAGTAGCTTCAAGAAAAATGTGTTTAACATCCTGAACTGCCATATTCAAATCATGAAATAACCGAACTGAAATACAACCTTAGGCCCTCTACTAGTATGGAAATAAAATTGACTGCTCCCAGGTTATATTTTCTTCGAAAATCTGATTTTTCCACAAATCTAAAAAAAATTGCTTAACTAGTAACATTGCCTCTGCCCCTTATCCCATGGAAAAACACCATAATATTAGATAAAATAAAAGATAATGAAGCTTCCTCAAACATATTGCTAACAGTCACATGGGACCTCGCAGCCTGAGAAAAAATTGAACCGGGCTTAAAAGTTGAATTTTTAGCTTTAACCTAGATGATGTTCAATGCAGTGACTTAGAGAAACTTAATACGCGGTCCATAAAATCATGGTGTTAAACTCACCGATTTCATTATTAATAAAGGTTAAAATACTGAGGGTTGTGTTTCCCCCCTCTTGAAAAAAGGCAAGTTGCCCATTTTTTTTTCAGTCATATAACAATCGACCTCCACTGGTCAGAGTTTAAAAAAAGTATTATCATTGAAATCAAGAAGTTGTACGATATGAATTTGGTTGAACATTGTACAATGTGATTATAGCGAGGAGGAAGAATTGACCAGACAATTTTAGGTTTTTAAATTGCTCTTCGTTGGAGATTGAGGACAAAATGGATTACCAATGATATTAGATTCCCTTGTTTCCTCTGCATTTCCAAACTCAGATCTTCTTTTTCAGTAGACAGTTGCTCTACTTTTTTGAGCAACTCATCTTTTTCAATCTGAAAATCTGCAGAAATTTTAGTTTGAGAAGATTCCAGGGATTTTCTTGCACTAACGGCTTCTTCCAACTGGAATGAGAAAAAAAACATTACCAATCGAGGATTAAAAAGAGGAAACAATCAAGTTGCCACAATAGCAAACACAATATGTAATTTAGTTCTGAGTTGAATTAAATGAAAAAAAATGGGATACTTAAACAGCACCTCTGAACTTAAATTTTTTTAACAGGAACAGATGAAAAACTTATGAGGAATTGCAATACATTAAAATTTATTGCATTTTACTTTGATTCATTCTCTTTTTCTTGTCACAAATTCCCGCTCAAAAGCAGAATTTCCTTGATATTGAGAGCTTAAATAACAAGAGCTTTTCTTATGAGTTGGTTTTTAGCAAGCAAACAGACTTTGGGAAAAGATTTTGGTGTTTTTTTTTTCTTTTGGAGAGGCTTACACTAATCTGTTTAGACTTGAGATCTTGAGAAATAACTGCAAGTCTCTATAGTTGTTCTTTGTAGAAAACTAGACTTACTTGTTTCTCTAATTTTGATACTTTTTCTTTCTTAGCACTTAATAGTTTCTCAGATTTTTTGTGTTTGTCTTCCAGTTCCTTCAATTTAATTTCATACTCGGCAGATTTTTGAGAGATATCTTTGAGCTGTGGAAAAGCAAATAAGTGTAACATACAGGTAATTAGTGACAAAAAATATTCTGTAAAAGTTTAAAAATTCTGATAAATACAGATGTCCTTCTAATGAACAGTCAGGGCTGACCGGATTAAGACCCAAATGAAAAACACCTCTCTAGAATGCAGTTTCCTTGATTTGCTTAATCTTCATAAGCAGGGCATAACATATCCATTTGTAGTGAGAGTAAATTTTAAATAAAGGCTTCCTTCAAAAAGAAGAAGAGAAAAGAGGAACAGAGTAAGCTTTCTTTAGAAAGCCAATAGGAGGAAAAGTGTCTTCTTAAAGCTGCCCAGCAAGGTCCATATTTTTTCTAAAACTTGGGGGTGCAAATTTGCACCCCCAAGTTTTAGACAAAATGTGGCCAACACATCAAAAATTCTTCAAAAACCTGCGAAAATTGAACAACTCTGCCAAAGAGGGTTTGGCATTTCAACAGAAGGCAAATATCCACTTTGATTGTTCAAATGGTAGCAGCTAATGAGAATGATGCTTTTAAGTTTAGATTACAATTAGTATTTTGCAGTCTAGTAATTTCGCAGTAACTTTATTTGAGGAATTTCATTTTTTCCTAGTTTTGGTGCACAATGTAAATTATTTAGTCAATTAGAATGTTTCTTCGGCAAAAACTCAGGAGTATTACAAACCTCTTTTTTTAGTTTATTGTTCTCTTCCTCAAGAGCTTTCATGCCCTCTAAATTTTGCCTCAAAATTTCAACTGACTTCTTCTCTGCTTCAAGTTGTTTTTTAAGAGACTCGAATTGTTTTCCTTTCTCTTGAGTATTGGTCGTCAAAGCCTCTACAAGATTACAACAGAAAAACATATTAGAGTGAGTTAAATTTTAAGAGATTGTTTGCAATGACAGTATTATCAGGTCAACAAATGTTGAGTGAGTTTTTTCAACAATTTTTTTACTATCACACTTTTGGAAAGTGGCAGAAGTGCACACAATTCACTGGAATTTTCCTAGATTTTTTAAAAAAATATTGAGCCTTGAAAAACAAGTTCGAAGTTGCATATTTTGAGCACCAATGTAAGTGGGCATTTCTATGGGAGGGGGGATGGCATCCAAAAATATCCCTCCTGCAATGGACACACTCAGAATTGCACAATATCTGGGCACTGATAACAGCTGCACAGACCATTTCACTTGGGCACATCGCAATCGAGAGTGTGCCTGCGGAGGGAGGGATATTTTCATCAATATCTTCTCTTTCTCAACAATGCTCATTTAAATGGGAGCTCAAACTATGCAAGCTTGAAATTGTTTCTTTGCAGGTCAATACAGTTACCCCTCGTAAAATCAAAACATATTTCTGTAAGCAAGCATTTCCTCCTGTTGTCGTTCCTTAAAATCTTGTGGAAACACAACTGATCCACATTCAGTGGTCACATAAAAAGATGTACGAAACTGAATCAGTCAACGGAGCATGAATATGCAAGAACATCACTGCCTTTTAAATCAATCATTTTTTTAAAATACTTACTGATTTCGGAGTTTAACCTTGTTATTTCAGCATTTAGTTCAGTCTTATCAAGCTCCAACTTCTTCTTGGCAGCTTCAATCACTTGTTTCTCAGATTCTAGTTTTTTCTTTTCTTGTTCTAGAAGGTTTTCAATTTTCTTACGATCTGAAAATGAAAAAGAGTTCTGAGAATTGCATATGACGTAAAAGTAAAAGAAGATATTACAGGAAAAAGTAATGAGTGTAGATTATACTAAACAGAAACTGAACTTCTGGGTATTTTAGAAGCCATATTGGCTGGCAAAGCCTAATTTTTAGGGAACTATTCCCAATTTTTAGGGGCCAAGATGTTTTTATTTACAAAGCAAATGTTACTCACTTCAAAGAGTGCACCATCACAACTGAAACTAGAGCCGTTCATTTTATTTTTATTTGATGGACTGAATCTGAGATAAAAGGAATACCCACATCATAGATTTTAATATACAAGAAATTGATATTTGGTGAGTTTTATGAGAAACAGAACAATAGAATCTGCAGTAAATCATACCATTTTGAATGTTTTTCTTCTCTGTTGAGAGCTTCTCCTTCTCCTTGTCGAACTTAGCTTTCTGATCAATAACTTCTCTTTTCGTTGCTTCTAGGTTCTTCTTCAGTTCTTCTACTTCTTTCTTCAGCCTAGTTTTTTCAACATCGCTTTTGCCAGATTCCAAAACTTTTGCACTGGCCACATCAGACTTCTGGAGAACGACTAAAATCTCACCTATTTCAAACATGCGTTCATAACTTAGCTCAATTAAAAACAAATGAATGTCCTTTATCAACCGCTGAGAAAAGTTAAAAATGGATATCAAAATTCTTCATTTATAAAAAACTGAAAAATAAGACGGAGACTTAAGTTTACCTTCTCCTAGGCTTTGATCATGGTTAACTACCTATCAAACTACCTCTGATCATCATAAAAATCTATCTCCTCATTCCACATTACCTTACATAGTTTCTTTCACCATTTTTTAAACAACAGTATTTCAAACACAAGAAAATTGACCTCACAGGAGTTTTTCATGTTCTTCCATCAGAAAAGAACGACACATTTTACTTTGTGAAAAAAGTACTTCAGTATTTAATCAATGCTTAGCAAAAATTTACATTAATTTTTATGTAGAATTCAAATGACCGTCATCTGATTGAACTGTCTCTTTGTTTCCAATTTTTTTTTCTTTTTTGGAAAGCTGCAGTCCATTCCTTTTTTCAAGTGTAACATCTTTGACCCTTGTCATTATTAGAGATTATCATTATTCATATTTTTTCATTACAAAGGTTACTGTCTTGTGCTAAAAACTTATTTTATATTTGAAGATATGGCACAAATTATGGGGAGAAAGTGACTTACTAATTTCATTTTCTAAATCTTCGACCATTTTTTTGAGTTGACTCTTTGCCATGAGGTCGGTTGGTTTCTTTGGTGTACGTTTTAGATATAACTTGACACTGTCAGTAACTGGATCCTCTTTCAGCCTTTTTAAAATGCTTTTCTCAGACTCTAACTGTAAAACAAAAAATCAAACAAAATAATTACATGAGTTAAATGCAAAGCAAGGAAGGCAACTTTTAAGCACAGAAAGTTATTTGAGTCTTTTGCTCATAGATTATACAAGATATTCCTCAAATATAGCAAAAAGACAACAAAGTAAACCATCTTTGCCCCCCCCCCCCCCCNATAAAAAAAAGAGAAAAAAAATTGCTTAAACTGAAACACGTACCAAAATTAAATCACAGTAGTGAAAATAAGTTTGAGCTCTTGATAAGAACTGTACAAAAAAATGTACAAATAAAAAATCTGGGTCTTTTTTCGATACATTGTATGATACATTGAACAGATGTCAAAGTTATTATAGATCAAGCATTTTCTTTGTTTAATTATGTCCATATTGCAAGTCACTAACAGTGCAGAGTATGTTGTTGAAACTTCATGGAGGAAACATGATGCAAAAACCAGTTTTAGCATTTATATCTATGAGCACACACAGATGGTAAAACTGTCAAACTTGCTTATCTTGATTTATATTGGCTTTGAGTTAGCTGCATACATTAGTTATAGGAAATGTACTTCATCCGCTTCCAAAATCTTTTTATACAAAATTGCGAGGTTAGCCGAAGACAGTACTATTTTCATATATTTTGGTGCTAATTGGCAAAAAACACGTCTTGCTTGCATTTTCACCCTTGACAGTCGAAGTATCATACTACATAGAAAATGAGGTGTTCAAGGGTTACTCAAGCATAGCATTGCATCATTTCTAATTACCACTGCCGCTTTTGAACCCCTGCAAATCTTACGATAAAATGTTGGTCACTGATTAGAATTCAGTTTTTTTGTCATAATGCCCATCAATTAAAATTATTTTCAAAAATTTTTGCTGACCAATGAGGAGCATCCTGTTGTAAGTATCATCAAGATTTGTTGTAACTTTTCTACCATCAACTATTAGGGACGAGACAGTTTTATTGCTGTCCTAAAAACTTGGGTTTTCAAGGATATATGGTTCGACAGTTTCACAATTGACATGTAATCTCATTGGAATCCTGTACTATTGAATGGTTCAAATGTTCATAGTTTTAAGAAGAATACTTACTTTGGAAATTTGCGACTTCAACTTATCAACCTCAGATAAATCATTAGAGCTTTTACTGCCATTTTTACTACCTTCGAACTGTTGAATCTGCGAGTGAAATTACGAGTCAGAATAAAAATATGAGAAACATGCAAAATAAAGTACATGAAGAGGGGAATCCTGAAGTTAAAAGATAAAACTGTTTCTGCAAACTTAGTTAAGAGGGTCATATTATAATTTGAAAAAGAAAGAAAAATTATGCATGAAGATGCGATATACATTTTACAGTTTACGCGAGGGATGGGGAGTAAATTATTTATTTGAGAAATTTGAAAAATTAATTTGATTTTGAACACTGTGAAAAGAAATTGTTAAGTAAATGTCTTAGAAAGGTAGTAGCTTTGATTTGTAGGTTTCATTATGAAAACCAAATTTTCTTCTAGCATAGAGTAAAGAAGCAATATAAACCTTTTTGTTAGCTTCTTCCAACTCTTTCTCCAAGGCTGCTATTTTTCCTTTGAGTTCAAACTGTGAACTGTTCAAAAGTCCTCCTTTCTTGGAACCTTTGCTAAGCTGTAACTTTTTATTTTCGGCCAAAAGTTTTTCATAATCCATTTCTAGTGTTTGGTTTTTGGTCCGTAATATACTTGCTTCTTGCTCAACATTTTGTAGTTGACGTTTTAAGTCAATCGATTCACTAGCTCCATCTAAAGAACTGTTACAAAACAAAAAGACATTGTTAACATCAAACAATAAGATCCAAGGAAATGAAAAAGCCAGCACTTGGGCAAGAAAAATCAAATAAAAAGAATTCAATACGCACCAAGGCCATTTTTGGTTTTCTGACTCAAGTTAATACATCAATTTAATGTATTTATTTATTTATTTTCTTTTGCCTTTAACAGGTATAGATATCAACACAATTCAAATATTTATACTGATGCTTCATAAACCGGACCAGCTAAAACCAATTATAATCATTGAATGCAGATCTTATCAATGGCTAAGGTCCGAAAACGCATTTATCAGATTCAGAAATTGTAAGTCTCTGGTCATGTTTAATTGTAGTTTTATTTTTCTAAAATAGTTTTATTTTTTTAAATAGATGAAATTGAAAATTTGCTATTTCCAAAGTATTTCCATCGCTTATTCTAGAAAAACCATATAAAATTGCAAAGAAACATTTTGATTAGTTTTCTCTAAAGAATAAAAATTAAGCAGATTTTTAAATGTTGCAATTGTCTGATGCACTTTCGCATTCAGCAGTCATTAGACTGTAAAAAAGACACTGAGGTTACAAAAATTTGAGGTTGAGCCAATTTCTGTCCCCAAAGACTCTTCCTTCTACACAATAAATCTGGAACTATCATAATTCCAGTCTAAAAACTTCCGATCAGTTGTTGCCTTTAATTATGCTCTTATAACTCAAAATTAACAAAGAGTTAGCAAAAAACTTACATGCTTTTCTGGAGTGTTTTTGGTTTTTTCTTGGTTAATGCTAATTCTGAGTGTAGCCTTTCACAGTCCCTCTCCTTTTCAATCAATTTTTTTCTAAGTTCATTTATTTCTTCCTCTAGGACCTACAAAAACAGATGGAATCAAAAACAATGAATAAAATACAATTACCAAAACTAAAAAAGGGAAACTTCAACAAGAAAATAAGGAACCACGTGGACAAAAGGCTAGATTGCACTATACTAAGATATCTGCATTTCTTCTGGAGGCGTCAAAAGAATACCTGCACATATTGTACTTGCATGCTACAGACCTGAATGAAAACAACATTAAATGTTCCGTGAACGATTTATAAAATTTAGAGAGAAAATGTTAAACCCGATGATAAATTACATATGTATTTAACTCATTAGTAAGACTATACATCCCAAAATCTCACTAGTTTTTTCCAGCCATCTGGCAAGAAAAAATCAAAATTTTTAGGATTGAAATAACTCTGTTATGAAGAGGATAATTAATTAACCAAACTGAAGGAAGGTGTTCCACAGATCGCAGAAAGATTTTTCCTTCCTTAAAGTTTTTGGCAAAAATACCTCCTCCTGAGACTATGACTCCCTCTCCCCCATTGATATTGATGACCAGAGTGTGATATCATGTATCTCTGTTCAAGACATTGCAGATTTTCTAAAATTATTTATTCATTCTTTGAAAAACTAGCTGAAGTAATTTCCTAAAAACTTCTTTGATTTTTCTTCTCTGCTAGCAAGATGTTCTGCATTAATTTCAAGCGATACAGTATGCATGTTTCTCTTTAAAAAATCAAATGGGAGCAAAAATTTTGAAACATTGCGATAGAGATAAGTGATATTGCACTTCGGCCATCAATGTGTGATTCTATTAATATGATTGATAATTTTAACTACATAGCTCTTTGGCATAGTGCTGATAATATAGCCCTCCACAGTAAATAGAGCAGATCTCAAACAGCTGTTTTCAAAGAATTTTCTGCCTTTTTATATAGGAAGAAGTATTCCAAACAATGAATTGCAAATGTCTATTCTTACCTTCAATTTTTTATCGTAAACTGTACTTGAGCTATCAGTCTTTGGCTCTGCAGACTTCAGACTTGCAGCTTTCTTTTCTTTCTTGAGAGAGTTGGATTTGTTTAACAATTTTTCTTGCAGATCAGCAATTTTTTTCTTCATTCCATCTCCTTCACTTTCTAGATCTTCTACTTTTCTCCTTAAAACTGCTGCTTCCTAAAAACAAAACAAAAACAAATGTGACTATTCACAGAAAAAGAGACTTTTGTCCATGGATGCAAAATTTCTAAGAAAGTAATTTGGTTAAGTTGGGTCGAAAAACCCCATTTTGAGATTTAGAGGGAGAGTCCCTCTGGTGTTCAAAAAAGACGGTTGTAAGCAGTTTGGCTCACTTTTGTGCCAACAGAGGGCGCCAAGTTGCACTGTTGAACTGAAGAAAAGAACTTAAGATTTAATAAAAACATTTTCTTAAACTGTCCATGTAAAAAAAAAATAAAAATCTATTAAGGCATCTTGCGCAATGTTTTAATTTTTTTTTAATCCTATGTTCCTGTATCTACATAGATATTGTACCCATGTAAAGTGGTTTAGACATCTTAGTATTTTTTTTTTTTGCAGAATGCTTTTTCTTCTGTTCCTTTGTTATCTTTTTCATTCCTTTCTTCTTTCTTCTGTTTCATTCTTCCTTCTTTTTCAGTATTAAAAAAAAAAAATTAAGGTACACATTTTTGACATACCTATAGCGTGTTGTCATTTTCTATGGCATCAGAGGCCTTGCCCACACGAGCACAGTTTGAGAAAATTTGTTCCTTGAACTTAAGTTTCCTGGAATAAGTTATATCTGAGTTGTAACAAGTTCCAAGAACAACTTCGCATGAATTTCTGCAAACTGCACTCAAGTGGACAAGGCCTTATGTTATGTTCCTATTCGCACCAAATGTACTACGTTTCTGTACATTGACGATACATTGAGCTATATCTAATCAACCATTTATTAAAGAGGGAGAGAATTTAAATTTTTTTAAAAAAAACTCACGTTGCAGCAAAAAGTTTGAGGAGAAGGGCTTCAGCTCTGAACACTGGAGGGGAATACAGGAAAGAGAAAAATTTAAACGAACCTGTTCATTTAATTCCAGTAACAAGCGTAACTCAGCGGGGTCTTCTTCATCAGAGATCCCTTCGTCCTTTTCGTTAGCAGATTCAGCAGATAATCTTGAAACACTATTAGGACTGTGCCGGCGAGCTGTAATTCATAAAAGTAGCGGTTATAATAAACAATTAACTGATAAAGAAAATCTGGGATCTATTTTTGTCTTACCTATTAGATCTACGGAAATATGGTATTATGAATCAATTGAGGCAACAAGTCGACATTCAATCAAAGATGACGTTTTCTCAAGGAATTGGCAATCCTTAAAATGAGACGATAGTAGAGAAAATAAAATGATTTTCTACACTTTAGTCAAATTGAGAATGAAATAAGCCTCCCTCTCTTTCCCTTGATAAAATCATCCGAAAAGATATCAGTTTCAAAACTTTAAAAAAATTCAAGGGAATATATATAGAGGTTTATGTTCGGACATTTCTATTCTGTCGACTATAAGTTAATGTTCCAAAACAAATCTTGCCTCTCAAAGAGAAAGAGGTATTAGAATAACATTGAATGAATAATCATGGACTTCTAAAACAGGTTTGAAAATGTAACTCAGATAGAACGTCTGAATTCATATTAAAATGAGAGAAAACTATTTATTTATGTTGGAATGATAAAGGGCTGTAGCCTCTCAAGGGTCATTTGTGATGAGAATTGCACTAGTGGTCAAATTTGGAATTACAAATCTTGTACAAAAATACGAATTAGGAAAGCTTTTTTGTTTTTCATTAATTAAAATTCGTGTAAAATTTACACACAAAAGAAATATGAAAGAAAAATTAGCACCAAACTTTAAATGAATTTGTAGTTAAAATTTAATAAAAGTTGTATTTGTTTTACTTAAGTTACAACAAAAAATGTTCCCTAATTTGTATATTTTAACAGCTTTTCCGGGGTTTAAATTTGAGAAGTTTTTAATATTTTGTACTCAGTGATTGCTATTGGGGAAGTTACCAATTTTTTTCCCAATGCAGTTAACCTACTAATCATTAACTTAGAAAATGGAGATGATCAAACGAAAGGAAGAATTTCAATCTCACTCATTAAATCACTTGACTTTTCTATTTCACCTAATTATTTTTTATAAACATTTTGCCCAGTTCTTTTTCTCTTGCCCAGCCCAGCAAACACCCTGAACAAAGTTGTGAGTTGCTGCTAAAATTATGCACACATTGTTAAAACTAACTACTTACTAATTTGAATTAGAGAACCAGCAGTCATTTAAATTATTCCAGGGCTCAATATTTTGGCGCTCAAAAGCACAACTAACACGAGAAAAAACTTGGGTCTCGGCAATCTGATGCTAAACACTAACGCCTAGGAATTGGAAATGGGGGCACATTTAATTTCAATTTAATTCATAAAAATTTCAAAATTTTGATGATTTCTCCTCTACAACAAATACCCCTTGATCAATTTTCCTCTTTTTAGCACAATAAGAGGCCGTTCATAAAATACCTGACGCTGATAATCGGATTTCTTTACTTCCTCCTCTCTCTGGTAACGCACCTGTAACACAGGTACACAGCCTCTCCAAAAAAATTTTATATGTCGCTTTGTTTGACCTCATCTCCTTTCAGCAGCGTTTTAGAAAAAAAATTTGAGGGAAAATTATCAACCTGCACAGATTTTTCATCTCAGACTTCCAAAAAACCGACACTGTGCGGCCGTCCTAGCGTTATGAGACACATTCCTGAACAATCCCCCTCCCCCAGTAGCACATGCTTAGACTTCTCTCCCCCCATACAGCGTTGCGTATTTTATGCACGGCTCCTGATAAAGCTGAGTAAGAAATGAAAGAATGCCCTCTGATGAATGTTTCTTTTTAATTGCAGTGTCGTGCAAGCGTGGATCCATTAAGTTTTTGTTCAAAAATTTTTCACATACCAACTGCTGATTCCCTTAAGCTAAAGGGTGAAGGGAAAAAAGTCAAAGATGGGATGTTCTTTACAGGGAACACGCGATTGAAAAACACAAATTAAGAATTGCAAAATAGCCGATTGTGATCTGATACCACATATTCCTCATTTTTTGCAGTTAAACGAATCGATAGATTTTTCAGATAGGAAGAAGCATGTATGAGTTCGACATACATGAAACATACATGAGCTGAAATATCATGCCAAAACTTAACACCCACATTAGAATGAATTTGATGAAGGTATTAATGTAAGAAAGAAAAGACAGAACACAAAAATTTCATCGGTTCTGAATGACAAATAGTTTCAGAATCAAAATGAAATCAAATCGGCAAAAGCTGTTACTTGAGTGATGCAGACAAGAAAATGGTTACTGATGCCAGATTGTAGCTATGCTGTTTTCAAATGCACGATCTCCTTAAATGACGTGAAAGCCAGTGAAAAAAGTAGAGAGCGGGATGGGATTTGACAAAAGAAGTGATTATCTAGAGAGCCCCATGGCAAAAAATGTTGCAACTATTGTTGATGGTTGTTTGAGATTATTTCATATAAATAAAATGCTAAAATAATTTAAATGGAGGAAAAAATGAGTTCAAGAATTTCCAGATTATAGAAATGAGCAGGTAAAAATCAGTCCGAAGGTGCATTTTATGGCAAGGAGGCAGAAGTGTACTTGGACCATTTTCACGGAGAGAACTAAAAAAATATTAGATAAAAATTGTCGTGAGCTTACAGAAAGTCTTACAAAATTTTAATGAGAAAAAATGCAGTTTTCAAAGCACTTGACGAAGCCTGAGCTAAAAGAAAAAAAAGGCATCTGCTGTCTCTTTAAAATTTTAAGTAGAGAACCATTCACACAACAGGAAGTTTGGAAAGCAACCCCGAACGTATTTTCAAAACAGATCAAATGGAGGTTGGATTCTACAAATGACGTCAGTTGCACTTTTGCCATTTAACCAAATGTAAACACTTATATCTTATTTAGCAGTTTATTTCCGGACGTTCCGTTGTGTAACGCATTTACCTTGTGAAATTGTGAAGAGATAACATGAAAAGTAGTGCTTTAATTCATACTCTAGAGGCTCAGTCCATTATACAAGGATATTTACAAACTGTGGCCCCACCTTTACGGGCTTTTGACTCTTTTAATATTCTGCTGAATTTTTACAACTTAACTTGGTCGAATTTTTCCTGCGAACTACTTTTAATAATTGGAAAAATCACCTCAATGAATTTACATTTTTTAATCAATTGAATTCATGTTGTGAATCTTGCTAAAGCTACAATATTTCAAACAACAAACAGTTTAGTAAATTTTTCAAGTTCCATCCCAGTTTTAGTTGGAAAGAATAAACTGTTGGGAGAGAAAATAATGATAAAAGACTTTAAATGAGCTTCTCAAAAGAAGAGGGAAGTATCATTTCACACAAAAAAATTTAACAAAATCAAAATCAAAATTAACAAATGGAAAAAAATAAAAGAGAAAAAAAAAGCATGACAAAAGAAAATGCGGAGGGATTATGAAAAAGAACATACTTCTGGCTTTAGTAGCCATTTTCTTGAGCTGCAAAACTAGTGACTCATTATCATCTTCGACTCGTGATACTTTCTTGCGCAAGCTATTAGCCTGAAAAAAAGCATTTCTGCATAATCAAGGTCTGTCCCAAAAATTTGTCACTAGTTGTATTTTTCTTAACCAATTTCAAAAACATTCGCTTCAAAAAGAAGAGAAAGGATGATGAAAGGAGGTATGTGGAGGAATTTGCAGAGACGTAATCAAATTTTCCTGGCCTGGTCCTTACTTAAAAACCTTTCCCTTCTAAATAATGAAAAAATATAGTACACCATTTGAAAATGTGACTGACTGACAAACTCAATGGACTGTAATAAGTCACAGAATTTTGGAACTGACATTTCCACCTTAAAAGTTCTGGCTGTGATAAAATATTGATGCGGTAATCAAAAAAGAGGATTATTTGATGTATTGGTTGAGTAAAAAATTGGACAAAAAAAAACATAGATAAGGAGAAATAAAAACCAAGAAAAGAAAAATAGGGGGATGGGGGGAATGAAACTCAGATGAAGGAACTTAGATCTTAAATTCCTGATTTTCAGAGGCGCAGAAAATGGAACTCTCGAAAAAACTCAAGTTTTTTGGACACAAAATTCTGGTATCATTATGACAGGAGAGAATAGAACATGATAAAAAGTATGGAACTGTTGTTTGGAACTGGTTCCTCAAATTCAGCTATAACTAATTGTATTTTTTAAAAAAAATTGAGGATTATGATCAATATGTCAATAAAAAGATCATAAGAGTGTTTCTTACTATGCATAAATTTTATAAATGCTGGGAGCCAACATATTTTTTTAATTTCAATTTTCTAGCCTTACTCTTAAGGGAGGGATCAAACGTTACTTGATTAAAGCAACTGAAACTACAAGAGGTATGGACGGAAAATGGTTTACTTGATGTACTGGTTTAATGAAACCCACACTTGAAGCTCTTATTTACCTACTGATGGTGATATCAACAGTGTCAGAGGTGAATCAAGAAGGGAGGGTGAAAATGCGGTTCCAAAATTGGAACACAGTAAACGAAAAGATAGAACAGGTGGTAGATGTTGCAAAAACTTCGTCATGCGGTCGGTTCTCAAAAATTGGTTGCTTTTCCTCGCAGCCATGTCAAACTTATCCACTGACTGCTTGCGCCTTTGAGAATAAGCTTCTAAGCCTCCGTTTTGTTCTAATGAGATGTCAACTTCCCAACCATTTAAATGTTCAATTTTTATTCTCTGGCAAAGTTTACAAACTTCCACCCTTTTTAGATTGCCTTTGAGGTTGTTACTCCGGTATTTTGAGTAGTTGCTATCACAGTCTTTGCTAGAGGATGCAGAGTTTTCGCTTTCTTTATCTGAATCAGTGGCAACACTGGAATCGGTTTCTTCCATATCATACGAGTTCAATTCTAGCTGTCTCCTGTTTTGCTCACAGTCTGTCTGAACAAAATTATCTTGGGTTCTTATTTCAGTTTGACATTCTTCATTTAGCCAAATGGTTTCTTTCTCCCGGATCTTCCTATCACACGTCCAAATTTCAGTCTGCATTGCGGTATTCTGGAAGGATTTGATTGTGATTTGACATAATGGAGGTTCACTTTCGGCTAACTTTTCTTGGTCAGGCAGAGTTTCTGTTTGGGACCAGGAATTTTGAGTGAGACCATAAAGAATAAAATCTTGCGAGGAATCTTCATTGGTCTGAACCGTTTTATCTTCGGTGGCATAGAAATTGGTTTGAGTGTGTTTTCCTTCGGTGAAGACCTCAGTTTGAACAAATTCATTTTCATTTTGATTGGAACTGGTTGAGCTTAATTTGTATTGGTCAAACACAATTCTTAGGCCGCAAGATTCAAAACTTATATCTGTCTGAGAAAATTTACTCGAGTCATCACTCGTCCCAACTGAACGGGAGGAAATATCAAATGAGTCGGTTTGTGCGAAATTATTATTGGTTTCCCACAGCGTTTGAATCTGAGCATCGACATTTAACTCAGTCTGAATGGCTAGGGTTTTCATCTGGGACACGAGAGCAGTCAAGCGTGTAACGTGAGTCTGAGAACTTGTGGAAGTTTGGAAGAATGTTTGGCGTCCCGCTTTTTCTGCAGCTAGAATATCAACGAGGTCGGTTTGCACAGCAATGTCGAATTTCGATATTACTGAGGCTGTGCTCTCTTCTTCAAACATGGTTGGTACGTCCCTCATCGGGGGCCGCAAGAAACAGCTGACGATTCTGTTTCTGCTATCCTTGTGCAATGGAGAGATCTGTTAAAATCAAAATTTCCAAGTCCTTACTCTACAGCAAAATTTGTCTCATAAGGTGGTTGGAAGGTTAAAAATGAAGATGAAACGAAATATTTAATTCTTGGATTTTCGCCAAACAATGATATAAAATGAATAAAGTGCTTAAAATAATATTTTATCAAAAATAAAGTTTTTTCCCTTTTATACCAATTTTCAAACAGCTTCAAGGGCCAATCCCGCCCTTAATTCCCCAGTCTCCTTACACCCAGCCCCAAGTGACTTTTGCCTGAAACCATTGAAGATCAGGTCACCTAGCTGAGAATCGAGCCCAGGATCTCTTATCGTAAAGCTAGCGTTACGACCAATACACCACAGGAGGCTGCCTAGTTTGACCGATTTGATCAAGATCTATAAACCCAAACTAGGAAAGGTTTTGTCAGGTACGTTCAAATTTACAGGGGTAACCAAAGCAATTCTTTTCTGCTATTCAACAGTATACTTCAACCTACCAGTACATTCAACCCTGTATTTAGCCTGTATAAAAAAGCGACCTTTGTTGATTGGCAAGGCAAAGCCTAGAGATAATATCTTGAGTCCCTTAACTGATTGAAAAACACTGCTTTCATAAATATTCAATCCAAAGTTTTCTTTGTTCTTTCTTTTCTCCATACAGGTAGAGTCCACAGACTTTTCCAAAAAATTTAAAATTGTGGACTTTGAGATATTCTGAGATTCAGCAACCACAAATTCTTGGCATTGAGAACTACCTCTGTTAATTCAACCCCACCAAAATGATAAAAGATTCATATTAAATCACATGGAAAATGTTCAAAGAAGCATCAAAAAACTTAAAGTAGCTATTGAGCAAAAAAGAGAGAGCCTAAATACATACTGCATGCCTTCGTGCTTAAACGCTGTCTTATATTGCATTTTTTCAAGTAATTGAAAAATTTGTTGAACCTTCGTTACTCAATACTTCTGAAATACCTACAAAAAACACATATCAGTTTCACATGGAAAAATTTCCTCACCTCCTCCTCAGCGTTGCGCAACTGTTCTCTCAGATCTGCCTCACGTTCTAGGGAGTCTTGAAGATCCCGTAACAGCTGCACAGGATCATCCTGAGATCCACCTCGAGTTAGAGATTCTCGAGATATTTTCTGAAAAAAAAAATCAAAGAGATTACTTGGTTTCCAGTAGGCCTTCAACGATTAATTTTGAAGTATGTTGATTTTAAAGATGTGAGAGGAAGTCTGGTTAACTTACGATGTCTGACGCTTCTTCATTCTGAAGCTACAGGATCTCATTAAATCTAAGATATTTTTGAAAATTAAAGGTCTCAAAGAGTAGGAGCTGTAGTTTTAATAACGTACCAAAATTTTAAAATTTTCCCAGCATTTGATAATGTCATTTTCAAAAAATTTCAACTTAAAACAAAATTTACGATATTTCAGAAATTACGAACTTCAATTTAAAATCAAAACCAAACTCAAGAACTTTCAAAGCGTAATGTTGTTTGCTTGAAACTGATTGAAGGATGGACACCATTGTTTTTTTTCCTTAAAATAAATGGCATCACACCATGATATTATGAGAAAGAATTATGAAGAATATAAGGATTATAAGGCAACAGAACGAAATTGAAGTTATTTACTTGCCATCTCTTTCATAATTTGTTGTCTCTTGCACAAAGAAATGTATCTCACCTGTGCTGTTTCAGTATTTCTGCTGACATTTTATTTTTTCATAAAAGAATTGATTTATGAATGAGTCTGAAAATTTCGAGTACTTTTTCACAAGAGTAAAGGAAAATCACGACAAATTAAGGGAAAATTCATGAAGCGATTCTCTCAAAGACGAATTAAATGTAAGTAAAAGATAATGAAGCAGCATGATTGAGATACATTCCTTCTTAGGAGGCAGACGAATTTTACAGTTTCATTTTTCAGGTGAATGTAATGAGTCAAATGGTTGAAGACTTACCTCCCCAGATGAATTTCTATTTAAACTAGCGAGTGTGGGAGCTTTTTTCCGGGTTTCCTGACTTTTTCCAGATGATAGTTCTTTCAATTTAGAGTTGGCTTCATCCAGATCTTTCTGAAGTCGATTCACCACCTGGAAGTAACATATAAATTTTTTATTTCACTCAAGAAAATAAGTTGATTTACCGTTTACAGTTACCTAAAAGACACATGGTTCAATATGCCGCAGGGGCCATTCAAGTATCGCCTTACACACTTTTTTCGATTTCCCCGCCCCCTCCCCATTTGTAACACAGCCCTGCACCCCACTTATGAATTACATAATGCTGGCTTTNTAACAAAAATGAAGAAATCGCTGAGAAAGCAGTTTGAAAACAATTCAGGTTTTTTTTTTTTTTAGGATACTTCACTGAAATGCGATGGATAGAGATCAACAAACGGAAGAGCGAGAAATTCAATTTTTTGCACGTTTTTTTTTCAAAGTTTTCTTTCCCCAGCTCGGAATTGTTACGTCTGGGCTTGAGCCCCCTCCCCCTTGTAATGCACCGTAATGATGGCTCAAATCCTCCCTCCCCCATAAATGCATTAGATTATACTTGAACAGCGCCTTATATAAATAATAAACCATTCTACACTTTAGTTTGTGCCACCAACACTGTTTTTCCTTCATTTAAATCTACTATAACATAACACTCATTATATAGATTCTGAGAGAGGCAACCTGCCTCTGCCTACAATTATTTATCTTGTCTCTCTGTGCCTTGAAGAACATTTAAACCGACTTGATGTAATGTTATCGTCATCATAAATGTGTATTTAAAATCTCCTTTGATTTTGTTAGCTTATTTTTTATGGTGTATTTTACCTCCAACTGACTGCCTATGTCTGCTATGGTAACTATTGTTAACACAATAGGAGATTTTGAAACATTACAACAGTTACAACTTTTTTCAATTAGCCGTCTATAGATACTATACATATCACGTTTGAAACTCCCAAACAATGTGTATCAGTTTGCAATGTTGCAAACTTCCTGTCATAGAGAAATAAAGAAAGCCGAAACTAAAAAATTCAAACTCACAAACATAAATTAAAATTGCCCACGCGTTTAGGGGCTCCCCCGAACCTTCTTCAGAGCTAAATTCCGACTGTGACTTAAAGAGGGGGCCGGGGAGCCCTGAAACGCTTTGGCAATTTTAATTGATTTTTGTGAGTTTGAGTTTCTTAGTTTTGGCTTTCTTTATTTCATTATTTAGCTAACAGTTTGTTACCTCGATTTCCTGTTTGTTTCGTTTCATTTAGTTTCCGTTACTTTCAGTTTCTTTCTGTCATACTTTGATCTTAAAATGAAGAACTACTCAACGTCTATTCTTAAAAAGTTCTGTGATTTTTCTTTTCTGTGCGAAGCAAATTCTGAAAAAAGCTTCAAGGAATGATGTTGATTTATTTCCTTTAGGAAATAATAAAATAAGAGTGGAGATTTTGGACACCGCAAACAAGATACGAGGTTTAGGAGTTTCATTGTCCGCATAAGGTACATCTATGACGTGCATAGAAAAAGGTTTCTTTATACGTCTTTTGATCATATGTCCAGTTTATTCAATTTCATTGTAAGAGAGCAATACTTATCAAACTTTTAAGAAAAAGCTTGAATTAACTTCACAAAAAAACTAGTCCGTTGATGCATGCCTTACCTCTGTTGAAAGACTAAGTTCCTTTTCTAGTTTCTTAATTTTTTCTACCTTATCCATTCCATCTTGCTCTCCAGCAATCTGAAATGCAGAAAAGTAAAAACTCTTTTGATATACTTTCACACGATAAGAAACTCTAAAAAATGTTGAACTGAATCAACCATTCAGGATAAAATTTCCAAAATGATTGAAGTTACAATCAAAACTTATTGATTGAGTACATTGCAATACTCGAATATTTTGCGATGTTTCAAAATCACAAGGAATAGATCATACTTTTCCTGAGTTTCAAGGTTAGGGAAAATAGGTACTATGATTGACCAATCCCACATTATACTTGATTCCTTTCATTTTCCAAGGCAATTATCTAAAAATGAACCAAATTCAAGATGAACAGATAGTTTATTCATTAAAAGGTAACTCTCACCTTAATAAAGTGATGTAAGTAATGTACTGCATGTCGGACAAAATAATTCCACTGCTCAAATCACAGGAATGATTTGCATAATCAAAAAATGGTGAAGTAGATAGAGTTTTACAGAAGGGCACCATTTTTCTGGGGCCTCCAAATTGAAGAGCAGGGATCAACTTAACCTTCCCAGACTGTAACTCATATCCTGTGATAGGTTCAATGATTAGGGAAAAATACAAATACAATTTTTTGAGCTCAAACTGCATGTCAATTTTATTATTTACAGTTTCAAAATGACAGCTTGGGAAAGTTTTAGATATCAATTTTAAGAGGTCACCATTTTGGATGAGTGATATCGGGTTTTACTTGGAAGTTCCATTTTTAATTCCCTTGTTTGGAGTCCCGTGAAAAAAAATGTGTCTACTGTACGCAAAAGACACAGCCAGCAGATGGGTCAAAAATTACCTGAGGATTAAGACGGAACTACGAAAACAATTTGAAAAAATTACCTCTCTATATTTTTTTTCTGCTTCCAATTTTTCAGCTTCCATTTGGTCCGCTCTCCTCTCCGTTTTGCGCAATTTGAAGGACAAAATTCGACAATTTTTGGCCGTTTGTTCTAGTTCCTTCTTCAGTGATGAATATTCGTCTGCTTGGTCCTCTCTGGAATACGTGGTGACATTTCAAATAAGATTAATGGAAGTCATATGGAAAAGAGGGGTTTGAATTGTAGTCTTCGACTAATATTTCTAACCTCATCGCTTAGGATGTGCTTCGGTCATCACATCCTAACCTCATCGCTTAGGATGTGCTTCGGTCATCACATCGGAGGGAATTTCGCCCATTTACAAATAAAAGAGACAGAAATTCAAAAGCAAACTTGGTAACTTGGGTAACTGGGTTGTAAGTGTATCTCTTTAGTTGTTAAACATTTTAATATTGCTCCTTTGGGGCTCTTAAGAAGACTGTCGAGAATTGATCCATTAAATCACAGAGTTTGTTTAGTTGTAGGATTTGTTAAATTGCATAATCCTTTAAATTGTGGAATACGTCAAATCACGATCTGAAAAATCAAGGTTTTACAGTCACCACTTATCAGCGTTTTTGTTACTATATTGTTACCTATTTATGAAGAAATTTTCTGTGAAGCTTAATTTGAAGAAGAGAATTTTAGTTGACTGATGTATGCAGAAAGTGGGCTTGCTTAAAAGCTAACAATGTTTGTTGATTTCATGGAGAGACATCAAGAACTGGCAGAAAAAATCTACTTATTCAAAAAATTTGGTAATATCAGGGTTGACAAATGAAAATTTTTCTTTTTTTATTATATGTAGTCATCAGATAATCTCTGCATTCGGATACTTCTGAGCACAATTCTACATTCATGAATACATTTTTTATTTGATACCTGCACTTATCATCATGGAATTTTAATTTTTCTTCTCTGTATGTTTATCACAACAGCTTTCGATGAGCTGTATCTAATCTCTAAATTGTTTCTTTCCTGAAATCTCTGCTACAAGCAAGAAATAGTTTTTCACAATTTCCTTCCCTCTTTCAAAACTCGATAACCAAACTGCACTCATCTTTCCGAAAGCTTATTTTTTTTAAATTTCAGTTGTGAGGAGATGCGAAAGTTTCCATAGTCAGGATCGGTCATGATCGGAAATGACCGGTCAAGTTCGCTGGATGACGATTGCAGCGTCGAATCAGAGTGGCCAGGGAGTGCGCACGCGCAGAGGAGAGGAAAGCGCGAGAGAGCTTCAGAGCAGAGCGCGAGGAGTCCCGGAGTTCAGTATTGTTACGGATGCCACTTGGTGCGTGGACCTTGGTGCCACGCTCAAACCCAAGTACCTAGAGTCGTCAATACCTATTCAATGATTTTTTCTTACCGTCAGATGCTGTTGGTCAAAAATTGTTCAACGTGCTGATCTTTATTCGGAATATCACGTCTAGTCAAAAACGAGTAATCTCTTTCTTTGCCCCCTCGTTTTATCCCTTTTTTCTTCTTCCATCTGGATCTCGCAAGGAGGTTTGATCCGAGGGATATATCCCTCACTATCGCCACCTTTTCCGAGGTCCTCCCCCCTTTGCTCTCGCGTCGGAGGTTTGATCCGAGGGATATATCCCTCGCCATCGCCTCCTTCCTCGAGGGCCTTCCCCCTTCTCCTTTACAGGATATCTTCGGAGCTGCCGCATCATTACACAGTTTTTTAGTTTTAAGAAAAATGGTGATTAAAAGACTGAATTACCTGAAGTGATCTTGCATCTCATCCATTTCAACCTCCATTTCTCGCAGTTCTCTTTTCATCTCCTCATTTTCATCCATCAGTTCCTCGCAAAGCGATTCCGCTGCTGAGAGCTTATTTCGTAATACTTCAGTCTCTTTGTCTGCAAATCCTTTTTTCTTGTACGCCTGAACCTCCACATCTAATTCTCTACAACGTGTTGTTAGAACTTTTTTTTCATCTTGCAAATCTTCAACCATTGTTTTCAGTTCATTGACTTTTTGTTGAAACTTTAAAAGCTAGAGCATAGGATAGTAGAGGATTAAAATTAATGAGGAACTTAGTTACAGTCAGATGTATTGGAACTAATGAGCAAAAGTAATGACTAGGTTTGTTGAGGTGGTACTTGCAGGTTTTAGTGATACGCGAGAATGTTCTAATTTTAATGAAGTTTCTTATTAAGGAAAACATGCAATTCAATTTGAAGCACCTTCTATCCGTAAATAATAAGCAATATTGCTGTTTGGAGTACTGAAAATGTGTCTGTTTACCCCTTTGAACTATAGTGTCGACTCTTGATCCGTCGTTTTGCCAATTACTTTACCAGCTCAAGTATTGCCTTAGAGTTGACAAAAAATGTGGCTTACAATTAGAGGGTATATAGTAAAATGTAAGAGCTACACTCTGCGAGGACGTTCGTGAACTTTTTTTTTTCTAATCAAAATGCTGATTAGATCTACCGTATTCATCTTCTTTATTAAAATATTTTACAGATTTCTGAAATGCTCAACATAAGGTTTTTCACATTTGTCCCCTTGACAGAATTTTTTTTTCTTTTTTTATGATTTCTCTGCTTTAACACACGTTTGTCGTCACTTAGCTAAACAGTAAATATTTAGATGAACTACGACATTCAAAATTAATGATGCCACATTCAAAAGTTTGTGAAGATATTACCTCTGATGCAGTTGTTTTGCTCGAACTAGTATCCATTGAAGCTAATCTCTTCAGGAGAAGGTCATTTTTTTCAAGTTCTGCTTTTTCACAGCGACCTCTCATTATTTCAAGTTCTTGCCTTAGACTTTGAAGTTCATTCTAGTGAGAAAATTTGAGAATAAATATAAGTAAGGACCAAATACAATGTTCCATGCTTCTCAAAATGAAGCATATTTTTGTGGGCAAATTAAAATAATTGATTACTGTATACTCCCTGCTAAAACTAGAATCTTGACAGGCTTTTGAACTTAAAAAGAACCCATATGCAACACACATGGTTTAGAATAACAACTAAAGGATAAACGGATCTTAAGTTCCATTTAAGTTTGTGGTAACTTACTCGTATGAGTCAAAGTATACTTTAAGTGGTAAAAGCTAAAAAAATACACAAATTTCCCACAAAAATTGTGCAAAATTTCTGATTTTGTGAATGAATGAATCAGTGAATTTGAGACTATGCAAACACTTTCATAATTTCATTTAAACCCTTCAACTTTGACGGCAATTTTTTTAAAAGAAGTTGTCAAAAGTTTACAAGAATGGTAGGCAAAAAATCTTCGAACCAAATTTTCTTTCTTAAAAAACTGCATTGCATAGTATAGGACTCCATGCGATTTCTGCCTCACCCACAAAAGCACCTCCGCAAGGAGAAACTAATGGCAGATACATTGATTCTGAAATGGGCCAGAAATAATTTTTCCCTATTACAAAATGTAGTCCGATTGATACATGGGGAGAGACTGATTATTTTTGCAGGTGGGGGAAGACAGCTGTGATCGGACAACCAAAAATTAAACAAATAAGACCAATAATTTGATTACACTTTGTATCAGGAGAATACGGACTTTGCTAAGATTATACAATTTCTACATTAATAACATAGTAACTGAGAGCAGATCAATGCTTGAAATTTACTTGATATTTTTTTTTTAATTAAAATTTTCTTTGTGCACAAAGAGAAATTGATTAAATATTTAGGTTTTTTTTCGCAAGATAAAAGAAATTGCATGGTAAAATTTCAGCAACTTTGTAGGATGCAAATAACTGTACATACCTGATACTCAGGGTCGGCAATAATAGTAGTATCAGTTCCCTGACTGACAGTCTCATAATCATCTTCATCACTACTTGAGGATCCTGATGCCGATGATGAGCTAGAACTTTCTACAGAATTCACACTGGTCACTTTTGATACTTCACTTGATGATTTCGGTGCCTTCAACTGAAATTGAGCAAAATAGAGAAACTAATTAGCGAAACTTAACCCCCCCCCCAAAAAAAAAAAAAAAAAAAAAAATTGGCCAGATAGGTGGTGATTTTGCCATCACTAATCGGAATTCAGCCTTGATGAAACGGCTAGGGAGCCCTGAAATACGTCAAGAGTTTTAATTTAATTTTGTGAGTTTGAGTTTCTTAATTTTTGGGTTTTCTTCACTTCAGAAACGCAAGATGTTTGGCAAGAGATGGTGATATTGCCATCTTGCGCTAAAATTCAATTCTATCATAGAATTTCAATCACCAACTTTTCACCTTGACAACTCATGCAGCTGATGTGAATGTCGGTAGTAAACAAATTGTGTTTCATATTTGTGATAGTCGTAGTTGTGTGGCTGACAATTTCCAGAGACACCTCCTGACCTATCTTCTAACCTTCTTTACCAAATCAACGATTTGTTTTTTGCTGCAAAGAATTAGAACTGCTGACTATCATCTGTACGTTGCTCTTTTTCTTTTTGTTTTATTCACAAACTTTTATCATATAATTATTTACATTGTTTCATTATTACTTTATTAGCAGTTTCATTATTTTATAAGCGATTATGCAAAACAATTTTTCATGGCAATCGTGTGATTTATTGAGAGTCAAAACTTGTATTCCCTCATTCATTGAGTGATATGTGTTGTAAAATTACTAAAAACGAATTCTCTCATATTTTTTCTTTTAGTATAAAATTATTCATGGTTAGCATTTGCAAAAGAAACAGATAATTAAATGATCTGCAACCTATCCTCCTTAATAAACTTCGCCCTGATGAACTAAATAAGGAAACAAAGTTCTACACTCATCTTTGAAAGTCTAAAAATTCAGACTGCAACAATGAGGGTGGGCAAAAATAAAGAAGGGATGAGAAATTGTACACTTACATGAACAGTCACATTGACATTAGGCGGAGAGGAATTATCTACATAGGAACGTGCAGAAGAGACTCTACTGCGAAGAGAGCTGACAGTTGGCGTGTCAACAGAATTTGCATATGTATTACGAGTTCTAAGTGAATTGTTAGTTGTAGTTGTGGAAGTAGTGGCTGCCTCAGGTTCCAACACAAGCGAAGAATTTGAGGTTCTCCTCCTGACTGTGAACTGAGTACTTCTGTAATCTGAGGAAACTGGAAATTATAAAGAACACAAAGTATGAATGATAACTGAGTTTTTGATACAAAAATTTTGAAATTAAAATGAGTAGAGGTGCTCCTGTACTGACTTTTAATTTTTTATTTGCTGATTTTAAAAAAATGATACACTTTTCAAAAATAGGATCTTCAGATTGATTTTCATTAGCTATTGGTGACACAGTACAATGGGTGTAAAATTCGGTGGCTTTGCAACTACCATTGTATTCCAACTATGAATATGAGATACAGTTTTCAGCAAGACATTGTGTGCTGCACAGCACACTAAGATCATTTTGTTGATAGTAATTTTGCTTGATTCTTGGTATATATACTAGAATGGACCAAGAGATATGGTACAATTTGAAGCATTTTTCTTATTAGAATTTCTGTAGGGCACGATTCGGATAGGAAAAATTTCCAAAAATAACTCCTGACAGAGGTATTTGACATTTTTTTCGGAGTAAATTCAAACCTTCCCCTCATAAAAAACCAAACTCTATGTGAGTCAAATCGCACAACATCAATTTTAGTGCTTCAGCTCCGTTTTTGTTTGTTGCTAACACTTCAAACAACACAGGGTGGAGAGGGAGCACTCCTCGATTAAGAAGCTTGCCACGACCGTTTTGGTGCACAATTTGACTAACAAAGAGTGTCGTTTTCTTGTAACAGGCAATTGGACGCATTCTGCTAAAAGGAACTGTATTACTTGAAAACCCTATGCACATGGTTCCTTTTAGCATGAATAAATCTAATTCTAAGTCCTCATAACCAATGTAAACTGAATACATTAACGTTAAAACGTTAATATCTTACCCAGGAGTAACTTTAAGCAATTTTCATTACTCAAATCAAGTTCTATGCGAAATGTTCAGAAGGAAACATGCTTCATAATGCTTAAATTCGTGAACTGTCTAATGGTCTATTACCGTACTTTTTTTGTTGTACTAAAAAACTTATTGTCTTGTAATCTATATAAACTGCAATGTTACAAATAAAAGGGAAATCAGTGCAAAAGACCTGCATCATCTTGACCAGTGTCAGTGGGCTCGGGCCTTCGCCTCCTTGTTAGGGTCACCGATGAGGCAACTTCTTTATTGTCATCACTAGCAGAGGCAAGGTCAGGCGTTGACATCCATGAGGATGATTTTGAAAACCTGGGAGGGAGAGAAAAACTAGTTATCAAAAATGAAAAAGGATGAAAACGAAATGAAACAGATTCTCTGCTAAAAAATTCCCACCCAAAATTGAATCCAAAAATTCTTTACAAGTATAAAACAATCAATGATGAGTGGCCTGTGAAAGTTCATCTGTTACTGACTAACTGATGACACAAGAGAGGAAAACACTAAAAATGAGGCCTGAGTACTGCAAGTGACAGAATAGTTCATAGAATAGTGCTGCTTTCATATGATTCTACAGGGTAATCAAGGCCAAAAAATTCCATAAATTAACATTAGAGTCAAAAAACAAATCTGCATGCACTGATTATCATTAAAGTTAACATTTTTACTCTAGTGCTAAATTTTGCGACTGATGAGTTTAAATGTATAAACAGTAAGGCGTTTTTTGCTCTTCTTGTGTGTCCTTCGATATATTGTCTCCCATATACTTAAGGCTGCTGAATCGGATAACTACCTTGGTTTTTCTCGATCATTCATCAATTTCCCAGTAAAACTTGAATTAGTACGTCTTAAAACTTGAATTTTCCTCAGAAAAATCTATTCTTCTCAAGGTAAAGAGAAAAAATGAGGTCATTTTCTGAGTGTGCTAAAAATTTCACAACAGTCAATTTTTGAACCGTCAGTGTTTTTTTAAAGTAAAGACTTACTAGGGGAACTTTCCAAGCTGCAGCCTCCAATTGGGCTGAAAAAATTCATACTAGTTCTTTGGATGAATCCTTAAGGACCGTCTTTTTTTGTTTTTTCCAATAAACCCCTGCAACGAGCCCCAAAAAATTCCAAAAAGTCCGCTCTTGAGTGCGCGTCAACAGTGTGCGCCGGGAGGGTTGGACAAGGCGAAAGAGCCTTACTTTGCCTTGCCAAGCCCTCTCAGAGCACACTGGGTGTCCGGCTTGCATTGTCGACGCACTTTCCGAACCGAACATTTAGGAATTTTTTAGGGGTGTTTCCGAGGTGCAATGGAAAAAAAAAAAAAAAGTCCTGACAGACTCATCCAAAGAGTTTGAACGAATTTCTTCAGCTAGATGGGAGGCGGCAGATTGGGAAGTTCTGGATAGTTCTGGAAGTTCTTGGGAATAGTTCTGGATAGTTCTGGAAGTTCTTGGGAATAATTCTGGATAGTTCTGGAAGTTCTTGGGAATAAGTCTGGGAACTGCCAGACAAAATAGCAAAAAGCAAATTCTTAGAAATTACTTACTAGGGATGTGAGGACATCTCGTAAAATGGGCATCTAAGTATGTATGAAAGTTTGGCGCACCATAGGTAGTAAAGTTTTATCAATTAAGTTAATATGCATTACTCACCTAGTATTGGAATTATTAGAAGTTTTTGAATCATTTTCTGTGGAATTTAAATTGCTGGAGCTGGTCCAAGATTTTGCAATCTCTGATGAGCCACGATCATTCACAGACCTGCAAAAGCAAGATTGCTTGGGTTAAAAATGTCCACTTACATCAAGTAGACTTGGCAAATTTTTATCACGCCTAAGTCGCAACCAAAAATCAATTAAAATAATTAACGGTCTGATAAATTTCTGGACACCAGATATTGTGCCTCATCTGGAAAATTTACATGTGTCCTTGATAGTTTCTCATATTCTGAATTTTACAATTAATGATCTGCCACTAAACTTTCTTAAACGGAGGTCTTCTCGCTCATTTGCGTTCTAAAATTTCTCTACTTCAGCAAGGGCACATGCATGAAAGCAGATAGTGATATATCCTGGCTATGACACAGACGCTATCGATTCATTCACTTTCACATTTCCTCAAAAGTAAGCAAAAAAAAAAACATAAACCATAAAGGGAAAACTATGGAACAGCATCTATCAAAAACCTTGGAGATTTATACTCTCCATACAGGCAAACATACATGTAAAGTTGCCCATTTATCCAGACTTGCAAATAGCCTTGCTAAAGGCAAAAATTAACACTGATCTGTTCTTGAAAATGTCCCTTTGCTTCCATCTTTTCTTTTCAAAGAGGTGAATACGTACACGCAGTCTGAAAGTTTCTAGAGAAATCTTAATCAAGATCTAGTCGATTAAAAGGAGACAAGTGACTTACTTTAAAGGTAATGTCCAACTGGACAGAGCAGGGGTTGAGGCTGTTGTGTCATCTCTGCGCAAAGTGGCATCTGATTGCTTGTTTCTGTTGCCATGTTCTTTGTAATCTCTATAGGGGAAAAAAATTGACAGTTAAGTTTGCTAGCTTACCTACCTTACAGTAAATTTAATTTATTCACCAGGAAAATTTTCCCTAGAAGTAATGGCATGTATAGAAGAGCAAAAAGGGTGCAATTGAAAATAGATTTGCATTAGAAGGAAAAAAGGCTCAAGTTAATGCAAAACTATCAAGTAGGTTCCTTTGAGACACAGAATATTCACTACTTTCCTAAAAATTTCAGGAAAACCCCATCAAGTGACGAATGTTTATCCCTGGATCCCGGTTCTTCGCTTCGCGATGAACTTGCAACTCGCTCCGCGAGCCGCCCTTCATAGCTATTAACTTTTAAAATAATAGTAATAATGAGAAGATAACATCTTCGCCACTTCAGCCATGGCCGCCATCTTGGATTTTGGAATTTTGAAAATCTGACCAAAAATTCTAGTTCCCTGGCGAAAAATATCCCCTGATGCTGAGTTTCACAAAAATCGATCGAGCAGGAGCCGACACAGCATTTTAGGCCACAGCCACCATCTTGAATTTGGAAAATCTGAACAAAAATTTGATTTTCCGTCGAAAAGTTTCCCCTCCCATCAATTTTCACAAAAATCCGTCCGAAAATACCCCTAAAACCTGGGATTTTGTCTATAATGCTGTGATGTCACATGACAGGACTGAACATGTTCAGTGCGGTGCACGTGAACAACCTCCTATCCCTAATACATTAGTATAGGAAGAAACAACTTTTTTTTAAGGCTTCAGCGGCATTTTTTTCTAAATTTGATTTTTCAGGCATGTAAAGATGTTTTTTAGCTTCATTCTTGCCAAGTTTGAAGGAAATCGCTTTGACAGTTTTTTTTTGGTAGAGTGTTGATGAAATCTCGGTAACTTACAATTAGCTTTATATATTTAATATTTTACAGCCATCGATGGGGATCTGTATGTACCTACCTGAAGCAACGCTTGCAGCGAGTGGGCCATCGAACTTGAGGGTGAAATCCTAAAGGGCATAGAGGGTCTCCTTTTGCAGTTGGTTTGATGTGTTTCATGACTGGCCACAAGATTCAAGATAACGAAGTCTGAAATAAAAAAGAAGCAAATAAATGAATGATATAGGAGATAAAAACTGAAAAGATTTTTTAACTCAATTACACAATGGACGATTCAGTCTGAAAGTACTTCTTCCCTAGTGTATGAGCATTTTATTGATATTTGTATGAGAGTCACAAAAATTTTAACAGCTTCAAGTTCTAGAATAGTTTTTTATTGTACTTGAAGAGTGATCAAAATTTCACGAGCAAGATTGATAATAATCATTAGTGCAAGTGCATTTGGATCCATTGGAAATCCATTGAAATCTTTCACATACCGACCACCAACCGTTCTTATGAAAATAGAAGAAACAACTTAATCCGCCCAAAACACTGACAAAGAAACAACTTAAATCGGGACTAAGGCTGCGAATAATAAAAAATAAAAAGAACACAAAATAAAATAAAAAGCCCGGAACGTTTCACAGGGATCACACCCGCATTTTCAACCCGCAAAAACTAAAAGTTTCTCATACGACGAATAAATGTCCCAATTACAGTGCAGAGAGGATCTGAATATTCGAAATTATTTAGGTCAAATTTAAGTTCTCAACTCCTGAGAGTACTGATGATTGAATGATTGGCAAAATTCTACCTTTTCGGCACAAAATGAATTTGATTTTGTACACTACATTGAAGAAAGATGCTTAAATATGGTGATCAAGTGTATATACTTTTAAGTCCAAAATGATGGATGCAAAAACTGCACAGGAGGAGAGCACCTCAGTTTAGCATCCCCTTCACGGAAGAGTCTGACGTACTATTGATTGCTGAATTATTTTTAAACTTAATACTTTTCAGATGAGGTAAAGTTAACACTAGATTATCTTAATGATGTTTAGAGAGCAGAATGTCATTAATCTCATAGAAACCTAACAGCAGCCCAATTGTTGAAATTTATGTTGGAACGACAATAATTGAAAATCGATATGTTGCACGTCGCAGATAGGGCTATGTCTTGTCTTATCTTGCCGACAAAGCAAGTTAAAGTTTCAACAGTCGGGCTGCAGGAGTCAAAATGGCAGATCTTCAGCCTCTCTCTATAAGTTAGTCGACTTATTTGATAGGAGCTTTTGAGAAGGTGATCTGTCCATGAATAAGGGAGCCACTGATACAAAGAAACTGAAGAAAAAGAGTCAGTATGTATAACCAGTTAAGTAATAATGCTTCATTCTTGGGCCCTGTCCACACGAGCGCGGTTCGAGGAACTTATTCGACGAACTGCTCAGTTCCCGGAACTTATTCCTTGAAATGAGGCATGCTGTCCACACGAGTTCGCCCGAACTGGAACCGGAACTTCAATAAAACTATACAATTATCGCGAAATAATAGATTATTACTGCCGCCAAAGTAACTAAAATAAATTTTAAGACATGTGAAGGACGTAAAAAACAAAATCAAACAAATTCACATCAAAAGAAACATATATAAAAGCTCGGAGTACTGGGGAAGTTCCGGGTTTTGGAGGAATAAGTTTTTAGCTCAGCTAAAACTTGTTCCGGGAACAAGTTCCTCGGAATAAGTTCCGCGAACCGCGCTTGTGTGGACAAGGCCTTGGATTATATTCTGAAAATGTTTCGATAGTTGGTTAGCTCTAAAGTTATGATGGTGCATAATGCTTACATTCCTCGCTTTTGGGGTTGGCTAGCAAGCCTGCTTCAAAATTTGTGGACCATGAAACGTTGAGCAACAGGTTGGATTTGGACAAAATCATGCTTGAGATATTAGAGGCAAGCCATGCGGAGGAAGACACTTGGAGTCGATCAAACATTTCTTATGTAAAATTAAAACACTCGAGGGCAGACTATCTGCAAATTTATACGATGTTTCAGGAAACAGCAAGTGTGGTCCGAGACCTCACTTTGGCGATGGTTGAACGGGATCATTGGCGTGCACTAACACCGATCATCACACGAATCATGAATCTTTGACACTTTGTGCACAAATACTAATTAGAAGTTAAGTGTTTCTGACATTGTTAAGTATTCTCCTTTAATTCGTCGAAGACTTCTTACTCTCCCATTAGTTAAATGATTAACCGTATCAAATTCTAAGACCATTTCCTCTCTAAAGGAATATTTAAAGAAGGTCTCATATTGGGGTATCCCTAACCAGTTAGTTATGGTTCCAAGAAATTTTTTGTGTATAGAACCAGAGCATCCAACTATTTGGAGGGTTAGGAGTTCTGGTAGTACTTTGAAGAGGTTGAAATAGGATTGTCTATAAGATATTCCTTCCGATAGCAGGACGTGGATTTCATCCAAAACAAGAATCGGATTTTTCCCCATATTTATTGCCCAAAGCACAAATTCCTTAAACTGCCGATTACACGCCAATTTCACCAGTAAGTACAATTTTCAGCATTTTCTCTGGTTACACGACCATTACTTTTTAACCCTACTTTGCTCATAACAAGAAGTGTAAACAAAATAAATCACGTGACCCATAGGACTTGACAATATTTTTTGATTGGATAATGTTTTACGTATTTTTTTACCGGGAAAGAGTTTGATTGGATAATGTCTTACGCATTTTTTTTACCGGGAAAGAGTTTGATTGGATAATGTTTCGCGCCTTTTTTTGCCGGGAAATTCAATTTGTCGGGCTTTTTCCCTGTGATGTATGAAGTTCCATCCAAAAGCGTAAAGGGCCGTTCTTGCCGTATTTTTAGCTTTCAAGTTAATAAAGAACTTTCTCCAGGAGTTGATTGATTCTCGCCAGATAGTAATTTGTTACCCACTGCAAATATGCAGCAAAGATTGATGGTGCCAACGTTAACGGCATGTCGAGATCAACGACTGAGAGGACGGTCAGATAAAGGAAACACATTTAGCTATCGACAGTCAATGACCGTGCAAACTATTTTTGATCCGACCGCGCACATATATTCCTCAAACTATTTGACAATATTATCAGAGATTCAGTAAGTCCATAGCCCAATTCTATCTTGAGTGGTCAGCATCTCTAAATGATGTTTATTTAATTTTGGTAACCGATCTTGAAAAGTATTAGCGACCCATAAAATCAAGCTACAAAAATGGACATTGCCGCTTTTCGTAAAACGCATAATTCAATTGGAAATGGCATTTAGGATTAAGAGGGAGGGAACAAAAAACTCACGGGAATTTTTCGGACAAACTGTTGTTTGATTTTCTTTTAAAAAAAAATCAAACATGAGTCAAGACTTGCAACATCGCATCATAGATACGCATTTTTCAACTTCAATCATCGGAATTCAGTCACAACAGTTTGTGAGATTGGATGTAATTTTTTTTTGCAAAACCACTTTGATATATATACCAACCACGTTTATATATTTAAATAAATGAATAAAATTCGCCAAAAAATTCGAGAAGATCATACTGTTGTTTGATTTTCTTCAAAAAATAAAACATAAGCTATAGATTGCAACATCGCAACCAAAGATCGATGACCAAGGTGCGAAAGCACGCATCTTTGTTTGCGACTTTACAGACTTCCTGTCATAATTAGCGTTTCCTTTGGAAAACTACTTAACGTAATTTCTTGAAAATTTCCTTGAATCTTATTTTCTGTTCGGAAAAATTCTGGATACATTATAAGCTGTAAAGTTAGTTTCTTTCTCTTCGGAAAAAAATAAAATAGGAATGAGAATGTTGAAACATTGCTACCTAGGTACGCGGTTTTGCACTTTGGCCATGGAGATAGAGATACACATTTTTCGACTATAGACATGAGTATCGCGGTTTTATAGGAAATATTTGGCAGGACCTCAGAAATGGTTCTGATGATTAGAAATCGAGGAATTTCATTTACTACCGCGTCCATAAAACCGGCCTCATTCATTTCAGATTCGGCTAGACAGCAGTACCTACGTGGTCGTGCTCTGCTCTGCTATTCTGTATACTTGGGTGCTTACGTTTTAGTATTTCCCATATCAGAAAAAAATTATTAAAAATACTGTCAAATCAGCTCTTCGAGCACTTTCAGATGAAACAATAAAAAATTTCCATGCAAATTCACCATTTCTTTATCTGAGAGAGACGAAGAAGACGACGGAAGGGGGGGGGGGCGGAAATGGAGACATCCGGAGCCTGGACAAGGAACAACGGAAACGATCGGATTGGAAAGGTGTGCGAACGTTAAAATAAGAGAATACATTGCAAGGCACCGGCTTAGTCTAATTATAAACGGCGTCCCTCACGGGAGCCACGCCGACTTCTTCTCTCTCGCTTTCCCTTTCGGGCTCCCGCTTTGGCTCTCTCTCTCTCTCTCCGGCGAGCATCAGTCTCGATGATCACTCCCGAATTCTTATAAAACCCGCTCAAATCTATTCTCCATTCCATGACCCGATCAACTGTTCTAATTTAATTTCGGCCTCATCTTGGACGCGTTCCTTCACTTTTCCACTTTCTGCGTCTGCCTGACGGCCTCCCTGTTTTCATTGTCACGCTACATCGCCGCGGCTCCTCTAAATAAATTGCACGTTTTTGACGGCTTTTATGTTTTAACATTCTTTTGACTGTTATACGTAAATGTTGCCCATGCTAGCGATGCGATGTGCAGGTGGAAAAAGCATGGTATACGAAATAGAGCTGGTGATACTGCTTAATTTTCTTTTACACTCTCACAATTTTACGCGAGAGGTTTGGAACTTCGCCTCTCTCTCCCCCACGCAACTTCTTCTTCCTCCAGAGGGGCAAATGGACCGTCTTTTAGCAAAAAGGAACCAAGCCAAGGGTTTTCTCTGGGTCAGAGAAATTTATAAATAATTTTTGGTGGTTTGCAACGCTGAAAATCAGCCTGATTTAACTGCTCAACCGGCTTTCCATTTTAAAAAAAAATCTTTATAATAATAAGAAATAAATCTTGCTTTGCGCATTTTTTAAATGTCCATCACGAGACAAACATTTATGTATAATTGAAGTTTTCTCCCACCCCGACGGGCCATTTAAAATTCTGGCGAAATATACTTTTAACGTCACGAAATCTTACAAGAAATTTTGTGAGCAGCGTTGAGTAGTTACTTAAAGGAGAAGAGGAAATGTTAGGAAATGAAGACACGAGGTTAATCCGTGAATTATAAAATGATAAAATGAAATAAAAAGCAGATTAAAGCCAGGGGGTCTCTTCGTGACGATCGCACACTGTTGAGGTGGGGACAAGCTCTTCTGTCAAATGTAAAGTTCTTCACCGATGAACGGGCCCGTTGTTGATAGTGTTTGTGCGACAACTCAACGGGTCGCTAAATCATGTTTTTTTTTTGCATTTTATTTATTTATATTACAGTAGGTTTGAACAAAACCCACGCATCATATTTGGACTATTTCTATAAAAAGGAACTATGTGCATTAAGACATGAGCCCTGAGACCCATAAGAATACATGCATAACAGGGCTCGCGTCATAATGCACATAGTTCCGTTTGACGGAAATACGTCGATTTTAATCATTGATCAAGAGTGGCGGTAGCCACCCCCGGTCGAGGAAAATGACGTCCTACTAAAGTCCCGACAGCAAACGGGTGGCCGACACTCTTAGTCATATGAATAAAACCTGTAAAGAGGCACATTATAAGTTTGTGTGTTGATGAAGAGGAGGAAGATGAAAAATCGGAACGTGGACGGTGCGACTGGATGCCATATTGTATGTATGTATGTAATACTGACAATGAAATCACAGGACACGATGGCATATGCCGCCATTGCTCCCCCCCCCCTAAAACCATAGTGTGGTGCAATAATTAGTAATGATAGGTATCGAAAGAGAAACTTTAAAAAAAAAAATAAATAAATAAAAAAAATAAAAAAAAAAATAAATAAAAAAAATAAAGCATAAAGTTTAGTATATGACTGATGGCCATTGTAGCTAAATGTCTGTGAACAAAATATAACTAACTGGCCAAATATTTATTATAATTTAGTCACCTTACTTCGAAAATGGATGAAGATATATACCGTTACAATTTTTCTTAATTGTAACTTTTCATCACCTTTTTTCACTGGTTGGAACTCGTGCTGGATTTGGACTTATTTACGCTAAAAGGAACTATGTTCCACGCAAATCCTATGCACATAGTTCCTTTTAACATAAATACGTACATTTAAGAATTGTGTTTATCTGGTGCAAGATTTATTCAGAAACCTCATGAAAGGATGTTTGAGGGACACGTCCCGATAAAGCTAAAGAGGGGCCCACAAACATTTTCAAAAATTTAGAATCTCTCATGCTGCATTATCAGTATATTCAGTGTACTCTTTTTGTCTTTTTTTACCAAAAATGAAACCGAAAATCGAAGAAACAAATCCAATGCTTCTCTCGTTTTCATTGATCAGCACAGATTCTTACTGCATTTTTACATTTTAATGGCCGCATTTGAACAGATACCACTTCATAGTTCTAACATAATATTTACTGTACATGCTTTAACGATTGGATCAAAAAGCTCATTAAAATACAACAATGTAAGTTAATTTTTGTCCGAGACGAAAAAAAAGGAGTAAAAACTACCGACTCGGACCTAAGAATTGGGAATTTACACGAGCGGATACTTCTCATAATGGGATCAGTGGCGTGGCGTGAATTGCGATGTATCGATTGATATGCCATTTAAATCAATGGTAAAGAATCGATTATTAAGGTGTTCGCTACGAACACCCTGTTTATAGATCCTTTTTCATAGGTTTAAATGGCATAACAATCGATACATCGCAATTCACGCCACGCCACTGACTGGGATTTTGCTGGTTTGAGCGATAAAATATTAGCAATGACTTTAGAATGGTACTTTTGAGAAAGACGCATGGTGCCAGAGACAAGGTAAAGTGCAAGACATGGTAACAAGACGGATACTGTCGTGCTAAGAAAGAACGCCGTATGAACATTCGAGAGTTGCCAAATTTCCTCGCATAAACAATGTATTATTGACTAAATTTATGCATATTTTTCCTGGAGATATTCAAATATTTTAGATTACCTATATTGCGAAAAATTTAGTCTGAAAATTTTGATGAA